AATTTCCAGGGTCTGTAGCTATGGTATATGGTTCTTCTTGCCATTTATTATTCTTAATTTGCTTTTACAGATTTGGGATTAAATAACCTCATCCAGTGCATCTGGAAGGGGTCAAATTGTCTAAGTACTTATACGCTACCAGTTTTACATCATTTGCAAGTAAACTGCACAACTAGGCAGAAACAGACATTCCTGGGCCCCCCAACAACGTTAGGAGGCCACAATATTGCATCCTTAGTGATGTTCATTTCATGACAATGTATGGACTTTCTTTTTGAAAAAAAAAAGATGACTGTTGTGTACAGGACTGCCTACTGCTAGAAACTAGTGCTATTTCTTCTATCTAGCTATCTCTCAACTATTGTGCCTGTGTTTGTATGTATATGTATATACACACATGCACACAAAGACACAGAACTACGTATAGTAAATCAATGAGATTATAGAATAAAAAGCATTAAAAACTATTCAATCAGCAAATTAATCAATAAAAAGTTTGAAATTTGAAAGGCCTGCCTGGTCAAACAGGAACATTTTCATAGGGTGCCAAGGTCAGCACCAGTGGTATCTCCCTCTGGAAGGCTTTTCTAAGATAGCGCACCACCGCAGGGAGGCCCTCTCATTTGTGAATGTGTAACAGATTCCACACTCTTGTGATACTCTGAGGAAAATCTCATCTGAGGAGAAGTTGCATAAACATCCTTCAGATATTTGTTGCTCAGAAAGTGCACAGAAATACAGACTGCATACACCTCAGGGATTCCCATGCACTTGAATAACCACAGCAAATGTTCCTCAGATGCCAAAATCCAAGGCTGATTTGAAAGGGAGCAAAACAGATTCTAAGAGCCCAGCCACTTGATGGGCTTATCATGGGTACTTCACAAAGCAACCAAACTATGGGTTGTCATGAGGTGTGAACCCTTCCACAGTCTGGTATCTCTAGGAGAGCTAAACTACACACTCTAGAAAATATCCTGGGCTGAATCCAAATTTAGTCATACTTAAAACAGACCCACTGAAATCAGTGAGGCTTAAGTTAATCATGACTTACCCATTTATTTTTAATGAGTTTACTCTAAGAATGATTATATCTGGATCTGATCTATTGTTTGCATATGGTATTCTTGATATTCTTTTTTTTTTACTTCCAGATAAGAGTGCAGAGGTCTACTATGGATCAGGCTCACCATGCCAGATGGTATGTCCTTCTTCCACATTGCTTCCCCCTATAATTTCTCCACACACACACACACACACACACACACACACGGGGGCTGAAAAAAGAAAGAAAAACATGTGCTTGATTTTACAAATCTTCTTGGTATCCAGAGGGAGAATTTAGGGTGAAAATACAGCAGGGAGGGGGAGGTTTGTTTATTATTCCACTTACATCTCGTGCTCTTCCCCTTTCAAGGAGCCCCAGATGGCACCTCTAATCCTCCTCCTGTCCATTGTATCCTCACAGCAGCCCTGTGTTGGAGGTTAGCCTGAGATCAGTGACTGCCCCAAAGTCACTCAGGGTCCATTAGAGGTAGTCTCAGTCCAAATTAGATTCCCATTTGCTGACTTGGCAGTGAAAATGAAAACGAAGCTCATCAGTGCAGCACATATTTAACAGTTTAGCTTTCAGATGCTTTTTTAGGAACACTTGATTTTTGAATGCTTTGCACAGCTATTATCTCTTCCCAGAACTGAGAAGGAGTCAGAGTCCAAGATATAAAGATTTGCCCTTTCTACACATCATTTCATGTTCATCCACAAAGCCTGCTCCCCACTCACGCTGGTATGCTGGCATTTAAGCAGTGTGAACTCACATAGCTGAGTGACGCACAAGTGATGCATGATGCACTCAACAGCATGCATGCAGTGCACCTGGCATTCAGCAGTAGCATGTCTGTTACTAGCATGCACGTATGCAACTTTAAGAGCTGATGAGCTGCACACACATACTCCCACTCATTCCATCTTGCAAATGTACAGCCACTTAATGTTGGCCTGAGATAAGGAGAGGCCCTTTCACTAGGCCTCCCCTGACGCTTCGGGTTCTGCATAGATTAGCAGTGTATCCCAGATGGCCCTCTTTTTTGTCCTGCTTTACAAAAACCCACTTTCTCCTCCCTTTGCCACTCTCTTCACTAACATCAAATGACCAGGCAGCAGTAACCAGGGGCCATAATTCCACAACAGAATGTATGCCTTGAATGTAAAGGTAGTTCAGGGGCACAGTACCATGCTTTGCATGTGTGTGAAAGGTCCAAGGTTCAGTCCTTGGCAGTGACTGAAAAGACCCTTGTCTTAAAGCCTGGAAAGTCACCACTGATCAGCAAGAACAATATGAACACATACTCTGACTCCTGTCAGGACAAAACAAGCAAAAGCTTTGCCATAATATGGCTGCTGAAAGTCTGACATTGTAAGAACAGCTTTAGACTTACGATGGGATTCCTGATCTGATTTCCTGTAAGTCTATATAAACTGCAAATATTCTTTTGATTGAACACCCCCTGCAGACTCTCTCTGATTTCCCTGTCACTTCACATAACTTAAATTTCCTTGCATCTCAGGTTTGGTAATGCCAGCTCTTCAGGACTGTGCAATTTCCAGGCCTCCTCCTGAAAATTGCTGCCGCACAATGCTTAGTGCTGTATATTGTTTCTCAGGATACAACACACATCAGTCAGATACATCAGAGATAAATTCTAAGGGTGTTGCTTTTTATTTGCTCATAAGGCTATTCAGAAGATGCCCCAGTGAGGAGATTTGTCTGAAGCCTATCATATTTTGCACTGGGCAAAGCAAATGATAGGTCTGATTACTTATTTTAAATTATTATGCAGTTATTATGGTAAAGGATTGATTAGTGGCATCAGTGGATGTGGCATAAACACACAAAATGAGGTCGCTGCTCCAAGGAGCTCACACTTTAAAATCTGACCAGGTAGACTACAGAATGAAGGAAGGGATGGGAAAAGGCCAGACAAGGGAGGGATGTGGGCAAATGCAGCTATAGAATACATTGTCCCTCAAAGAGCCATCCCCCAAAGAGGTGAGGGAACAGCAAATAGAAGAGGGGCCTTTTTGATAGTTGTGCCCCACCTGTGGAATAGACTTCCTAGAGAAGTATGCCCGGCACCCTCACTATTATCGTTCTGATGCCAAGTAAAGACATTCCTATTTTCCATACATATTAAAGTTTGAATAATATTGAATTGATTTTATATTTTTAGGAATTTTAAGGATGATTTTACCAGGTGTTACTGTACCTGAGTAATTTTAAGTCTACAATCTATGTAGTTATTGTAATTGCATTTATTATATGCATTTTTTCTGGTTTTATTATTGGTTTTTATTATTATATTGCACACTGCTCAGAGCTAAGGGAGCAAGGTTATAAATCTAAGCAGACACAGACAAATTCAGTGTTTTTCACTTTGCTCTGAGAGCTCTGATGTGATATGCGAGGTCTGTGAAGAGGCTCACTTGGTGTGTTGCTGTTGTTTAAAAACGAGTGTAGCTGCAGCCACTATGGAGGGGGCATGCTAGTAGGAGGTTAACTCCTTTACATATGCACTGCTTTCCCTGTCAAGATGTCTTTCTCCCAAAACTACCATTTACCATACCAGGCAAAACCAGTCAGGCCCATATGAGATATTCCCTGTTTGGCAAACATCAGTTTAAAGGATTTGGAGAATGGGGGGAAAGCACCAAAGAAAGCCACTGGTGTGATTCTCTCTGTGCCAGATGGAAAGAGGGGAGGGCAGATACTCACCTGTTGGAGCACTGAGGTCAGAAGACTTCGGTGCAGGAACTCCAAAAAACTCTGTGGTGCTTTAAGTGTCATAAAATTATAAAAGCAATTATTAAAATTATAAAAGCATATAAAACAGTCAAGAGGATAAAAACTTGCTTCTTAAAATCTTGGGAAAATAAACACATATTAGCCTGATGTCTACAATAGGTCCCAGTTGTACCTCTCTGTAATAGAACATATTGGGCTGAATCCAGATTTAGTCATAGAGTAAAGCCACCGAAACTAATTTAATCCCATTGATTTCAATGGGTCTATTCTAAATATCACTAAATGTCAATGCCACTCAGCTCAATGCAATCCTATTAACATATGCTGCTTGTTGTGTAAAATTTTTAATGTTTCCTCTATAGCTTGGGTTCTGCTTAGGAATTCAGGATTGGAACCATTTTTGCAAGGCGCAAATGGAACTTGACCAATGGAACTTGATGAAATGCTTCGAGTAAATGTGCCCTGAATTTCCCTTCCCTCAGTAACCACCTCCACTCCCCCAGCCAGGTACTGGCTACAGATTCATGCTTCTAAGATTAGAAGGATAGATAATTTGGCATACATTTGAGGCTTTCTGTACAGACGGAAGTATATCTGTGGGAGTTCTGTAGGCACTTCCAGACAGAGTATTGCTTCTGATTATTTTCAAGAGTAGCCAGGTAAAATGCACCTGTGAGAACTTGTTCAAAGTTGTGAGAACTCATCCAAATACATTCCTTCCTCCTTCCAGCAGAGCCATTTCAGTTAACAGCTATGAAGTATGCTCTTTTCTGGGTCCCATTTATGACCCTTCAGCCAAAAGAAGATTCCTCATGGTAACTTTTCTGCATTTGGAAAGGCAGAGCATTCTTTCCCTATCCTCTGCTCCAAGCACAGGGAATCTTTTTGAAATCTGTAAAATCTTGAGGATGGGAAGCTAATGTAGTACGGGGGAGCTAAATGCTCATTGTGGGAGGAGAGACAACCATGCTCGGAATCGTCAAAAATGTACAAGCTATTTCTAATGTTGGCAAGGCTGACATGGTGAGCTGGAAGGGGCGTGACATGAAATTTCAAGAGGCTAGATGGTTAGCAGGGAGGTTGCACCACATGGTAACTCCAGATAATGTTGTTTACTGGTCCTTAGAAAGAAGGTAGAATCTAGAACACCCAGGAGCACCTCAGTGCCAGGTGGAAGGACAAGATTAAAGCTGCAACCATGAGTCAGGACTTTGCTGCTCCTCTGGAGAGCTCTTTCATCTCATTGCTGCCTGTTGTGGGCTGGAGGAAACCACTAAGGAGACAGGGGTTCCACGGAGCAGCAAAAGGTCACCAGGCTTAAGCCTTCTTGGCCTTCAAATTGAGGACTTCCTGTAAACAAACAGGTAGGTGAACTTATATCAGTTGTGAGGGAACATTGAACAGGAGGTACTATTGCCTTCTTGTCCTGCTGTGGACTTCCCATATGCATCTGGCTGTCCACTGTAGGAAAAGAATGCTGGGCTAGATAGTTCTCCGGCTGATCCAGAAGATCTCAGGCTTTGGATGGCTTTTCCAGCGGTGCAATGAAGGAAGCCATTATGTGGGTGGGGATTGTAGGAGACAGAGGTGGGGGTGGGGGATAATATTAGAGAAGGGAGGAAAAGTTGTTTTTGGAAGAAGGAGGGAACTGAGGAACTCTGGCTAGCAACCTGTTGCAACTTGTAACCGCAATGAATTCAAGTGACAGAATATGTAGGACAGCCTTCCCCATGCTGTGCCCTCCAGGTGTCTTGGTCTATAACTTCCATCATTCCCAGCTGATATGGCCATTGGCCATGCTAACTAGGAATTATGCAGGTTGTAGTCCATCATACTTGGAGACCACCATGTTTATGAAGGATGCTTTACGATAATGAATATAATTTGCAAATATCGCCAAGAGATCTGAATTGCCTCCATCCAACTTTTCTCCACCAGCTATTCAGTCTTTGCCTTGACATCTGAGTCACCTTCCATCTCTCTTAGGATGACAACTGTAGAATTTTTCTGGGGAGATCTGAGCTCTCTGCCAAGGTGAACCTGCTTTGCACGCTTGCATTCCTGGAGTTGATTTGCTTGTTCTGATGTGCAGTTCCTTTAGAAAAATAGTAATGTTTTGGTCCTTATGAGAAACAATGTCCATCCTGTAGCCTAGCAGCAGCACCTGCAGTTTGGTCAGTAAGTGTTGGGAGCAGATCCTGCAGTCCTCTAGCCTTGTAAATGAGGTGACAGAAGCCCTCCAGCCTGGAAGAGAAGGCTCTTCTATGATGCAGTGATGGCCTATTTTATGGGAGGTTGTAAATATCTGAGAGTAATGACTGCCACTTTTGATAGAACAAGGAGCTTGTAAAGAAGCAGGGGCTTCTCTTTCATGACAGCTACCATTTAGTCTGACAATTAGTCCTGTGGCCAGCTTAATTCTCTGGTCACTTGTCAAAATGAAGTTAGCGAACTCTGTTTCTTGCTCCCGATGTCTCAAAATCAAATGCATACTATGTCTGAAGGTTGAATTCCCTTGATAGTCCCTGATAAGCCATCCTTTATGACAAGGTTGGGGAACTTGGGACCCTCCAAATAATAGGGCAATGTGTTGTAGGAAGAAATGCATCCTTTTCTTGAGGGCAAAACTAATGTTTCTTTATTCACTCTATCATGTTTTTGCATAATTTTATAAATACATTTACTGGCTACACTATTATTTTCCTGATGGTAGAAATGGAGCTGCTCCATGTTTCTGCTGCATATAATAAACCTTGTATTGAGATACAGCTGTCTTGTGACTAGTCTTTGTAGAATTAATATTCTGATGAAATGCATTGCAGGTTTTCTATCATGGATTCCCTAGAGATGGGGGTCAGGAGAGATGTCTTTATTTGGGTCAGACAACACAGTGGTTTCCAGCCTCTGTTAGCCAAGATGGCAGAACAGCAGGAAAGCATCCTGACGGCCAGGGGCTTTAAGGAATGAGGCTGAGAATTGCCTTCCCACTTGGGGAGTGCTTGCAAACAGAGACTGGAAGGAGCTATTGCTTGCTATTGCTGCCTTTCATTGAAGCAGGAAGAAGTCAGGCTTATTAAGGCAGAGGGTGGTCTTCCCTAGGAGGATTTTGCAGCATGAGGAGTGGGTGGGAATTTGTGCACCAGCAGCCATAAAACTTAGAAAGTGGCCACACATGGAGTCTTAGAGGTGGAAAGGAGGCCCCTGACTGCTCCTAGTACTGCCAATCAAAAGGCATTGTGCAACTTTTCTGTCCGACTCTATTTACTGTGGAAATAAACCAAAATGTGGGAGAAATGGTGGAAAAACACAGGGGTATTACAAAATAGAAATGATATTATCTAGCCCCTCATAAAATTCTGGATTTGAGGCCATGAGTCCATGACCAATAAAGCCTTGCCTGGAAACCCCCTTCTTAGTGGACCATCACATCTAATACCTTCTATTTAAATGGGAACTTCCACACACAAGCACACACCCCTTCAGCCTCTTCTTGGCCAGTGAAGGGGGTGCTGCAGCCTTCTCTGGGAGCTGCCTGCATTACTGCACTGCTCTTCAAGCTTCATGAGCTTATGCAGAAGACGTTCAACCCAACCCAGCCTGCACAGCAGAGAAAGATAATGTGTATCTGTGGGGTGTCTCCACAGAGCTCTTTAACTTAGCATGGAGTCAAAGTGGGCTGCCATGCTCTAAGCACCACAAAGGTGTGGTGCTTAGAGCATGGTGCGGTGGTCATGAAGCTCACCGGGTGACTTTGAGCCAGTTGCTCACTCTCAAACATTTATACTTGTTGTGAGGATAAAATGGGAGTGGAGGTGGATTGTGTAAGCTACCCTGGGTTCCTTGCAAGGGGAAAAACAGAAGGATATAAATATAATGTAATGATATTAATTTCTTGAAACCCCAAATGATGGAACATGATGCAAAGCAGTGCATACTTTCATCACTTGGAATAGAGAGGAAGGCAAGATTGTACATTACCTCATTTTATAAATGAGTGGTGCTCTTTTATACTCACGTAGAAGCCACAGTGACCCTCTAACCTAGAAGTCCAGTAGAAGTTTGATGTGCTTACAGTTTCGGAGTGGTGGCAAGGATCCTGCACATTCTCATGGGCACTGGTTCTGTGCTTCCCATGATTCCTGGGCTGAACCTTGGCCAAAAGAATCAGCTTCTAGTCTAAACACTGGCAAAGCTGTACTTTTATTCCCTAACTTTTCCCTACCTTATAGATCAATGAAAGGGACCAAACAGAAGGTTGGCTGGTGCAGCTGCAGAAACAGTATGTGTGTTCTGTATGTGATTTAGTTATTCAGTAAAAAAGGCTTGAAACTCACAGGATCAAGGTGGGTGAAGAGCAGGTATAGGCATATCCAGTTCAATGTGTGAAGCATAGATTGTCTGAGTATGTTTCCCATCACTTATGATGTGTAGTGCCCGTGGTAGAGTAGGCACTCCACAGATTACTGAGCTTAACCATGAAGCTTGCTAAGTCATATTGGGTCTGTTGTTGCCTCTCATCCTTGCCTCCCTCACAAAGTTGCTATAAGGACAAAAACAGGGTGGGGGAGAATCATTGCATGCCACCTTTAGTTCCTTGAAGGAAAGATGGGGTATAAATACATATTTTTAGTAGTTCAAGATTATTCCACATGTACACACTTGTGCTGAGGCTGAGAGCAAGTGGCTTGCCAAAAGCCACTACTGGCAGAGTTTTGCCAGGCCAAAATTTGAAATGGAGCTGTCCTTAGACTCACCTTAGTCCTAGGCGAGTCTAAGGCTCACCTAGGCTAGATTAACTGTTGTGCAGAACTAGGATCATCTCTGCTTAGGGAATTCACAAGTGGTATTGGATGGGCAAGGCAGAATGTATGAATGGAAACAGGTTAAATGTGGACAAAATCAGTGGGAAGAGAATACAGTGGCCTTAGTCAGACAAGGAGACTGCAGTTTTAGCAGAGAAGGCAATGTTGAGTAAGGTCCTGTCCAGCTTTTACCCATTTGAAATAGGAAACCAAGGGGGAGGCTCAGTTCCTGCCCCCACAAAGTCTGTGTGGCCAGAGTAGTGCTAGGTACAGAAAGGTTTGGGGCTTGGCAGGAGCTGCTCATTTAGAAATGCTCTAAAGTATCTTTCTTTCTGAGTGTCTTTAAAGGACTCTGTCTCCCAAGGACACTCCTATTTGTCAAAAGGGATGTACAGTCAGGGAAGAGGATATTTGATTTCAGAAAAAAAATTCAAGGGAGCATCACATATGGGCAAAAAGTCCACTAATTTGGGGAGATCAGAGGCACAGAGATCATCAGGGGCCACACACTTTTATTTCAGAAGGTGCCCATGGAAAGCTAGGAGGTGGGTTAGATGGCCTCCCAGAGATTTGTCATTTCAAATGAAAGATTCAGGGCTCCAGCCCTGGTGGCTGCACCTAATACCACATCTGTATGTGGCTATGCATCCAGGCAATGTCATTAGCTAGCCACACCATCCCTGATTCTCACTGAGCAGCACCCCCTAGTGTTACAGAGAGGCTATTAATCTTGATCCACTGCAGGGCTGGGCAGAAGAGGGGTCAAGATGTGCCACTAGATCTCTGGGTGATCAGCAAGACTTCCAGCAGTTTAACAGTAGCAACTAAATGGGATGACCCCCCCCCCCCACTTTGCCCTAAATTGTGCTTCTCAGAGGAAGAAAACTAGAATGGAGAACTCAGTTCTGTTACCGAAAACACACGATCTGTGCCCCCACTGTCTTGCACCTGCCTTGACTGGGTGCATCTTGAGGCTCAAGCGAAAAGCAGAGCGGATTCTGCAATTTGAAGTCTGCCCACCCCTCATCTGAATTTCACAGGGAATTTCACAGAATTTCACGAATCTGCTACAGTTGCCCTATAGCTGTGCAGTTGCAGTGGTGGGAAAAATGGAATATTCCATTATAAAAATGGATTATTACCAATGGGACAAAAACCTCTGCTAATATAAATAATGCCTCTACATAAATCTGTGATATATTTGAAATTCTGCATATCCTGTTGCCCTCCAGATGTGCTGGACTGCAATTCCCATCATCCCTCAGCAGGGAATAATGTAGAGCAGGAAACATCTGGAGCACCTGTGCAGTGAGGGAAGGTTATCAGATTTGGGCACATTTATTAGAGCAAAAATGTCAGAAAGGAACATAATCGAGATTTATAACATTAGGTGTGGTGAGAAGAAAACGAATAGAGAGGCTCAATAGAGAGGTTCCCTCTTTCATCATACTAGAACTGAGATTATTCAATGCAATTGAATGGCATTCATTGAGAAAGTATTTCTTCAGATGGCACATAATTGATTTTTACAGAATTTGCTGCCACATGATGCCATGGCAGGATTTGATAGCTTCAAAGGGGACTTCTAGGAGGCAGCATGAATCAGACGGTTAAATGGAACCCCTGGGCTGCTGACTGCCTCTTGATAGAAGAAGACTTGCTTGTGCAGTTTCCAGAATCATCTGGCTGGCTGCTGTCAGAAGCAGGATGCTGGGCTAGAGGGTCTCTTGGTCAGATTCAGCAGGGACCTTCTTCCATTTACTAGCAAGTCACACATCTAAATATGGTTTAATATTAAAAATGTGCAGGAGAGGTTGAATGTGTCAGTTCAAATAAATGCACATACACTTTCAAAATTGACCATCATATTACAATTACAATGGAAGGAATATTTATGTCTAAAGACTGGCTATAAAATAGAAGATTTTAAAAATCTATAATGCAATCATATTAACTAAAATGTTACACTTCCCCTATGAAATGTAATATCTTAGATATTTTGGAATATACACTCTCTTTTAAGAGAGAGAATTTTTACAGAAGCAAAATTATCAAGACTCAGAATGGAATGTATGAAATAATAGCGAAGGAAAATATCTCTGAATATGTGTTTATGGGAGAGGGTTTTTGAGACCAAAAGATTAAGTGGTTCCCAGCAAGGTTTTAATTGTCCCACCACACTGCCTCATTGACAACATTTTATGGGGAGCCCAGGCTTCATTGTCTTAAAAAAACCTTATGGAATAAAAAATGCTGTTTGAATGTTGGCACTAGGAGCCCAATACGTGGAAGCATTCTAATTTTGCTCCTCAGAAAAAGTGACCTTTTAATTAACAGAAATCTATGTTTCACTAGATTGTTGTAAACTAGAAGGCAAGAGGAAGTCATATCATAAACATGTACCTCTTAACTGCAGCAATTTAAAGTCAAGTCTTGGGATACAAATATCCATGGTCAGATGTAAAGTAAGAAAGAGGCTACTTATACCCCATTCATTTATTCATTAAATTTATATCCTGCCTTTTTTCCTGCAAAGAACACAAGGCTGCCAGGTGTTTGGCTGCTATTATTATTACTACTACTACTACTATACTGCACTGACACCCATCTCTTAAAACGAGCCCATGGTAGCCTACAAGGTTTTCCCCCTTTCCATTTTATTCTTGCAACAGTAACCCTGTGAGGCAGGTTAGGCTGGGAGTCAGTGATAGGTCCAAAGACACCCAGTTTAATGGCCAAGGGAGGACTAGAATTAGGGCTAGGGTTAGGGTGAGAACATAGTGTTGTAGTTGTTAGTCGTGAAGTCGTGTCCGACCCATCGCGACCCCATGGACAACATTCCTTCAGGCCTTCCTGTCCTCCACTATCCCCCAGAGTCCACTTAAGCTCACACCAACTGCTTCAGTGACTCCATCTAGCCACCTCATCCTCTGCCATCCCCTTCTTTTGCCATCTATTGTTCCCAGCATTAGGCTCTTCTCCAGAGAGTCCTTCCTTCTCATTAGGTGGCCAAAGTATTTGAGTTTCATCTTCAGGATCTGGCCTTCTAAAGAGCAGTCAGGGTTGATCTCCTCTAGGACTGACCAGTTTGATCGCCTTGTGGTCCAAGGGACTCGCAGGAGTCTCCTCCAGCACCACAACTCAAAGGCCTCAATCCTTTGGCGTTCAGCCTTCCTTATGGTCCAACTTTCACAGCCATACATTGCAACTGGGAAAAACATAGCCTTGAGTATACGCACTTTTGTTGGCAGGGTGATGTCTCTGCTTTTTAGTATGCTGTCTAGATTTGCCATAGCTTTCCTCCCTAGGAGCAAGCATCTTTTAATTTCTTGGCTGCGGTGATCTTGGAGCCCAGGAAAATAAAATCTGTCACTACCTCAATTTCTTCCCCATCTGTTTGCCAGGAAGTGATAGGACCGGATGCCATGATCTTAGTTTTCTTAATGTTGAGAACATTGTAGACCTGACCTAACCCTAACCCAGTCCAGCACTCACACCACTATGGCACACTGGATCTCTTTAGTTATGTTGATGCATTCCTTTGCCCAATTAGGTGGATGTAGCTTTACAATACAGGTTCCTCACAAGCGCTTGATATTGTTCTATATTATTATGCCCTTCCCCATAGCCAAGATGCCATATTAACAAAGATTCCCAGTAACAGTGATTAAAACTTAGTCCATGTAATTCCAGCCCAATTTGTTGCTTCCTTATGAGCATGGCAGGAGTGAGGGAAGGTTTAGTGATGCATCAATAGTTTATCAATTTCCTCTTGAACAGTCTTTCTGAAATGCTACAATGGGTAGCTTTGCACAGTGTAATAAGCTGCTCTACTCCTGATGCACCTCACACATGATCAAGCGCACCATGGGTACTAGACCCCCTCCCTCCCCCTCTTCCCCCCTCAGTCCTGGATCACTGCAGGAGAAACCAAACTCCCTGCCATCACCACAAGCCTTTACACACTCACTGTGGCTTTCCCCTTCTTTTTTCCTGGGGATTGCAAAAGCTGACTGTCAAGCTAGTTTTTGCAAGCCCCATGCAGACAACCAGGAAAAGCCCTTTCAAAGACCTTTCGAAGCCCTCAAAGGCATCTTGGAGAGGCTGCCCATAGCAGGCACCCTGGCAAAATCATGATAAGCTTGAATGGTATACTAACCCACCAGGACTTGTAAAAGTAATGTGAACCTAGTCCTTTTTAGTATCTGCTCCTGCTGGGGGAAACTTTAATTACTGGTTTCCTCTCATTAAGTTTTTTTCTTTTCATTCTTACAGCAAAATATCATGAAGATGATGGTAGGAAACAGCTATTTAAATCCTACTCATTTTCACCACAATTAAGAAAGACTATTCAATGGGGCAATTCATCAGTTATTCATCACCATTTTCCCACTCTCTTAATCAGGAAGCAATAAAATGGCATAAACCTGCGAACAGGAAGTGTTTAATTGAAGGCAAAGGAGCCATTCAAAGCCTCAGTAGGATTTTGCCTATTCAAACCTGGCCTGGTAAGCAAAATTACATTGATTATGAAAACATTAGCTCAAATCAGGCCTAAAAAACAAAAGGACAACAGAGGAAACTCTACAGTGCAATGGCTGAGAATTACTTTGTCTGGATGCTCTGTAAAAAAAAGAACTGAACAAGAGATAGCAATTTCAGGTAAAAGGACTAGTGGAAAAAGCAAGCAGAAAGAATATTATAATTGTTTGCTATTAGTCACAGGAGGAGAGAAAGGCAGAGGAGGCTTGCAGTGATTGCCAATGGGGGTCACAAGGCACCATAAGCAAAGCTGCTTATGTTTCTCTGCCCTGGTCTTCCACGAAAGCATACAATCCATTCCTAGTGCACATCCATGAGGAAAAACAGTGCAAGTAATGTGCTCCAAGTTATCATTTTTAGGGCAAAGAGTTATATCTGTACTTTTATGATTCTAAACTTGCTTATTCTTTATCTTCCTTTTGGATTTCCAGCAGATCCAGCCAACCAGGGTATGTTACCTCCAGGTTGATTGTTCAGAAAAGAGATTGACACAGGCAGAGAGCCAGGAAGCAGAAAGGCAATGACAGCTCAGAGCCAGGTAAAGAAAAAATTCAGGCATTATACATTTCTATATATGATGGGAACAAACTTTTAAAACCTTCCCTGAACTTTTGGAAAAGCAAAGCAGGTTGTACCTATTAGGCCCACAAAAACATTTCTGAACTGGAATACTGTATTTCTTAATACTTAATGTTAAGGGTGTGTTAACATTACCTTTCTCTCCCCTCCCCCCCAACAAAGGAGGACTATGAAGAAGATCTGCAGAGGCAACTAGATGCTACAGACTTTGAAGACTCTACACTAAAACAGTCCAATATGTCACTTGGAACTGAAAGCAGTGAGTAATCCAAATCTCTTGAAGAGAAGTTCTTTTCTGGATCATTTGTGCAATGAAGAACTTTGCAAGAAACCCAAACAAATGGTTTCCCAGAATTTAGTGTTTCAGCTTGCACCCGAGGAGTGATGATGTACATGGACACTTTGAATAGGCACACACGTTTCCTATGTGATTTGCTGTCAGGCATTTGAAATCTAAGATGACCATCAGCTGAGTCCAGTCTGGAATGAATCTACATACAGACTAAACTACACTCCTCTCATTTCAGTCAAGGATGTTAATTGTGGTTTCCACATTTTGTCTGAGGATATCCCAGGACTGGTCTGAAGTTCATAGGGGAGAGAGTTACCAATAGTCCTGATGCTATATGCCACTTCAGTAGCTGGGGCAGGATGTCTATGGACATCAGTTACTGCCAATGTGGGTGGGATGGTGCTGTTGCACTCATATTCTGCTTGTGGGATCCTGAGGACATCTGGTTGGCCACTGGGAATGGAATGCTGGACTGGAGGAACCCTTGGCCTGATCCAGCTTGGCTCTGCTTAGGTTCTTATCAGGGGTTCTGTAATTAGAACTGCAATAATGATAGGCAAACTTCCCTGGAAGGAAGTTTTTCCCCATCAATAACTGATCTTCCCTTACAATGGGCTGCCACAAGGGACTTCTGGGTGCTCTCCAGGGCACAGTCAGTTCATGCAGAGCAACTGCCTGGCCAGTTGCTAGCTCCTCACATGAACAGGAAGAAACAAGGATTCTATAGGAAAGGCTTCTGGGCTTTATCTTCTGAGAAATGCCTGTGAAAAAGGTCATCTGAGAGTGGAAAATTCCACTGTGTCAAAGCATAAATATGCACAAGCCTTGCCATCCCATCAGAAAACATGACCCATCTTCCAAGGAACCTCAGGGAGCAGCTCTAGGAACAGCAGGATATTTAAGCTAGTGACTAATTGCATTTATTGCTGTATGTTCAGGCTAGGAAAGAAGCAGAGTGGCAAGGAGAGAGTGATGCAATTGGACAATTTTAGGCTCTGGAACTCATGAAAGGGGCTTGAAGGTCTCCCTGCCCATTCTGTTAATTGGGGACCTGGACTTCTACCACAGCTTCTATCCTGATGGCACCACTGCTGGGAGAGTGGGGGAGAAGAGATAAAGGGGCTCACATCAGTTGGATGTGTACCTAACTACTGTAAACCCTTAAACATGCTATATGCTTGAATTCAGGAAAATGACCCCAGTTAAAAGTAAAAGATAAAGATATATGATCTGTGGTACCACATCCCCTCCAAGAACATGCAAATTGCTGTTTAATCCAGCAAAAGGCCATTTGCAGCCCCCAGGCACTTACAGGACACTAGACAGCTCACTCTCAGCACTGATGCAAAGAACTGTGGAGTGGTTGTTGTCCAGAATAGGACTGCAGAGGCCATAAAAGCTTTGAAAGAAGCCTCTCTGCAACCCCACAGTCCCACTGCTGATCCTTTTGTCTGGAGATGGAAGTGGTTGTGGGACCAAGATCCTGGTCAGCTGGGCTGGCCTCTTCTCTTCTCTGGTGGAGGGAGGTTTGTAGGGGAATGAGTTGAGCCATTTATGAACTGGCTCCCTTTGGATGTGTGTGCGTCTGTGTGCACATGGGGGGGATGTGAGGCTAACAATTCAGCCTGTTTTATATAGGAGGAGGAAGCCAGTCTGGGTGGTGGAACAGAGCCTTAACCTTTGCTGAGAGGAGCATTAGACCTTGGTTATGGCGTCTCCTCTGGTGAGTGTTTGTTTTTCAGGATAGGGACTATTCCTTGGGGTTGGGCTTATTGCTGTGGTGATGAAATCTGTAGGGATGGGTGGTGAGGTGGTTTTACCAAATGGATTTATTTGCCCTTTAACAGAGGGAACCTTTTGGTGCTACCATTGGGAAGGCCTAGTATAGAAATCCCACCTCCCCCCACCCCTTTTACCTTTTGTAGGAAAAAGATGGTAGCAACAATGGTGGGAAACAGGAGATTTGTAAGTGGAACTTTGCAAAGATCTAGATGATGACATCAGGACTCCCTATAAAACTCAGTGAACAAGGCAGGGCAATGGTCCAATACAAACCTAATCTGGAAGCACCGTTTATTTGAGGCAGGTTTATGTCAAAGAACCTCTTTCCATATTACTAGAACTCTTGCGTTGGAATATGATACAGCTCCAGCCCAAAGAGCTATGTACTATGGGCATTGGTTAGACAAGCCAGGTGTTGGACAGAGAAATAAAATTTTAATTATGTCTTAAGATCCAAATTTACCTTACCTCTCCCCAAACTGGTGTCTTCTAGATATGTTGAAGTACAACTCCTTCACAGTCATAAGGATGATGTAAGTTGTAGTTTATAGCTCTTATTGTCCCCAGCCAACATGTAGACCGACACAGCTGGGAATCCAGACTGGAGCGCATGTTCTCCATGTCAGGGCCATGTGTAGGGGAACGAGCTGCCAGTAGCGAGTGCTGCAGCCTGAAGCAAGGCAGGCAGAAAATACTTCTCTGTTGACCAGAGAAGGGCAAAGGCCAGACTCCTGGTATTCGCACCCAGGATGGACTCTGGAGTTCCAGCTTGCAGCCCAGTGTCTCTGGCTCTGGGTGTGCATTAGGGGAGCTCCATGATTAGGGGAGGTTATGCTACAAGATGGTTGCTTCCAGATATCTTGGATCACAGCTTTCACCATGGCCCTGTTAGATGGGGGTGATGAGTGTTACAGTCCAACACCACTGGAGGGAATTGGGTTGGGGAGGGCTACTATAGCCCCTGAAGCTTCTGAATGTGCTTTCTGGGGATTTAGTGGAAATCAGAGAGGCCTGAGAGATCTCTATTAGTGAAGGAGCAGGTTTCATTGCTACCCTGCACAGGTTCATGTTCCTTCCCCAAGAGCAAGTATGATGTGGTCACCTGGTAGGTCAGGGTCCACATGCAGAATCTCTCCAGCGTAGCCATGATTAATGCTTGTTGGAAGGCAACCAACAGTATCTCAGCCCATGATAACCTTTACAGCAATTCCATTAAATCTGCCTACCACTCTCCCAGAGCCTGTCTAGGGCCTGTTACCTGGAGTTTCCTCCAAGCCCCACAGTTCCTGCCAAAATATCCAGTTTGATGCCCGACCATAGAAAAAGCTCTGGGAAAGGATGCAGAGATGCATGCTGTCCTCTGCCTCTCTCATTTCTGCACTTTCACCTCACCAAATTAGCACTTGCCAGCATCTCTGTGTGTATCTTTCAGTCATTCCTATTGGCCTGGTCACCGGGGAGCATATCACCTGAGTAAGAGGAGGAGGATGGAGAGGGTGACCCCAGGGAAGGCAGGACACTATCAGAGGCGTGAGGACAGTGGACCATGTGAGTGCATGCAGTGACAACCTTGATGCAGTGGTGGTGTAGTGCAGTGGTTAAGACAGAGCTGCAAATCAGGAATTCCATTCCCAAACTAGGATTCTGCCAAGAATTCATTCACAAGGTGGCCTTGAGCAAGCCCCTTCACTCACAGTCTGCAACCTATGATAGGGGGATAATATACTGGCCTATTTCACAAGTTGCAAGAATTATAACCAGATAACGTATATGAAGTGTTTTGCAGATTCCATAGTGGCACTATATAAATGTTTAGAATTATTATATGCCTGATGAACAGTTTTTGTTGTAAGAAGAAAAGTAGCATCGGGGATGTCATTTCAATGGAGGCACAAATTACATTGCTAAACAATTTTTCTCCTGCTTATTTTCCTCTCCAAATCCCCCAGCATACTGACTTATCCCCCCCACCCCAGAAGTCCAGGTATAAGTATATGAAAGGACCTCATGGGGAACAGTTGTGAACTTGAGAAATAATTCTGGAGCAGAAAAATGTTCAGAGGATAAAACAGCTCAAAATCTTCCCCACTGCCAGGCATTTACAACTGAAATTTTCTGAACCCTAGAAGGATTATATACAGAATCAGCCAATCAGAAACTTGGGCTGGGCACTAATGAAGGCCTGAATGTCCCAGAGGTCCCTTCCGCTGGTTGAGGGACAGGCATCACCCTCTTGCCTTCTGTCAGGTGGAAGCTGGTTCATACCTGAAAGCAGCCATTTTACCTCTAGTTCTGAGCTGTACTCTCTTATCAGGCAATCAGTCACTTACAAGGACATTTGCTTTCCACTTCTCCTTGAACACTTTGTTATTGATGATAAATAAAGGTTTTGTTTGAAGTGAAGACAGAAGCCTCTAGAATCTTAGCTGTTCTGTTCACAGCTAGTTAAAAGCAGTTCCACCATGCGTGTGTACATGCTACAAGCCCATGCCAATGAAATCACATGGCATTTCAGCTCAGGCCAAGGATAGAAGGGATAAATCAAAGACTTAATGGGGGAATGGAGTTTTGAGGAAGAATTTGAAAGCAGGAAGAAAGGTTGACCATACATGTTCTGGGAGCGAATTCCAGACACAGTGGGAAGAAAGAGATAAAGGGTGCAGGTGTTTTTGGGTAGTTGAGTACAGTATTGTTGAAAGAATGAAGGTCATGCATAAGGACATGAGGGAAAAGGGCAGAGCAGGGCAGGGCAGATATGTGAAAAATCTAAAGGAATTTTATTGAAATGGAAGGGGATATGAAACCAGAGAAAGGATTTAAGATGGGGCTTTACATGAACTGTGTAACAAAGATTTGCCTCCCTTTTCCAGCTTCTCAGTGGACCCTCCTGTGGACAATTTATTTGACTATGTCTTTGTGATAATCTATCTGTCCAGCTGTGTGGGTACATCTGTGAAATAGAAGTAATAATAGGACTCTGCAAAATTGTGCAGATATGTAAATACATTATATTTACTTATTTTGCATAATTTATTCTGCTTTGTCATGAGGCAAGCAAAAATCTAGGCAGATACTGACATCAGGCAGAGGGGAGATGTGTGGAAACTTGGCCCTGTTGGGAATATTTCCAATTCCTTCCCTATTTTTTCAGTTTTTATCAAATGAGACATCAATTGTGTAGTTAGGAATTGCATGTGTGTGTGTGTTTTACAATATAATAACCAGGCACAAGAGAGGATGTTTTCTTTAGGACCCCACAGTGCAAAGGGAGAGGAGATTTCCTTTTTGTTTCCAAGTGGCAATCCCAACAAAAATCCCAGATAATTAGTCTTGGGGAATGAAATTTCCATTGGTACCAATGGGAAAATTTCCCTTCAAGGACAGGGTATTTCCCCCAAGGCTAATAATAAGGTTATGTGTGTTTTTTTGCTCAGATCACAGCTGGGGAGGGAAGGGTTAAACTTCCCCCTCATGTGTGCTGTGCCCAATGAAAATGGCACTCCCTTGTCTCCAGTAATAATTTCAACAAATTCATACCATGGAATTTACACTAACATCAAGTTCAGCCCTGAAACTCTTGCACTTTTATTTAAGAAACTGCATGCAGACAGTACCCTGCATGAGTGTTCAGAAAGGATTAAACCTGCTTCTGCTTTGCTTTCCAGTGTCCTGGTCATTGAGTACAGAGGCATTAAATTACTGATAATAAATGTCAGGCACTTTTTAAAAAAAATGTAATATGGGTTTATATGAAATTCAGAAGTATGTATTTTTCTGTTAAAAATTAATATAATTAAGTAAAAGTAAATAAATGAGGCTACCTGTATTTTGATTCTAGCTGTTCTGCACTGATTTACACAAACACACACAAATACATGAACCTGGAGAGAAGGAGTGAAGAAAGGATGGAAGCAAGCAAGCAAAGCTGAGATACTCAGGGTATTCTATACAGCCAGTAGAGCACAATTTTGACATTTTGTAAAACACAGACATTTAGTACAGTAACATGTATGAGTAACTTGTTTTTTCACTACGGTCAGTGAAAGAACCAAGAACACAGAGACTCTATGCACATCCTTCAGGAATGTGCCACACTGTCCCAAGTGCTGGTGCTCATTCAAGAAGGGGACACATCTACCTCCTGCTTTATTTCCAACTATCTTCCACTTCTTTTGCAAACTAGAAAATAAACTTTATGGCATGCCATACCTTACTGGAGCCTTATGCAATTGTGTACGTAGGCTGATGATTAATAAACTAAGCCTGATCTTAACAGTTAACTTGAACTGTAACTTGTGGCTTAGTGAAGAACCATTCCTACCCTGTTAATTTGGTAAACCTCTGGTGTGATCCCTTCACCCAGATAGGATCCTTGGGCCGTTGTATTTACTGTCAGCAAAGTTAAGTGGTTTTGAATTTACCATGAACACAAGACCCACTTGTGGCAGGAATTTGAGGGTGGGGCCAGGGTGTCCTGTCCCATTGCCAAAGGGGGGGTTTATAGAGCCAAAGCTCAATCAGCTGTTTTCTTTTGGATGTCAAACGCTGGACGTTGCCTGAATTCAGGGTAGGTGGGTTAAGGTTTGTGGGGCAGGGTGTAATCATGTCGGGTTGTATGATCGGTACCAAGGTCAAGAATTATTTTGTATTTATTTTTAAGAAACAAGTGTGAAACTGAATATATGTGAAGGAAATTGTGGCTTGACGAGGTGACTGAAAATTCTCAGAGTCTAGACTATGGATATAGTTGCTCTAGGTGTAATTTACAACATGGATGCTGGGGTCCACATTTTTGTGGAAATATCAGGTTCTGAACTGAAAGTTGACTATGTTCCCATAGGGGGGAACATAGTTGCCCAGTGCTGATGGAAAGGCACTCTTCACCTATGCAGAAACACTTTATTCTTCTCCTACGTCCTTGTGTTTTTAATGGTTGTTTTATTTGCTGTTCCATTGAGGCTTGTTTTATTGGAATTAATATTTTTTCATCTATTTTATTTTGTATATCATCCAGAAAAAGAACATTAGTCATGGAGTAAAATAGGCATTGGTGCTGAATAAGTAAATAATAGAACTATTGTTGTTGGGTGACTGATAAATGAAATATATGTAAGAGTAGAGCCCTGGAATAAACCAACACCAGGGCTATACATTCTAGAAGGATATCTTCCTAGTTTGAATCCTTACTGTGAAAGGTACAACTGGAAATATTTGCCACAAATATCTCATTAAAAAGAGGATCACACAGTTTCACATAACGATAAGGGTGACATTTGGTCCTGGCAATGCAATGCCATGGCAAAAGATGGGGTGTGTTAGTGGTGCAAGTCTTCTAGATCATCAAAACTTATCACAACTTTCATCTATGTTGCAATGGACATACAGCAGCTAAAACTTAGTATCATACTCTTAATCAGATAGAATGCTGGGGTTGGGGAGAACAGGCATATATCTCAAGTAAGTTTTCTTTAGAGAAATAGATTTTACTCACCTTTCAGATTCTGACTTACAATTATACTTGGCATGAGGAGAGTATTTTATCTCCAAATCAGAGTGGCTGGTGGTGATTGTGTGAGGGGGTGGGGGAGGTCAATTTTTTGTTACACTTCCTTTCTTGAACTGGTGACAGCTTGGCTGGTCAATTCTAATCTTCAGCACTTGTTTGCACCAAAGGAACATTTCAATACCCCACTTGCTATTTGACTGTGGCACACCATCATTTTGATTGTATAGACTGATCCACGCGGGAGCTGATGGATGTTCCCAGCCATGGGTAGAAATAAATGAGCCACGGACAAATCCACAGTACCACCAAGGATCTATGAAGTAGGGCTCTAGACCTTTTCAACTGTGTGGAGTGTGGAGTTCTTATAACTGCTACTTTCCTCCCACACCAGAAAAACCCCTTCTGATCCCAGCTACTCAGCTCAGCTGGGATCTGTGTCTAAATATAAAGCCAGTTGGGGGGAAACTGTCTGGGGGACAGAGCAGCAGGATGAAAGATGACTGGCAGAGAGCCGGCAGTGCACTGACACACGCACACACTCCTTTTTGTAACTTGAAGTCTATGTGCAATTGCTGTTGAGATATGAGTTACATCTCATTCTGCCTTTGGTGCAGATAAATGGTAAGATAAATGGTAAGAATTGCCTTGTTGAATCAGACCAAGGCTCTGTCTTGTCCAGCATTCTCTATCTACGAACTTAAGAGCTATGCCTTCAGACCAAAGCCCAGTCTAGTCCAGCATTCTGTCTACACAAGTTTATCACAGGACAGGAGCACAACAGCATCCTCCCACTTGTGTTCAGTCATACTGTCTCTGATGCAGGAGAGTATATACAGCCATCATGACCAACAGCCATTGATGGCCTTACCATCCGTGTTAGCAACCATCACTATGTCTTGTGTTAGTGAGCTCCTCCATTTATCTGACAGCATCCTATCCATTTGTTTCTATCTTTTTGACTCATGGAAATGAAGGGTCTCTGTACTTTAAAGAGCTAAAATGCTTATTTATTGATGCGAATGATAACATATACCAAATAACTGTTGCTTACTTTAATATATCAAATGTTCTTGCAATGTCAGACTGTTCCAATTCATCATAAGAGATACAGTGCAATCAGGTCTCCAAACCATTTTAAGGTGACAGCCAATGTGGCTGCACATAACCCTCCAGACTTGGAGGATAATGGGCACCCAATGGAGGGTGCAAGGAGTGTGAAGGCAAGGACTGCGTTGGTGCTCCTCCCACCACTTAGATGGCTGAAATTGGCTAAGTCATGAGGAGCGCAGACCATCATGATTTGTTGTAAGATGGTGGTATTCATTTCTCCCTTCCCTTGTCTTCCTCCCCTAGCTACAGGTCCAAGGTCAGTGTTGTAGCCTTGGAGGCATAGCTGGCATGGAAGGAACCATGCTAGCTGCAAAGGTGGAGGAAGGTATTCTGAATGCAGAGTCACAGCTAAATTCTGAGCCTTGAACTGACTTATGGGTGTCTAGACAACATCTGACAGCTGTAAGATTGTGCCCTGAAAGATGAACACCATTTAGCATGTCATAACTTGCCCAGATCATAAAAAAGAAATGATGAAACTTAGTTTAGTGGCTCAGGGTGCAATTCTATCAATCATGCCCTCAGTGATTAGAAGCTCCCACACTTGTAGACATCTTATTATCTAATGAAGGCTTGAAGGAGTAGAAGAAGTCATCTCCACCTCTCCATTCTCACGTCTTGCAAAATTTGCTAGATGGGCTTTTTGCGGCTGCTTTCAGGTCTCCTCCTCTCCCCACCCACCGGAGTCCCTCCCCTACCTCCTCCTCCAAGGTCAATTTACTGATTTCAGAGGGCAGCTGGAATGCTTCTTTCCATACCAGCTGCATGTAGATATGGGGGGAGGGGGGGACCTCTGATGCCCCTTCCAAGGTTGACCTCAGAAGGGGTGATCCAAACAATCCTATTGTCCCTGGAACACTTTCCCAGAGGCAAAGGTTTACTCTCGAAGGCAAAGAATCAGAAGCTCTGCAAACAACTGTGTTGTTTGTATACATGCTGTATATCAGTATTTGCATTGACTCTTACATTTCTGACACTCTTTAATACTTTATATGCTCCAGTTCGCCCAAAACTCTGTTTGGTAACCATTCTTGCATTCTGTACAATATAGTAAGTATATTGCGTTCTTGGAGCATTCTCATTTTAAGTTGCTAAAAAAATAGTACATAAGCCAGCAAGGAGCCAAGGCATTCTTTTCTTACCCTCCTTACTCCACTCTGCATGAAACCTGCCATCATATAGTTGAGTTTGTCTATGTCTTAAATAAGGAACTAGAGTACACAAACATATAAGTTTTTTTGTAATCATCGAGGCTATTAATGTAGTGGATGAAGTACTTTGGACTGGAACAGGAGAGATTTAGATGCAATGCGCCCTGGGTGGTCTTTAGAAAAGTCAGCCTAACTTATCATACAGTGTGGTGGGACCATTTAATAAGATAACCTTGTCATGCCACTCTAAGATCCTTGAAAGAAGTACAGAAATGGCAGAAGTCAAAAGCAATTAATAAACAACACTTATTTTCCTTTGGCAGATGGTTCCTCACCCGAGGAGGTGCTAGAGATTGCGGGGTCTGCCCAGCGACACAGCTCCCATAAAGCAGCACATGAGGTAAGTTTGTAGGGCCTGGTGATAGCAGATAAGCCCCAACACCAACAAGATATAGCCCACAGTAAGGGCCCACTGAGAGAGCCCACACAATTCCAAAGCCAGCAATGCATTTGGCTTACCACGGTGCTGAATATTCTAAATAATTGCCTCTCTTTGCAGCTTCTCTGTTCCCAATTCCTATTTTTTATACGGCCCCTGTATAGTTCTTCCTTTATCCAATTTATTTAAAAACAGGATATTCCCCTTATTTGGCACTAAAGACATTTTGCAAAAGTTATTTAAAAAAATCTTTAAAACTATATAAAATATAGTTATAGAAAAAAGCAAAAAGCAGTAAGAAAACCTAACATCCTGCTTGTCTACTACCCTTTCAGTAGCCAGTCCAAGGTGGGTGGGTGGTTGTTTGTTTGTTTGTTTCTGGAAACCTAGGTCTTGCTATGTGCCATGCATAGAGTGTTCTAATGATTCCTCCATGTGATCATTCTGTAGCTCTAGACTGGCCACCACAGTAAGGGCCTGGCATTGCCTTTACCCCCACCATGTTGGGATTTGTGCAAATTTGCCTGCTGTGCCACACTGTTCTAGATGCCAGAGCAATCTGCGCAAGAGAAGCCTTAATGTGAAAACATGTTTGTCACAACTGTGCTGAGGGGTGGGGAGCAGACAAGTACCTATATTATACTCCCTTTTTTTCTTGACTTGACTGTATAATCTGGACAGAGATGTGTGGAGCACTGCAGGGTGGATGCAAAAGGACAGAAGCAATAATAGCAGCTTTCATACGCAAACTGTGGGTTATCTATTTAGAACAATAAAGAATTATTTAAATATATTGGAAGAAAGAAAGCAGCAAAAGAAGCAGTTGGGCCATTTGATGATAATGGAATTAAAGGAACACTAAGCAGGGGTAAGGAGATACAGAAGCCGATTGAATTTTTTTCATCAGTCTTCACAGTAGGGGATACAGAGCAGATACCTGTTCCTGAGCTTATGTATTCTGGAAGGGAGTCAGAGGAATTAAGGCAGATAGTAGTGACAAAATGAAATTCTCAACCTTATTGACAAACTAAAAGTCAGTAAATTACCCAGTGCAATTGGTATCCATCCTAGAGTTCTCAAAGAACTCAAACATGAAATAGCTGACCTTCTTGACAAAGTATTTACTACGTCCCTAAAATCAGCCTTTGTATAGGACAATGGTCAATGTAATGCCATTTTTAAAAAGGAGTCCAGGGGGGATCCAGGGAATTACAAGGCAGTTAGCTTAACATCTGTTCTCAGTAAACTGCTTGAAAGCATTATTAAAGATAGAATCAGTAAGCATGTAGAGAGAAAAGTCCTGCTGAAAAAGAATCAACATGACTTCTGCAAGGAGAGGTCCTACTGGAGTTCTTTGAGAATGTCAGAAAGCAGATAGATCCAACAGATATTGTTTCTTGGACTTCCAAAAGGCTTCTAACAACTCTCTCACCAAAGACTCCTGAGCAAAGTAAGCAGTCATGGAATAAAGGAAGAGGGGTTCCTCTTATGGATCACTAACTGGTTAAAGAACAGGATGGAGAGACTGGGAATGAATGCTAATCTCCCCAAATAGAATGATATAACCAATGGGTTCTGTAGCAAGTCCAGTACTTTTCAACGTATTTGTAAATGATCTGGAATTAAGAGTACACAGTGAAGTGGGCAAGTTTGCTGATGACACCAAACTTTTTAGGGTAGTTAAAACCAAAAGAGTTTATGAGGCATTCCAAAGGGCTCTTTCCAAGCTGCGAAAAAGGGCAAATGCAGATCATTGTAAGCCATGCATGTTGGGGCAAAAAATCCCAGCTTCAAGTACCAGCTGATGAGAGTTGAGTAGGCAGTGACTAAGCAAGAAAGGGATCTTGAAAATGTCCTTGTTGGCCCTGCGCACGCAACTGCTGTGAAAAAGGCAAACTCCATGCTATACATAATTAGGAATGGAAAACAAAATAGTATTGCCAAGATCTTACTTTCCTTATACAAATTTTTGGTATGACCACACTTAGAATAATGTGTGCAGTTCTGGTCACCTTATTTGAAAAGGGACATTATTGATTTGGAAAAAGTACAAAGAAGAGCAATGAAAATGATCAAGGGGCTGGAGTAACTATGAGGAGCATCTACAACTGGGACTGTTTAGCTTAGAAAATAGTTGAGTAAGGGGGGACATGAAAAGTGCTTAAAATAATGCATGGTGTGAAGGAAATAGAGAGTTAGAGATTTTTCTTCCTTTTTCATAACACTAGAACCCGGGGTCATGCCATGAAGCTGATTGGTGTGAAGTTAGAACAGATAAAAGGAAATACTTCATGCAGCATATAGTTAAACTTCGGAATTCACTGTGATGGCAAGTAGTGATGGCCACCAATTTGGATGGCTTTAAAGGGGGATTAGACAGATTCATGAAGGGGAAAGCTATCAATGACTACTAGCCTTGCAGGCTATGTGCTGCCTCCTTTACCAGGGTGGCATCCCTGCATATAACAGTTGCTGAGGAGCTTGGGCACATGGAGGTCTAATACCCAGACTGCTTGAGGGATCCATGTGTACAGAGTGCTGGACTAGACGGACCTTTGGTCTTATCCAGCATGATTTTTCATATATATTCTAACAAGGGTGTGGCCTTCCAGACATTTTGGCTTACAATTTCCATTCACCATACCCTGCATAGCTTATGGTGAGGGATAAAGGAAGTTGTTGGCAAAAAATATCTAGAGGACCACAGGTTGCTCACTGCTTTGGAAACAAACAACTTTCCTTACATAAGATACTCCTTGTGCCTTTAACATTCTTATCACAGGAAGAAATTCATCAGGTGAAACTTTTGGCATCCTCATTCAACCTTGCCTGTTGAATTTCTGCCTGTTGTGCTACTGCTAAGAAGAGTTTTGAGAAGGTGGTAGTACTAACCATCCTAATACGCCTAATGATACTCTTCCCAGGCATATGTGGAACTTCATGAACTGGTCATGGACAAGAACAATGAGTTTCGCTGGATGGAAGCTTCTCACTGGATCAAACTGGAAGAAGACTTTGAGGAGATGGGGCATTGGGGCAGACCTCATCTTTCATATCTGAATTTTCAAAGCCTTATGGATGTGTACAGGGCTCTTGCCAAAGGTAAGGAAAGGAACTTCAGGATGTGAATCTGTAGCAACATTTGAGTGTTGAGGAACTGGAAAGTTCCATGTACAAACTGTTCCTCTGGCTGTGTACAGGTTATAATTTTGGAGATACAACATGAGTGCTACCCTACTTGCATACCTTCTAAACGTTAGCAAGTATCTCTTGAATTGTCAGATGTCGGCTGGTACGTTCCTTCTTTTTGCATTGTTTGTGAGCAGTTCTTCTGCTTGGGTGAGTGATATTTTACCTGTTCTGGAGCAGGCTGCACTTCCATAAAGGATCCAATTCAAAGATTCAAGGTGCTCTTGGATTCAGCATGTTATTGGAGGCAGAGGTGACCTTTGTAGCATCAAGCACTTTTTATGAGCTTAAGATGATATGCCAGTCAATTTCCAGCAGCAATTCAAAGTGCTGGTATTAATTTACAAAGCTCTAAATGGCTTGTGGACATTCCAGATATATCTGCCTGGACCCTAAGCTCTTCTTTGGATGCCTCTGCTGAGTGAGGTGAAGCAGGTTGCTATAAAAAAGAGGGCCTTTTTGAATGCCTTCCCTAGAGAGGCCTGCCTGGTGCCTACGCCTTGGTCTTTTCAGTGCCAGAAGACCTTTTTACTTTCCAGTCATTTGAGTCCTTTTTAAAAACTGTTGCTACTTTTAAAAATCTTTGCACCACTGCCAGCTTTTTTTTTGGTGCTGGTTTTATTTTATTTTAAACTCTCTGTGTGCATGAGAGACTATGTTACTGTATTTTATGGTTTAAAATTTTGTTTTGTGAACCACCCAGAGAGCTTCAGTTAATGGCAATAGTAGAAAAGGAATAAATGTTTTTCCCCACTCTAGGAACCATCCTACTGGATCTGTCAGAGAAGAATTTAGCTGGCATTGCCAATCGGGTACTTGACCAAATGATCTATGAAGAGCAGCTCAAACCAGAGGTCCGAGATGAGCTCTTCAGAGCCCTCCTACTGCAGCACAGGTATTAATGTCAAGAGTTGGACAGGTTGGACAGCTGGCAACCAAGAGGGGTCAGCAGAATCTATCCCGAGCCATTCCTGGTTAGGTATACTTCATAAGGTTCTGCTAGTGAAAGCTGGGGCAGGCAAGTCACATGCAAAATGCTATTTAGTAGAAAGATTAGAAGTAGAAAAGAGTAAAAAGACACAAGACAAGGCTAGGAAAGCCAGGCCAGAAAGAACCACCCTGCTTGTTGTGTTGAGCAAGGGAATGACCAGCATTAAGATATAGTTTTTCTGGTAGGACTTATGTATAAGGGTATACAAAGTTTAGTTAGTCTTTATAACCAGCTTGAGTAATTCCTGAATAGGAGAAGAGAAGGAATCTGATGTTGAGCTGAACTGTAGAGCTACTCCAAATAGATTCTCCATGTTCAAAGCTTACTCAGCCATAAAGCTCACTGTGTGTCTTTGGGCCAGTCATTAGCCTTCATTCTAATATCTATCCCATAGATTGTTGAGGGGTTAAAAAGAGGGCAGGAGAGCACCATGTGTATAGTTTGAGCTTCTTGCATGAAAAGCAGAATGGGATATAAATTAAACATGTACGTTTGGCTGACCTGTGGCCTAGTTTGAAGATTCTAGAGGCAAGTATCCTGTGTCTGCTGCCGTTTGACCTGGCCTCTCCCTTTTCACTTCTCCACTCAAACGAGGGTAACACAGACACCCTGCTACGAACTGGAAGATACCTGGCTTATTGCCCTCCTGTGCTAGAGGGCAAAAGAAGAACTGCAAAAACTTGTGGATGCCAGGTGTGGAGGGACAGAATCTAAAGGTTTGGAAGGGAAGCAATTTCTAACCAAGACCCAAAGGGAGAACTAGATGCTCTCCCCACATGGCTTAAAAAAGCCCACACATTTTATACCTCTAGGCCAGAGCCAAAAAATCATCAGCCCAAACAATTATGTGCTTCTCTTCAACAATTCAAAAGCTCTTAATCAGCCACTATTTTCTAGTGCAAGAAGAGAAGTGTTTCTCAAACCCATAACCATGGAATTTATGGAAGCTCTGATAGTTACACATGTACAAGTTGTCTGTGAATAAAGTATTTATTAAGTTGAATTATTTACTGTATGCATTCTTTCTGAGATCCTAGACATTAAACTGATGTTTCCTCCCTCCCTGCTTCCCCACCTTTCCTTATTTCTTTCACCCCATATTTCTTTCCCCCTTTGTCCAGTTTTCCTAATGAGTCTGCTTCAGTAGGCACTCTTTCTCCTGCACTGCTGCAACAGACTGATGTCAAAGACTCAGGACAGCCACTTTTGAAGGAACATGAACAAATTGAGATGAAGACTTTTTCTTCTGACTCAGAGCAGGTGAGACCCTGGATTCAGGAAATTGAGAATATCTACTTTGTGGATACAGTGCCAGGAATTCTAGTATCTGAATCAGGAACCTCTTGGGCTAAGTGTATGCAATTTGTATTCAGGTCCCAGAGCACTCTCCAGGAACCAAAACAAAAGAACACGCCCCACACCCCAAAAAAAGTCTGTGCTCAAAAGCAGTCAACCTGATGGGAATGCAGTATGAAACCTCCAGATATATAGGCCTGGCTTGGTATAACTAATAGGAACCTGGCTAAGGTTTCAGGGTCCAGCTCTGATGCTAGCTGCACACAAAGTCCTAGTTCCAACAACTGACTTCAGAGATGCTTAGTTGGAAAGCATGCACTCCCCAACCTAGACCAGGATAGCACCACTCATGACTTGCTACATCATAGCAATAGATTCTTACTGTGGAATAGCCACACTTGCATGACACAGTTTGAATATTTCCAGATGGAGGACTTTCAGCACTTGACAACCAAATTCCTTAACAAATTCTCCATGGTAAGAAAAGAGAAGGCAGAAACAATGTGAAAACATGGGAAGGTTATGGAGGAAGAGGCTATTTTCTGGAACTGCCTGAGGTGAAGAACACGATGTTGCATCACCCATTCCCTGTATAAAAGCCAACCAGATTGACTGTTAAATCTCACTCCAGCTGTAGTGAAGAGGCACCATCCTTGATTGCACCTGAGAGTAGCCCAACTTTGGGGCAGAAGGGAGGGCCACATGGCACACACAACTCTGCTACTCTCTTCATCATCTGCTGCCAGTAGAGTCCCAAATAACTGGGAGCCCATCTGCCCCACCACCCTGATGCCCATGGGTGCATGTTGAAATAAAGTTAGAGGGGTTCTGATGATCTCTGTTGCATCTGAACCCCAGATGAGCTAGCCTTTGGCCCATATGTGCATCATATCCTGTTACACCTCTCTTAAATCTCTCTGTCTGAATTTCTAAAAATCAAATGCCCTCCTCCCCTTGTCCATGCGTTCCTCCTTTAAAATGGGGTGCCCTTAGAAGGCAGGGCCCTTTAAAGGTACACATGCACTCACAGAGATTTTAGAGCATATGCGAAGTAGAATGTGCAAATTTGTGCCTTTTTTGGAGGGAGAGTCGTGTGGCCTTGAGCCTGGATCTTTTTGGCACCTGGCATTGTGCCTGGCTGCCAAAATAAGGCTTCACTCTGCCTAATGGTAGGGTCAGCTCTGATGCAAAGCATTAGCACTGGTGCTCTGACAGCGTTTGATCCTGCTAATGTTCTCCACACAGGTAGAATACTTAGCTCCGGAAATGCCTTAGCTTGGATATCTGTCTTTTTGAAGAGGCCCTTTGGTATGTGCACCAGCGGTACACTGAGTTGGAGAGCCTGTGTCCACATATCCGTGGAGCTTTGTTATTCCCTTGTCAGCACAGCTTTGTGCACAGCTTATCCATGAATGCCATTTTATTAGTGCATTTAAAAAAAACCAGGAGAAAAGGTGTTTTAGCACAAATTCGAAAACATGTTTTCTCCTATAGCCATTAGAAATTGTGAAATGTTCACACAATAGAACATAAAGGAAAAGGTATTTTAGCACACATTTAAACATTGTGTTAAAAACTGTAGCGACAACCCTTTACAAAGCCTTTCCAGTCACCACCGTTTGTGTACCATGTTTTTGTTTTCATTTTGCTCAATTTTGTAACTGTGGAAAAACGGCTGTGTGACTGGTAACCTTCTTCCACATCTGGTGGTGCAGAAGAGGAATGCTCTTGTGCAGTGGTTATTTGGGTTCCATTCCTGGCAAGCCCCACATGACCAACCTTCTTCCATGTCAGGTGCAGCAGCATAAACGCTGTTGCGAGTAGCACACAAGAATTCTGCTAGTATTCATGTGGGGCTCCATTCCATAAGATGAAGCAGCCCAAACAGCTGCTACATGTGGGACAGAAGAGGGATGCTATTTGCTCAGTGTGAGAGGCTGACTTTCTGGACCACCAGCAAGTCAGACTCTGGGCACAGTGAAGTGGACCAGAATCCAAGGAGCCAAGCCTAGGGAATCTGAGATGTTCCCACTGCCAAATAGATTCCACACATCCCTAATCTGCACCCACCAATCATTCCAAGGTAAAGATCAGATCTACCACAAAAATATTTTCTTGCTGGTTTTAAAATATGGGCTTCCCCATGGAGTTAATTTAGCATGAGAAATTAATAGTTAAAGTATTATGACTAGCTCTTGAGTTCAGAATGTGTTAATGGACAACCATACCTGAATTTAGACCTGGAGGCTGCACTTTCCCATTTAGGATTCTTGAGATCATTTCTTGGGCTGCAGGAAGGTTTAAAACTGGAGCACAGAATATGGAACGCATCACTCTGTCAATGCAGTCAAGGCAAAAGGCCTCTTGTATTAGATACAACCAAGCCCAGGTTAAAGTGTCAGCATCTAAGTCCTCAATGTATATAATCCACAGTGAAACCTTCAGTTTTTCATGGCATCATAAGATACTGATGTTATCTCTTCCAAACAATATGTGCAGATTAATCCTAGTATGTTTACTCAGAAGCAAGCCCCACATAGTTTAATAGGATTTATTTTGTAATATATGAAAATAGAATTGTAGTCTGAATTTGCAAAGATTTCCTTGCTTTTAGGGAAGGGAGATCACAAATAGACAATCTGAAAGTTAATTTCTATTCCAGTTGTCAGTACTTCATTTTATAAAATAATGCATTTTAACAAGACCATACATGATACATTTTCACATATTTGCCTTGAATTTAGAATCAGCATGTTTAGACTAACTAGGTACCAGAATATTCCAATGCAATGAATAAAAATGAATTGAATTTTTATTTCAATTGCTCATAGTCCCGATTCTGAGGGGCAGAGATCGAGCACACTGTGAACTGTTTTTTGGCTATGTCCCCATACAAACCTTGGGGAATAACCTTAGCTTTTTCTTGTCACAGAAAAAGCCAGATAGTAGTCATTTCAAGAAGCCGCTTTCAGATAAGGTCCCAGAAGATGCAGAAGCCACATTGGTCCTAGTTGGTAAGTATCTTGTAATGTGTTAGGAGATTAAAGGGGTCCCGTGATGGGAGGAGCAAGACCTACAGCTCAGTGGGAGAGCACTTTACATGGAGAAGGTTTAAATTTTGGTATCTCTAGTTGAAGGAACCCATGCGAAGGCCTGAGGAAAACCTCTAAATAAACCTTAGTATCCATGGTAGCTAATAGACTTTCTATTTTAAGAACACCAAAGGCTCAAAACAGAAAGCTATTGCCTTCATGTCTTGTTTGCTGATTTTGTGGAAATGTTTAAGCAGTCACTCTTGGAAAAAAGATGCTGGACTGAATGGGTCAGGGTGGGCAATTTTTAGCTGTCCAGATGCTTTGGTGTGCAACTCCCATTAGCCCTAGCCTGCATAACCAATTAGAGGTATAGCCCAGCCTACCTGAAATTGATGGATCCTTGGGCTGATTGTGCAGGACAATGACCTCAACCCTTCTGAGAGTGGGGGATTCTTCAGAATTGGATTCTTGAGATAATGTAATGTTAGATGAAAAGCCAGGCTGAATGTGCTCATGTTTATCAATAGTCAGACATTTGCTTGTGATGAGTAAATCTCCCCACAGGGATTTTTTAAATGTCTTATTTTTTGGAAATTGGAAGAGAGGTGATCTGCCCTGCACCAGTCCGAATATAAATTTAGTGCACTTCTGCAAGGCTAGTAATTTTTGTGGATGTACCTCTTCACAATAAGGTTGTACCTTTTTATTTTTATCAACTTCTATCCTGCATCTTGTATCTGTAATGCAAAAACTTGATGTGCAGATGTTAATAAGTGATCGTTCTTATCTGCTATGAAGTTTTACTTGCTGACTTTTGAATGCCCAACTCCTGCTTAAAGGCATAGTCATATAGTTACAGGAAAGTCCACAGTTTTTCTGCCCATTTGGCAACTTTAATGTACAAGGCTGCCTACGGTCCATGTTGGGTGTACTCTGTACTTCTCTGCTATCACCACCACTGCTACATAGGTAGAGTGATGCATGAATGTCTGGTGGACTTCAACTGCTCTGTTAAGAGCTGCAGGATGGATAAGGCCTGGTTGATGTGGTGTACGCACTGCACATGAGTCTGTGAAGGCATGAGTTCATGATTTAAAGAATATTTCAAAATTGGTAGACCGTACCCCACAAACTCAAACGCTGTCTGCCTAAAAGCCCAATTTTATGTAAACAAGGTAAACTCCACAGAGTTCTCCCTCGGGCTATAGCCTTAGGCCAGAAGCACTAGGTTTCACCTTCAACTACTTCCAGGATCCTCATAGAAAGCACACCCCATCCAGACCAAATCAAGGAATACTTTCATATAGTTACACGGAAGGCTAAAGAAATGTGAAATGGCAAGGTTAATTGTTGCTTAGGCTTCACCCATACTCTTTTGTAGGGAACCAGGGTTAGTTGAAAGTGCTCAGCACTGACGTTCATTGGAAAAATTGCAGAGAAAACAGGCTTCTACATACATGCCTCAGTAAGGTAAAATCCCTAGCCATTCAAGGCTGAGTTCAAGGCTGGCCAACACTGATAGAGTTCGCATTAGGATGCAAAACAAATTCTGCCTCAAGTGAGACTTGTTTCAAAAATTTCAAGATATTGGAAACTAAAAGAAAAAAATGCTGAATTGTATCTCAGGGCCTACTCATCACCCCACAGTTTTCAGTGTTAGTGTCAGCATCTTTAATTGCAAAAGACTAGCAAAGACATTTCTCTGCTGCTGCCCACACCTTTCTTTTTTACTTCCTTTTCCTCTTTCTGATTAAAACTAACATAAACAAATTTAAAATTGCAAAGGGTTTGACATTTTGATGTTCAAGACAGAAAATTCAAAATGCTCCCTTTTGTTACTGTCAATATAAAGAATAAATTCAATAACTCACAGGTTTGCATGTTGTTCCAAATTTGCTGCCTCTTTCTGCCAAATGGTATGGTCAGTCAGGTTAATTCCATGCCAACATGACATATGTGAATCAAGAAAGGCTTGGGAAGAGGTATATCACCTGGTTCTGGTTACCTTGTACTTTCTGGAAAGGAAAGCAGCTATGTTTGTTGCTGGCAGGAACTCTTCTTTGCTTCTCTTTCTGGCTTGTCAAAACTTGGTTGCAAACTTAGCTTACTTTGCTATCTCTCGTTTTCTTCCCTTGTTCCATTCTCTTCCACCCGCTTTGCCTCTACTTGGATCCCTTCCCTTCCTGCCCATGCTCTGCATTTCTCTTGCTCTCTCTTTGTGCCAAGGCCCCTAAATGATGCCCCATACCCATCCATCCTCCCTTCAGGCCGTGCCGCCTTCGTGGAGCACCCCACTCTGGCTTTTGTACGCTTGAAGGATGCTGTGGAGCTGGATTCTGTTCTGGAGGTCTCTGTGCCCACCAGATTCCTTTTCGTGGTTCTGACTCCAAATTCCCCACACACCAACTACCATGAGATTGGGAGAGCCATCTCAACAATGATGTCTGAAAGGGTAAGCTTGAATAACTCATAACGTCAACCATGGAATCTCCTTCCTGGGCAAGTATTTAAGGAACTATTGTGTGATCGACAACTAAGAGCCCACTTAGGTGTAGGCCCAGTGCTAAGAGCTTGGCCGGGTTAGAGCAGTTCATCAGGAACTTCTGTGGAACTTCTATTTAGAATATACAGGCACTGGGTTTTGGCCTCTGAAGGACTATTTATTTCCCTGCTGAGGGCAAGGCATAGCAATCAAATTAAAAGAAGCCAGGTTCAGCAGGCCTAAATGTCATTGCAGTGCTAACAGAATGTCCAGGGATCAAGATGATGACTAGATCAAGAAAGAATGTAATGTTTTACATGTATATTGGGGATGGAAAGTAGTGGGACCTCTTCATTTGGGTCTACCACCCACCAGCACTTAAGACTTGAAAAAAAAACTTCTTATTGATTCCAGTGAGTGGTTTTTTCAAGCCTATTTAACATGAACTGCTGGGGAGAAGGAATTGCAGCTGAGGAGGGCAGTGTTAAGTCTCCTCATTTGAACATTGCCACCATCATCCCTCCAATTGGAGTCCCTTTACCAAATGTAGAAATGAAGAAGTCTTTCAGTGGAACTAATGGGAGGCTTTTAAATGCCTTAGTACTACATGGGGAAACTTTGAGTATGGATCTGTATGAATGTGTGTGAATGGGGGCAAATGTGTGACTTTGACCTCTGCCTACCTCTAGCATACAGCTTCAGGGAATTTAACCCTCAAGCTGAAAGTAACTCCACACTAGGGTGGCCACTTAAGATCTACCAAAATAGAGGAAAGGCATCACCCCCAAAGATTACCATTTGGCATAAAAATGCACATACAATTTTAGCAGTATAAATTTAGAATAGCCTATTTAGAAATACATAAATAAAATCAAAACATTATTTGTAAGAACTCTCTGAGGTAGCCAGCATTTATTCATTTATTTTCCTAAATCCACGTATTTATTACAATTCTAGCTATTCTTTTCTCTAAGTCCAAGATGGTGTATATATAGACTTCCTCCCCACATTTTGTTCTCACAAGAACCCTGTGAGGGTTCCTGCAGCACAACAAGCCATGGTGGTTTCTTGAGTAGGATGGTCGGTCATGTTGTCTAAACCCTATCATAGCATTTCAGCATGGTATATTTGGTTTTCAGAAACCACAATAAGAAACAACACTCTGTTCTATAGTTTCCACACTTCACCATGGTGTAACGCATGGGTTCTCAAACTACAGCCCGCAGGACAGATCCGGACCGCCATGGCCATCCATCCAGCCTGTGCCGCTGTTTGCCCCCTGTGCGTGAGCTTGCTGCGTGGGCGGGGAGGCAGTGGCTTGCTCACTCGAAGATGGTCTCTGAGCAAGCAAGCCACCGCCACCGCCTGCCTCCTGTACGTGCGCTCGATGCTGCCTCGCAGCGCGGGCAGGGAGGTGGTGGCTTGCTCACTCGGAGATGGTTTTGGACTCGCACCTCACCGGCCCGCACTCCCAGGCACCCCCCCCCATCGGCCCACAATGGTCACTGCAGCTTCAACTGGCCCCCTATTGAAAAAGTTTGAGGACACTGGTGTAATGGTTCCCACAGTCCTGAATGCAGCTACTACAGAGGCCCCAGAAAAGAGCAGCTGTTGCTGCTGGAGCTGCTCAAGCCATCCAGCATGGGATGAATTTCAGGCATAGTGGCCAATGGGACATGTGCCAACAGTGGGAAATCTGAGTGAGGAGAGTGGAAACTACTTAATTGTCTGTCAGGCACATTCAGGCAAAAAAACATGCATCGTGGAAACCATGCAAGGTTGCTAATCATGGCTTGTGAACCAACCATTGACTAGACTAGGCTCATCCCAGTGAATTTCACCACTGAATACAGAGTTTAACCTCGGTCTCTCCAGTTCCAGGTCATTTCTCTCACCACTAGTCCTCATCTATGAGGGCTAAAATGAATGAGCAATGACTTGCCCAAGGTCACTCTGTGAATTCATTTGGCAGAAGTGAGATTTAAACTGGCAAGCTCTTGCATTACCTTTCATTTTCTTAGACACGATGATACACCAGAAAGGCTTTGCTATAGCTCTCAGGCAATGAGATGGTTGGACAAAAGATTATTAATAAAGGTCTAAAACAAGAGGAAATACCTTCCATACAAGGAAGCCTGCTTCAGTGTTGTGGGTCTAGGGCAGAAGAAATATGCAACTGCATGATCAGACCCAACATATGAATACATGGTACTAATTTATGTGAGGGATGACACTGAACATACGGTTGTACACCACCCAGGCAGTTCATTTGATCTGTTTGGTGGCTTATAGATGTAAAATTAAAAATAAAAAAAAATAACACAAGGAGCTTGAGATCATCCTTTACCTTAGTGCTGATTTCCCTGTTCTGTACAAGCAGTACACAGTTATGAACAAGTTCTGTTCCTGAGAAAACGGAAATTTATATTTCAGTTGAATTCATATTTAATGTGAATTGTGTATAGTCTGCCCTCCACATTTGTGTGGGTTGGGGTGGAGGACCCTGCAAAAGTGGAAAAACTGCAAATATCTGTAGGCCCCTCCCCACCAAACTCACCAATGCCTCCTCTTTGCAGCAGGGAGATGCCAGAGAGATTTCCTTCTCTGGAGGGTAGGGCAGGAAAGGCCTGCTTTAGAGGCCTTCCCTTTCACCCCTTTGGCTTCCTCTCTCTCTATGGTAATGATTATTTTTTGCAATATTTTTTAAAATTAAAAGGCTTTATGGAAGTTTGTTTACAAAAGGAGTTGTTCATAACTTGGACTGCCTGTACACCAGTTTCTACATTGCTTCATGTAAAAATTAGTATCCCATTGAAAAGGTATTAGAACTTCCTTATGAATGTGTCTTGATTATAAATGGATGACTATATTGTCATGTCCCTCATTGCTGCCATTAGTCATGTTAAGTCTACTCCTCCTCCATTATCAAAATGTTTTTCCTTCCTAAAGCTTAAGATGCATGTACTCTGTATAAACATATAGTGCGATAATCAACCCTTTCAACAGTTAGACTGCACTGAAGAACCTTTTTGTCACCTAACTTGGTGCTTTCCAATATTTTGGACTTCATTAGCCTTGACAAGAATGGCCAGAGTTCTGGGCACTGTACGGCATTATATTGGGCAATATATTTCTCTGCAATATATGTATTACCTGTCTTGTGTTAGGTTTGGAAGAAGATAGTTAAGCATAACCATGCCATGTATACATTCTTTTCAGATTTCCACAGGTTTTTATTTAAATGCAAGCACATTATACTCAACAAAGGGCATGATTGTCCTTCTCATATAAAATAGAGCTCAAATGTGTGCAGCAACATGCACTGTCTAGATCAGGGGTCTCAAACTCAACTTACCTGGGGGCCACTGGAAGTAGAGGCTGAGTGAGGCTGGGCCGCATCAAGTATTCCACCACCGCGGTGGTGGTGGGCCGCTCATCTGGAGGCCGGCCCGGGCGCTGCCGGCGCTTCGAAGGCCGCAGGGCCCCTCCCCCGTGCCCCGCCCATCCCGGCAATTGGCCCGCGGGCCGCGAGTTTGAGACCCCTGGTCTAGATGGACTGTTATTGGGAAGGATCCCAGCCTCCAAATTGAGAGGAGAAAGTTCAGCTGTTGTGATTGCTCAGCCGGGACTCTCTGTCAGCTGTGCAGGCAAAAGAGAGGCATCCCAGGGGTATGTTGGGCCAGATCAGGGGAGACAATAAATCCACTGGATCCAAATCCTCCTCATTCTCCAGAATGTGAGGAAATAATGCCATTCCTGAAGCTCGTGCATTTATTTTTGCACAATAGTAGAAGAAATTGTTATATATAAAAAGAATAACTGGTAGTAGAAGGGGTGGGCAAGCTGTCCCCTGCTTTCTAACCTGGCTGGTGCAATCCATCAGGGCTTAGGAATTAGATTTCTGTGCCATGGACTCCCCTGGCTCAGTAAAACCTCTCTGTTTAAACATTTTCAAAGCAGCCACAAAATCGCTCCAATTCCACTAGAACAGGGACAGTACGGAGAATATACCTTCCATATTTAATTGGTCGTCTTCTATTATTTCATTTTAACAAGCATATACATGTATCTAGTTTGTTTTTTATTTGGATGTATGTAAATTTAGACTTAGGCAAATTTAGACTTAGGCATAGAGAGACAAAAAACATTCTATGAAGGGTGGAGTCTTGTTACCTACTCACTCTAACTCTTAAGTGAATGAAGAAGAGTTAATGAGTCTTTTGACTTAAACCCAGCTCTTTATGTGAGTTTCATCATGGTGTCATAGGCCAGGAAGTCAGCCATGTCATTCAGGGGGCAGGAAGATTCTCTGAACATTTCTGCCAGGTGCTGCCCCTTCCTTGAACACTGAAATGCAGTCTCAGGGTTTCTTCTTTTTTCTGGCTAGGTGTTTCGCAATGATTCCTACCTGGCAGAGAGAAAGCAAGACCTGCAGAAGAGTATGAAGGAGTTCCTGGATTTTTGCATTGTCCTGCCACCCTCTGATATCCAAAGTGAAAGACTCCTCAAGACATTGCTACCAGTACAGAAGGACCTCCTACGGAAGCGGTACCTGCCTGTGGAGAAGCAGCAGCAAGAGGAAGAGGTGTTAGGTATGACTCAGTATGGAAAGACCATTCCACTTCTACATGAAACTTTGCATGATGAGTATCAGAGGCAGTATCCCTATGTACCCCAGTTGCTGGAGGACTTGGTCAGCAGGGTGCTGCTATACTCGCATCCTGCTTGTAGGATCCTGTGGGCAACTGCTTGGCCACTCTGTGAACAGAATGCTGGCCTGGATGGACCCTTTGTCTGATGCAGCATGGCTCTTCTTATGTTGTTATAAATGTCAGGAACTAGAGAGTTGCAGTAGTTGAATCCTTTTGGAAAAGCAGTGGGAAGATACTGTGGGAATGAAGTTGGTCTGGAAGCTTTGCTGTCTCATTCCAGGTTTGGGGGGATGAATTCTACTTACCAAACAGTCTGAGATGCCAGGGTGTGTAATCATATCACACAGCCATAGATAATGGTAGTGGGTGTAGAATTCTGTGTCATGGTTTAAATCACTGACACTGCCTCTTATGATTTCTTAAGCTTGCATGAGGTTCTCAGATACCTTTGATAGTACAAGTGTAATTCCATGTGTGGGACTAAACTGAGAACATTGACAGAAACAGTGTTAGGTAATCTGATGCCCTCCATGTGTCTTGAACTACAGCTCCATAACCTCAGTCACTATGACAAATGATCAGGCACAAACAGGATTTTGGATTTCTAGTCCAAAACATGGAAGGCACCAAGTTTCCTAACCAGGACAGAAAATATTTGGGGACATCGCAGAAGCTAAGTGGAGTGGTAGAGCAAGAATACAATTTCCAGTAGTAAGAGAATGTAACTTGATTTGGGCCATGATTTTAGCCATGATCTAGCCAGCCTTTTAATTTTCCACAGCACTCCTTACCTAGTGTCACTTTATAGCATTGTGATAAATTAAAAGGGTGGCTTGACAGGATTCAGCAACCCAGTGCTGCTTGCAGTAACCCACTACATCCAGGTAGGTCCACAAGGGTTCACAGATAGAGCCCCCCCCCCCCCCCCCAAGCATCAGTGTCAGTACCCTCTCAAAATGGCAGGATACTTGGTTCAGTGACCCCTCAAACCTGGCCCTGAGTCAGTATTTCCATAATTTAAAGGGCATCTTACCTAAAACAAACAATTTGAAGCAGCTCCATGGGTCCCCGCCCACTGATAATCATTTCTTCCTCCCACAGCCAGTCTTGTCATTGCCTGTCTTCTTCTGTCTTATGTAGAGAAAAAACAGAAAGTCCGGGCTGGCAAAGATGACGATGACCCCTTGCGCAGGACCGGCATACCTTTTGGGGGTCTATGGAGAGACATAAAACGTCGGTACCCCAAGTATCTCAGTGACATCACCGATGCTTTTAATGCCCAGTGTTTGGCTGCAGTCATCTTCATCTACTTTGCTGCCCTTTCTCCTGCCATTACTTTTGGGGGTCTTCTGGGTAAGAAACATGAGGCTACTAGCTGCATTTTGACCAAAAGTCACAAATGATCAAATGGGAAAGTAGCACAGCACCCCTTCCCTTTGTCTCTCCCTCCCTCTGAGAGATAAGGGTGGGCAGGGGAGAAAGATGATGACATAAATATCCCCAGCAGGATCTTCTAAGTTTTCCATTTGTTTTCTCTATGTCCTTCACATATATGAGCAGAATATGGTCCCATGAACAACAGCTAGAAAACTGTATGGGGAAATCCTACTAGCAGCTACTTGCTTATTTATTTTCTAATAAACTAAATTTTAAGTAATCTACACTAAAAGAATAAGAAACCATTTAAAGTGTGAAAACACCTGTTTAACCTTTGGACAATAAGGAGTTCTGTGGAGGTCCAGTTTTTAACAATGTAACACTTATTCAGGGTGCAATCCTATGGACTCTTAAGGTTCTCTGGGGGGACAAAGGATTATTTGGAACCCCAGCTCTACAGCCCTATAACCTCAGTCTGAAGACTCCAAATCCTGAGCCTCCACACTCCTCTCTCACAGGAAGAACTGCATTGGCTACTTCTCTGAGGGTTCAATTGAGCCATGGAGAAGGGAAAAGGGGTATACAGGGCACAAGGAAGGGAGGAGACTATCAGCTCCCTACTTTCTTCTTTCCTCCTCAAAAGTCTTTATATGTCTGAAAACAGTCTAGATAAACTTCATGGAACAAGGAGCAAGGTGCAATGCCGCACCTGACCTGCATATGGGATACACATAAGCCTCAGAGTTTGAAGGCAGATGTGTACCTGATACTGGGGTCATTGGATAGCACTATTAGTGACTCTGTGTGTATGTGTGTGTGTTTGGTGCTTCTGTGGCAACAATTAAGGTATACTTCTGATGTGTATGGAAATGGTTTTCCCCCATCTTTGTTCCTTGTCAAATAAACAATATGAGGGACACACAACCTTCCAGTTTTGCAATGTCTATAGAAATGGGAAATTCTTTCCAGAATGCATAATTTGAATGATACAGAAGTGTTGTTATATAATTAAGGCTAGAGATGGGAGATACTTTTTCAGAAAGTTGAAAGAAGGTTGAAAGAGAGATTGCAGCTCATCTTACATTCATCTCTGCTAAAAAGGTTGTTGCATTGCAAAACAACTTTTGTCTGGGAGAAAGTGGAAATGTGTGCACCACAAGGATTTAAGTATCTCTTATATGTTGTCATGTTACTCAGCTCAACACTTCTAAGTGCTCTTATCAGCATGCTTCTGGAATTGCTGAGTTTCAAAGGGGAGAAGAGGCCCTAACTTTGTGCTTTCTTTCTGCTGTTTTCAGGGGAGAAGACTAATAATATGATGGGAGTATCTGAGCTTCTGCTCTCTACAGCCATTCAGGGTGTAATCTTCTGCTTGCTTGGAGCTCAGCCTTTGCTTGTGGTTGGCTTTTCTGGGCCCCTTTTGGTCTTTGAAGAAGCCTTTTATCAGGTAGGTATCCTGTTACAAATCACGTCTTTGTTGAATTATGACCCACTTCCTATACTGGAGTGCGTAATGGTTAAATGTCTGTCCAAAGTAGTCTAATTTTGCAAAATAGAACCTACCACTGCACACTCCCATATATTTGCATAACCCAGGCAGCATTAATCACCATCATTCATTCATTCATTACCACAAGATACAGTGATGGCCATTAAACTAGATTGCTTTTAAATCATAATAGAACAATTTGAAATTAATAGGGAACACTTATGTTAATCACAATTATTAACCACAGTGGAACTTCTATGTTAACTAGTGGTATATCTCTATTTTTTAAATTTATAAAACCATACCCAATGGTCCCAAAGAGGGACTTATGAGATATTGGAGGAGAAACAAATCTATCACCATAGTGAACATCTCTAGATTTCTAGCTGACAACTGCTGAGAGAAAAAATGTTAGATTAGGTAAACGTTGATCCTTTGAAACAAATCTTATGTTCTTAGGCACCAGTTATTGGCTAGGTGTTCTCAGAGTTAGTTCTATAGCCATAAGAAGAAAGAAGAAAGTTATATGTAGATTTGGCTACAAGTTTCTATGTGCATTTCGGTTGAGGAGCAGGCATGACTATTTCAATATCATTTAGATCAATTATAAGTGAAAGATAATGCATGCCATAGCTGGACTGAGAACAAGAAAAATTGTGTCTCAATAGGTTTTATTGTGTTTTTCTCTCTCCTTCCCAACCCTCTATTTCTCTCTATTTAGTTTTGTAAAAGTAACGGGTATGAGTACATTGTGGGGAGAGTCTGGATCGGCGTTTGGCTTGTTATCTTGGTGCTGATAATAGTGGCTGCTGAGGGCAGCTTCCTGGTCCGCTTCATTTCCCGCTACACCCAGGAGATCTTCTCCTTCCTCATCTCCCTCATATTCATCTTTGAGACATTTGCCAAACTAGTCAAGGTATTATGGCTTCCATTTTTATCCATTACAGGATAGATTCCAGTGGAGTTGTGCACTGTGTGTGGGTGTGGGGGGGGGGTGAGAGAGAGAGAGAGATCTTTATTTTTGCCTTTTTTAAAAATTACAAAAGTACAATATATCAAAATGTAGCATGAATTCCTCTCTTCCAACTCTTCACTCTCTCCAGGTATTCCATGTATAAGTGTGTAAGTCCAAAGCAAGCTAAATAACAGTGAAGTTCATGTGTTGGGATTTGGATAGCTGTGATTGTTAAAATTGTCATCAAGAAATTCCATAAATTGTTGGGGGTTCCACCATTGGACTGTCTCTTCTAAGGAACTGAATGAACATGTACATATTTCTTCAAAATCATCTTTAACCATCATGTTGTTTAAAGCTTTAAGTTGCTTTGATAGTTTCTCTATGAAAGCAATGTTCCATATCTTTCCAACTAAGCCTTCAGTGTTAATTTAGCAGTTGTTTCCCAATATCTGGTTGCAGCCACAAAGATTATTCAATCTTTAAACATTAGGGGGGCAATCCTATGGACATACCCATAACCCTCTGAACTTGGAGGATTATGGGAATTCATTGAAGAGCAGGAGGAAAACGGAGGCAGCTTTCCTTTACACTCTTCCTGTTCTGCAAAGCAGCTAGATGGCCACTTTCAGCTGTTTAACTGTCTAACCTCTTCTCTAAAGTAACTTTTGCATATTTGTAAATCAGCATGACTGTTACAAAATGCCAATAGGATTCCAGTACCTTATTTAAATGCCAATAAGATTCCATGTCTCCTTCTGTAGAGATGAAAATATGGCTACGTATGCTACTTCCAGAACTTCTCATTGCTCAGAGAAGTAGGGTAACAATATTCATTCCCCTTGCTAAGGTGTTTCAAAGCTGGCACTATGCTACTGATTTAGTTTCTTATAGTTGAGCACATGGGAGACATACAACGCCTATGTAGTTATTTGCTTTCTTTAGCAATATACAAGCAGAGCCTAACTGGGGGCAAATGGGAACATCTACTTCAGCTAAAATTTATATTAAATACCTTTATTAGGTCAACCAAAAGTCACAAGTATATGCAAGCTTTAAAGATCTCCAGTTCTTTTAATCAGGAAAGATGTCTCAAGTAGTAGGTTGGGATGGGATGTGGGGAATAGGGAAGAAAATAAATTGGGCTTATTGATTTATTCTATCCTGCATTTCATCCAAAGAGCCCTGTTTTATCCTCACAACAGTCCTGTGAGATAGGGAAGACTGAGAGTCAGTGACTGGCCTAGTGTCACTTGGGGCATAATCCTAAGTATATTCAGAAAGAAAAAGTACTACAACTCATGGGCTGGCTGGGAAATGCTGGGAGCTGTAAGATGTTTTTCTGTCTAAACCTGCATAGGCTTGTACCCTCTGTGAGTTTCATGGCAGGGTGGGGACTAGAGCCGCTATTTCCTGAGTCCCAGTCCAGTACTGCAAAACACAGGGTGAAGCCATAGTGTTAATATAACCAGAGTCTCAAGAGGAAGTGCAGGAGGAGTGGGGTGGAGAAAAAGGGATGAATTTTTAAAGGAATGTTCTGAAGAAAACTGTGACATGGCAAAAAGGAGCCTGGGGAAGGGGGCACGGGGCAGGAGTATGAAAAAACAACCAACAGCAGCAAGATTTTGCCTTTCAGTCAGTTACAGTTGAGTCATCGATAATAACTGAAGCCAAGTACCGCTACCTCAAGGCTTGGTCTGTGTGTCTTGAGACAGGTTTCAAGAGATCGTTTGCTGAATATATAATGATTGGACTCCCTGCTTTACATTTTATTGTTTTAGATACTTACTTTAAATCACTGATTAATGATCTCCCCTCTGTGGCCTGCTTGGCGCCAACATTGTCATCTCAGCATCAGGTTAAAATTGCCCTCTACTCCCAGTCATTTAATGATATATGTCAGCTGATTTAACAAGTCTAGCTTTTATTTAAATTGTTGCAGATGTTTAAACTTTAAAAAATGTTGTATACTGGTATTTTACACCATTTTATTATATCTGTATATTTATTGCATCCATTTTTATTGTGAACTGAAAGCTTCAGCTGTTAGGTAGCATAGAACTGAAACTAATCATCACCATCTCCCAGTTGGATTATTGCAATGCTTTGTATGGGTAGCTGTCTATGAAAATAGTTTGGAGGGTTCAGTTACTGGAGAGTACAGTTTTGACTGGTACTGCTTGTTTAGGTTACATCACTTCAATTTTAACAGCCCCACACTGGCTGCGTCTTTCTAAGCCCAATTCAAAGAAGTGTTCCTTATTTTCAAAGTCTTAGAACCTGTGTATATGAGAGACTGTCTATTTCCGTTTCAACCTGTTTGCATTTCAGGATCATCTGCTGATGCCCTCTATGAGTGGTTTTTCCTGGCTATGGAGATGTGGTACATGTTAATAGGGAATTTTTTGGGTGCACCAAAATGGCTATATTTTAATTGTATTGACCTACCCTGGAAGCATTTTTTGAAGTACAGTCCAAAAGATTCCTGTGTGCTTCATTAAAGTTGGGCAGAGTGGATCATGATCTTGCCTTTTTGTTTCAGGCTGAAAAAGTCTAAGGTTGGTACTGGTCATTATGCAGGCAGTCCTGAAGAGTCCTCCAAAGGGAGGAGTCCACATGCATGGCAGAATGAAGGGACATAATGCTGAGGCAGTAGAATGAACTGTACTGCCATAGGATCAATGTCTGAAGGCTTCCCTCTGTTAAAAGGAAAACTGATTTTATAAGCTAAGAACTGACCTGGAATATTTAAGTCATGCTACTTTTCTATTTGCAAACATTGTTTTTGCAAAGGCAAAACAACAGTCTTGTAGCATCTTAAAGAATAACAGATATAATCAAACAAATTTTTGTGGAGTACGGCTCTCTTTTTCAGATGTATGATTATGGAGAGTTACAAGTTTTCATAAAGCATATATGGCAGTGGTGGCTATACAAATTTGAAATTTGCCAGCATATTCCATGCATCTTAAGAAGTGGATTATGGTCCATGAACGCTCATGTCAGAAGAAAATGTGTTTGTTTTAAGGGGCCACAGAACCTGTCATTTTTTGCTACCCTTTGGAAATTTTTGCATGGCAAAAAATTGAAAAGTGGTATCTCACTTTGAAGTGGTACCATCCACTCACCCACCTCATTCTAGGGAGATCTAGTCTAAAAGAGCAACGGAATCCAATTTCAATTAGGCTTAGCCTACACATGCAACAATTAAATTTTCAGTGCTTAACATCAGTATACTTCACCCACATTCTAAAATGGGTCATCAGTTCTGTCACCTCCAGATTCAACCATATCCTTCTTCTGCCTAGCCCTTAGAATTTTTGGTGGGGGGGCACACATTTTTTAGCTGAATGCAGCAGCTGCTATTTTTATTTATTTAAAACATTTGTATTTTTGTTTGGTTGTGCTGAGACCTTCTCAATTCCCTGCTTACACCACTTTCTAATACATCTGCCTTGTTTTACAGATTTTTGAGGCACATCCTCTGAAGGAAATATATACGAACAGCACTCTATTCATAAATGGGGAGCCACTGGAAGCCCAACCCAACACTGCTCTGCTGTCCCTCATCCTCATGGCAGGAACATTTTTCATTGCTTTCTTCTTACGAAAGCTCAAGAACAGCAGTTTTTTTCCTGGCAAGGTAAATCCTGTATAGAACTTGGTTGTAATAAGACATTTGCATGTTTAGGGACTTTAAAAGGAGGTTAAGGAGGTTTAGTCTGCTTTTGTATAATGGCCAACTGATAGCTGAAATGAACAGCATGGGTTGACTTGCATACTGAAACAGTGGGATGCTGGGAAAAAGGTTTTGATTATCAACTCAATTTAAAATAAATGGGACTTCCTTAGTGTTACGGTAGCATTACATCTGAAATATTTAGTATTAAATAGGGCTGCAATGTTTAATCAATTAGATAATTTAAAACATTATAATTGCTTGAAAAGGTGTCCCTTATTAATCAAGAAGTAGTTTTTATTGTTTTAGTTATTTTTAATAACATTTTTGTAAATAATAGAAAACAGAAAGAACAAAAACATCAAAAGAACATGTTACCAAGGGACCACACACCAAAATTGCTCGTAAAACTAGATGCAAGAAGTTCCACAAAGAATCAGCAATAGACTTTGTTTCATCTAAACCTATAACTACAATGTTACATAACACTTATGGATAATACTCAATTAGTAAGCAGCCAAATAAGACTAATTTAATGAGTTAGCTGTGATTCACCCCAGAGCATTTCCAGAAATCAAATTAGAATCAAAGATTTTCTCGTTTTTCTCTTCTGCCTACTTCCCTGTCTCCCACTCTTCCTCCCCTTCTTATTTCAGAAAACAGTGATATCCAAAGATTCAATTTTTTCTCTCTCAGTTACAAATAAAATAAAAGTTAATAAGCTTTCCTAATACGTTTTCCTTGTAACTAAATTTATTAACTGGGTTTCCTTTCACAATTTCAGAGACTTCATTATTGACAGTAAAGTTGTGTAATACTTCTGCAGTCATGATTTTTGCTTTCTTAACATTTTGCTGTAGTCCTGCTTTTACAATTTCTTATTTTCACTTTTATCAGGGGTTGTTTCAATTCATTGCTGATTTCTGCCAGTAATATCATATGCATATCCTGTCAAAGTATCTTCTGAGGATTTTCATACATTCATCCTCTGATCTTAATCCAGCTTGCTTTATGATCTTTGCACCTTGTCTGATGCCTTTGCTTAGAGTGATGCTTACAAAAACCATTCTGTTTCTCCACACTCTGTCCTAACAGTAGCTTCATATCCCCAACACAGGTATCTCTTTTGTATAGTTCTTCCATATATTGTTTCTCCTTCTCTTTACTTTATCCTGGTCAGGTAGGGTGCTCCCAATTGACTTTCTGCATTCCTAATCTAGAAATGAATTACTCTGATTATTTGGATCTTCTGGAAAAGATCTCTCATTTTTCCTTTTGGTGTTCTCATCTATTTCTTTGCTCCAGCAAATGTAATAGATCTTTTAGTCTCTACTTGATAGATGTTGACAAGCTGCAGTTAGGATTCTGACCTTATTTCTGTCAGAAGTAGTTTGCTCACACCAAAAATTATGATGCGTAACTGTTCCATTACTTGCTTTAAGTAATCCAGTTTACCTTGATTCATACTTTTCATGTTCCATGTCCCAATTGTACTTGCTTTGTAGCACTGGACTTTCCTTTTGCCTTTGTACATGTCAGCCACTAAACTTCCTTTAGGTTGTGGTCTAGTTGCATCAATACTGTGCTATTCGTACCTACACTTTGCTTTTCCTTGGTAGCTGCTTGAGTGCCTTCTGATCTAGAAAGGCACTGTCATCTTATCACCATATCTTGCTTCATTTTGGTTTGTTTTATTAGATGATTTAGAAGGTAAGAAATATTCAGAAGTGGTTTACCACAATACTAAGCAGAGTTAGCTTGTGCATCACTGCCTTGTTTGTGAACGATCCTCTGCCAATGTCACTTGCAATTACCACTGCCACCCAGGAACTCTTATCAGGAGTTTCTCTGCCCTCATCCTCACTAGCACTATTGATTCTCATTTTCCTCCTCCTCCTCCTCCTCCTCTTCTATTGCATTTATATTCCTCCTGTCCTTCTCTTGCAAGGAATCTGAGGCAGCTCACAATGTTCACTTCCTGTCCGCTTTATCCTCACGACAACAATCCCATGAGATTGAAAGACAGTGACTAGTCCAAAGGTAGCAGTAGGCTTTTATGTCTGAGTAGGACCTAGAACTCATATCTCCTGAGTCCCAAACCAACCTCTGCATCACATTGGCTCTCCAGTGATTGTTCATGTGATGTGACCTCTACTCCTGAAGAGGGTAGATACATCTTAGTCTGTTGTCTCAGCTTTGATCATTTTGCTTATCAGATATCAGAACAGTATACAAAAATATCCCTAAATACAATAAACCAAACCAATGAAACAACTTTTAAATTAATAGAACTGTTAAGGCAGCAAATACCTAAAATAACCAGTCACCAGGTAGCCCATTTAGGGTATCATCCTATGAGCTCCTGATATGGTCTGGAGTGGGGGCAGGCATAGGATTATTTGGGGTCCTGGCACCAAGGTCCTGTGAACTCAGAGCTATACTCCAAATGTGGAGTCCCTGCCCCACCCTTCTTCCAGCTAGAAAGAACCATACCAGCTCTCTCCCCAGAGTTGTATGCTGGCCCAAATGGCACCATAAGACTCTTTTTCCCCTCTGTTTTACTGCATCTAGACAGCTGAAAATGACTATCTAGATGAAATGCAGCATGTGAGCTGTGAAATCAGTGACAACTGTTGCTGTTGTGCCTCATCCCATGCACTAGATGCATGTAAGCCTCCATGTTTGGTCTCCATACCCAAACCCCAAGGAAAATCCAAAATTTCAGGTAGCTGTAGTCCAAATCATAAAACTGGTTCTAGCAGGTATTTTGTAAAGTTAATACACAGATGGGCAATGTGTGACCCTGCGGATGTCTTTAGTTGTTATCTGCCCTCACCATTGGCCAGGCTGGCTGGAACTGCTTGGGACTGTAGTGCAACATCATCAGGAGAGTCACATATTCCCCATCTCAGAGCTGATTGGTCTTTATTACCATCCAAGACCAATCCGCCTCAAATTACAAGTGCGTCACAATAGGAAACAATATACTGTTGCTGGCAACAGGCCAGTTAAAAAAGTTACCGCTACCCTTCTTTTAAAGAACCACAACTTCCTCAATCCTATCCTGTCTCCAGAGATTGCAAGCCCTGTATTTCCAGATTGACATGGTTCTTACTTTTTGGCAGCTTCGGCGTGTGATTGGTGATTTTGGTGTCCCTATTGCCATCTTTATCATGGCACTGGCAGACTACTTCATTGATGATACCTACACTCAGGTAATCAACTGCTTGCTTTTTCAATGGACCTGTCTCCTGGCTTCTGTCCTGGTCTAGCAGGTTCCAATTTCAATATCCCCTCTGTGCTGAAAAACAGAGGATGCTCATGCAATCTTCTCTACCTATGTTAGACTAAGATGTTTGCTAAATTGGAATGAATGGGTACCAACAGATTTAGAAAAAAGATTGTTTGTTTCCTCCCAGAAACTGAAGGTTCCAAAAGGCATTACAGTCTCCAATCCAGAGGCGCGAGACTGGTTAATCCATCCACTAGGACAAAATAACAGTTTCCCCATCTGGCTGATGATTGCTGCAGCTCTACCGGCTCTCTTGGTTTTCATTCTCATCTTCATGGAATCACAGATTACTACGTAAGACACAGGGGAATGTATAGAAAAAGACAGGAAAGGATGAAGTCAAGATAAAGAAGGATCAACCTGGGTCAGAAATATGGCCAAAGGGGGTGCATTTGATAAAATGTGGCGATATAGATAAGTAAAAACCAAGTCAGGATGAGAGAAAAGTCTTATGCTGTTGGGTGGGGGGGGGGGGCAAAATAAAGCCTGATTTTGTATGTTTCATGATTACACTGCACACTAGTAGATTTTTAAAAATATGTTCTAGAGCAGATTATGAAGGAATAGATTTAATGAACTTGCAGTAATAGTTAGTTAAATCACAATAGCTGAAATATCAGCCTCATCATGGAACAAATATTTCAAACAAATATTTTCCTCTGGTTTGCCTTTTTTTCTTCAGGCTGATAGTGAGCATACCTGAAAGGAAGCTGATGAAGGGTTCAGGTTTCCATCTAGACCTGCTTCTAATTGTTGGCATGGGGGGTGTGGCAGCCTTTTTTGGAATGCCTTGGCTCAGTGCTACCACTGTGAGGACCATCACACATGCGAATGCTCTGACAGTAATGTCCAAGGCTACTGTTCCAGGGGAGAAGCCCGTCGTCCAGGAAGTCAAGGAGCAGAGGATCACTGGCTTGCTGGTGGCCATTCTTGTAGGTGAGTTTCTTTGAAGAGCCTTGCTCTTTCTCTCTGTATTTGTGGATCGTCCAAGGACTGCTGTAGATACAACTGTGGCAGCCATGTTTGTTCACATTTCTTCCATGTTCAGTTACAAAGCAGGGTGAAGTGGGATGGACTGAGGTGTATTAATTTGTTAAACAACAAATATATACTTGAGAGAGGAGCAGAACCCTCCCTGCCATTATCTCTGCACATTGTTTTATCAAGTATTTTTCTCCTGAGCTGAGTCCTTTTTTGCTACAAAAATCACATGGGGTCCCCAGTGTGGAGGCTGCAGACACCCACAGGATGTTTTGTAATTGATTCTCATTTTATTAACATACATATATGGATAAATCCATCACAATGAAGATGTATGCTTTCTAGCAATTATAAACAGTCTACTACAAAAGTGGATCAAATATCCAAATGTCTAGTTTGAGGTGGCAGCTATAGGTCACCCATTCAAATATTGAGAGCACTGCAAAGTCCTGTAAAGTATAAGAGATTAGTGTTTGTCCTTCCAATGTAGTAATACCAGCCTTTTAGCTGTCAAAGAGGCACATCTACACTGACTATTTGATCTTTTCCTTGAAGCAGGTAGATAAATTAAAAGAGGACATGCATCACTGAATATTAAGAACTGTTCCAATACAAACTGATCTGTGTTATCTTCTCCAAAAAAAAAAGCAACTATTGGACATTGTGAAAATATATGTCTAAAAGAAGTATTGCACCATCAGCAATTAGCCAAATCAGACAATTTCATATTAAAGAGATGTTATAGTATCCAATCAACATGAAACAAATATTTTTGCTGAATAAGATATAACGTAAGATCCATGGATGCAACAAACACCAAGGCAGCAATCCACTGATTAGGCATTTTGCACTGGTGCTCACAACATTTTCTTGATTTCTCAAATGTGTCTGTGGGTACACAATAATTGGGTACACTACTCTATAAATGGATGGGGCAGAGTTCTGAATAAACAAACATGTCTCCTTGTTAATATCTAGTTTGGCCCCTCTGGTTTAAGATAATAGGATCGGGTGGAATTATGCTCAAGTTGGAGTTTATAACACAGCCATGCCGAAACTTGATATTTATCCTGTAGCACAACTGTCCCCATCTGATGCCTTCCAGATGTATTGCAGCACTAACCCATTATCCTCAGATAGTGTGGCGATTATGGGAGTTTTAGTCCAATACATCCAGAAGGTACAATGTTGAAGAAGACCACTTGCCTGTTGCTGAAAAGAAGACCCTTGCCACTTTCACCTGCCTCTCCACCCTAAACAAGAGGCCATAGCACCTGGTGTCTTACTATCTCCATGCCAGTTCCTTTTCTATACACTTTCATGATCCATCTGGCAAACAATCATTTTTAGATAAAAAGAAAGCAATTCTTTGCAAAACAAAGCATTAGAGCTCTTTAGAAAAAGTGGTAGAGGGAGACCACTGGGATGGGAACGATATGATACAATCAAAGGTGGGGCAGAAGTATTGAAAACAAGGGAAATTATTGACATTTTCAAAATAATTGGGGTAATCCTTATCACTCTTGTGAGATTGTAACTATTCCCATAATAATTCAGCTTTGGATCTTACTGTAACAGCATGTTCTGATATTCACTAAATAAGTGGGCTTTTTAAAAGAAAGTTACAGAGGTTATGCTTGGTCCATCTGGACTGCTGTACTGACCATGATAGGTAGAAATACATTTTCTATGCTTGGAGACCATGTACATACCTGTTTTGAGGACAATCAACAGGAGATTTAGTATTATTATAATGCTCCACTTCGGGCAGACACCATGTGGTATCTGATGTCGCTTTGCAGACAGAATGGTGGGTCAGATGGACTGTTGGCTCATTCCAGTATAATATCTTTTCCATTTGGGAAGGAACATTCTCTTGTGTCATCCTGTAACTTGCACTATTGTCTTTGTTCATCTACAGGCCTCTCCATCCTCATGGAACCCATACTGAAGTTGATTCCACTTGCAGTGCTTTTTGGCATCTTTCTTTACATGGGTGTAACATCCCTTTATGGGATCCAGCTGTATGAACGCATCCTTCTTATTTTGAAACCCCGCAAATACCACCCAGATGTGCCTTATGTTGCAAAAGTAAGCAAATAGTAACATTGTAGGATTGGAAGCATAACTAATATTTCTCTTGAAACTCAGGCTGTATAGAGAGTTGGTGTGGAGGAAAGTGAGATATTCATAGGATGTGGGAACCCCAAGTAATGCAGCTTAAGGCTGGACTTAAGGACTAAAATCCAAGGCCTCACAACCAACCAACCAACCAACACCCCCCCCCCAAAAAAAAGACCTACATGGCATGTAAAATGCACAAACTCAAAGCATTTCTTTCTTTTTTAAGCAGAGTTGGCAGGGGGTTTTTTTTCCTGCCATAGCATATTAGGAGGGTAGAAGAAGTCATAAAACTCAAAAGAGTGTCAGTGGCAGAGAAGAGAAACATTGGTTTTTGACAGCTTAGTGTTTATGACCGTCAAAAGGGCCTCCTTTAAGACATAAATTCCACTGCCTGAAATTAGCTAGCAACAGCAGTGGGGATCCCTACCTACCCTACCCTGAAACTATTTTAGACATGCAAATGCTCTTGATAGTCATCGGTCACAGGTTTGTCTAAAGACTTAAACAGGGCTGATAAGCTCAATTAAAAACTTTGATTTAAATGCAGGGATCTACTTGAAACATGTAAAATATTTATAAACAAAACATGTGCCTCTGAACATGTGCAAAATATCAACTAATCTCCATGCTTCCTGGGAGAAGCAGGAAAATAAGGATTTTTATGGTAGCATATATAGCTCCCAGGCAAGGTTGAATCTTTACATCTCTCTCTTTCAGAAATCAACAACTATTTGCCCTAACTGCTTAAAATTTTACCTCCAATACAATTCAACACACCAAAACTGGAGGCATAAGTCAATCCTGGGCTCACCACAGCTTAGCCATAAAATTTATTTTCAATGCCATTCAGTGGCACAGAAAGGCATGAAGCCATAATGAAACACAAAAAATCCATCTGAGGATATAGTTGATCCATGATACAGGAAAGGAGAAACAAGGATTTCTAGCAGAGAGGGGAGAATTTATAAATTAGGTACTAAGAGAAATACATTGACATAGCTTCAGGAGGGACAGTGGCTAAAGTTTGGACTTGGCATTCAGAAGGTCCAATCTCCAATTCAAGGGGCTTCAGGCAGGAAGGCTGATAATGACCTCTGACTGGGACTTTGGAGAGTTGCTGCCAGTTAGTCCACTTCCAGTGAAGGTTTGGCTTCAGGGAACAAAGGGGAAGGCCTTCTTTGTGGTAGCTCCCAAACGATGGAATGATCTCCCTAATGAAGCCCACCTGGTGCCACCTTTATCATCTTTTCAGGTGCAGATCAACCTTTTTGCTGAGGCATTTGTTTGTTTAAATAATTATATATCATTCAATGGCCAATGGCTCTCTGAAATGGTTCACAAAGCATTAAAAATTAAAACAACATCCATAACAAAAACATTTACATAAATACCCAAATAGATAGTGGAAACAATAGACCCTGTAGTTCTGACACATAAACTTTATTTGTATTAAATACACATTGAACACATAATCAATAATCCAGGGGAGCAACAGCAAACTAGAATAAAAATCATATACTATATAGCACACATTAAAAACCCAGTTATTAAAATGTTGGGAAAATAAAAAGGGTTGGCCTTGACCAACTTCAAATAGCATATGCAGGGGGTGGGGGTATTGCCAGCAGTTTGATAGCTGGCCTGGTGGAATGAACTGATTTAATTCAGTTGTCAAAATATGGTTGTAAGCTTTTGATACAATTTTTATTGTATTTAATTGTTTGCTGCTCAGAGAGCTTTGGCTATTACAAAGAATTGGAATAAATAAGCAGAAATAAAAACTTGAGGTGTGCAAATTTCATGTCCTTACTCCCTTAACTTTGAGAATTCAGTAGTGAAGGGGACATACACAATATAGGCATACAAACCCTGATACTGCTGGCAAGAGGATACAGTAACTGCTGGATGGTGGGGGGAGATTGGAGGTGCGGAGGGGGACGACAATCGACATTTCAGACTATTTGGCCTTTTTCATCCTTAAAAGGTAAAGACCTGGCGCATGCACGTGTTCACTGCCATCCAGGTTGTGTGCCTCGCCTTGCTGTGGGCAGTGAAATCAACCAAAGCCTCCCTTGCCCTGCCTTTCCTTCTCATCCTGACAGTGCCTTTGCGACGCTACCTGCTTCCATGTTTCTTCAGTGACCTTGAACTCAAGTGTGTAAGTATCATTTGGCTCTCTATTCTATAGTAGTGGGAAATTGAGATCTGGCTCTCCCTCCGAAGAGACAGAAGCGAAGGAGTGGAACGGAATTTGGCTGGGGAATATGGGAGATGTAGTCCATATGGGAAGGCTAGTCTATGGAATGGTTTTCTTAGTCATTTATCAAATATTCTAATGCTGGAACTGGAACCAAGTTTGATAAAGTTGACATGAGGATAAGATAAACGGAAAAAGGAAAGTAAGATAAAAATGACAGATAAATCGAAGTACATCTTTGGTGTATATATTTAACTATGGAATTCTCTACCAAAAAATATAGTAATAGCCATTAACTTAGATCGCTTTTAAAGAAAAATTAGACAAATTAGTGGAGGATAAGGCTATCAATGACTATTAGTCATTATAGCTATAATAGCTACCTCCAGTCTAGAGGTGGTATGTCTATGTACAACAGTTGAAGGGGAACTTGCATGAGAGGATTCTGTTGTACTCACGTCCTAGTGGTGGATTCCCATGAGCAATTAGTTGACTACTATGTGAGGGAAATGCTGGATTAGCATTTGGTTTGATCCAGCATGGCTCTTCTTAGGCTCACAGTTTTGGCAAAATTAAAGTCTTTGTTGACCAGCAACTGGGACAGAGGAGATCCTGAAAGGAAAACACATGTTTGGGTTTGTCAGCTTATCACTAAAGCTCCTGCACCTTGGACTGGCTCCACTCATAAAAGCGTAACAGATGTAGTGCCTCTGTTGGCACTAGCTCCATGTTAGGAACACCTTCATCTGTTACGTAACTGTCTGTCATAGAGCGTGCAAAGATATAGGAATCTGCCTGGAACAAGTAAGTTAAAAACCCTACCAAAAAATAACTGGAATCATTCTAGACACTGCTTCTAATTATAAGCTGAGCCTTCCCCATGGTCTGCAAGGGGGAGGCTCACATTCACATGGTCTGCAAAGGATGCGTGTTGTACCTGTGGAAGAACAGCCTGATGGAGCAAACGTTGACAAAAATAGTGCAAAAAACAATAGCATGGATGGCGCACATAGTCCCTGAACCTGGATACACAGTAGATGCCCACAGGACAATGGGAGAGAGAAGAGGGGGCACTCATCTGAATGCCTAGTCCAGGGGTCAGCAACCCGTGGCTCTGGAGCCGCACGTGGCTCTTGAACTCCTGTGCTGCGGCTCCGTCACTCAAAACACGCGCCGGCACAGATCGCTGATCTGCTCGAAGCTCCATTCAGGAACACATTTAAGTAAATCAGCTAGTTAAGTAAATCGCTACATTCCTCTGCTGAACAAGCTTCCTGCAGGCCCTCATGTCACATGAAACTTTGTCCCAATGTAATCTCCTTCATCTGAATGTTAAAAGCTGCACTTGGGACCTGTCACAATTCACAGCACTTGACTGTTTATCTGCTAATCGGTCACTAAACACACCTATATCTCTGGTACAGCCTCTGATCTGTGGACCCCTAGCCAATTTACTGAGCTCCCCCCACACACCCCATAGGCCAACCATGGATAAATCGAAGAAAAGTTTCTGAAGAAAACCAAACGTTTAATGATATGTGGGTAGATTCATTTGCTTTTACTGCTGATGAACTTATGGGGTTTGCTGTTTAATGCATGCAGCCCTTTAGCACTGACTTGGACTCTTCAGGAAGCTGTTCTCCTATTCAAAATATATGAAAGGAGTCCTACTAGTTTATAATGTAAGATTAAAAATAACAGTTTTTAGTGACTGAACAAGAGCTGCAGCTAAATCATAATGAAGATATACATAGCATTAAGGTAAAAAAGGATATATGCAGTGTTACCTTCATTTTAGATGTCAAAAGGGTTTTGCGGCTCCTGGTGTTTTCTTTTGTGTGGGAAATGGGTCCAAATGGCTCTTTGAGTGTTAAAGGTTGCTGACCCCTGGCCTAGTCGATACTGATGCCCTTAGGGGTTATAGTGTTGTGCACCATGCTTCCAGGCTACAATCATCCAAGGAAAAATTAGCCATGCATCTGGCCAGCAATTACAATGGTTGGAGTGGAGCGCCTGGCCTTTGTGGAGAGGATGTGGTGACATACAGAAGACACTGTTCCTGTTATTGAAGGACTGGGGTGGGCAGGAGGAGAGTTTTAGAACAAGACAGTTCAGACAACACATAATGATTAAAAACAGAGGTGGGAGGATGTAGGAGAAAGTCACAGCAGTTATACATTATAGCAAGAGTTTTTTGTCCTTTGCCGACTTTTATGGCTACTCTGTCCTGATCCTCCTGGTTTTTTTATGTAAAATGTCTATGTTGTAGTCCTGAGGCACAATTCCTATTAGGATTCTAAGTAGAGACGTGTTAGCAATGTGCTCAAGTTCACATGTATGTCATGAAGCAAAGCTGTTTTGTATAAAGTGCTCTTTTCCCATTGTTTCCCTTCACAGGTATTATTTCCTGTGAGCTCTTAGTATATGTAGCATGTAGCTGCATGCCGTGTTATCTGAGTTTCTGACCTGGTTTGCATGATCACTACAACCCACTGTGCCTTATTAGCCATGGAAGGTTGTGGTGCCAATTTCTCAGTTCAAGCCCTCTGTTGCAGCTTTTTGTGCCATCTGAATCCAGTGAGAGTGGCTTTCTGGGGTAGTTAACAAACCAGTTCACAACAGGCCATGGGTTCTGGGTGGTTTGTTAACAGTCCCAAGAACACATCCTTGCTGGGTTCAGATGACATAAGAAGCTGAGCCTGATGAGGGCAATTATGCAAATCAGCCAGCACATGACTGGAATGTACAGGGTAGTTAACAAGCTGCACTGGCTTATTAGCACCCTGTAATTGTTCAGACTGGGTCAGTGTTGCTTTGTGTGCACTTTATATACTGGTGATGGGATGCTGAGTTACCTTATATTCTACACTCCATTGTGAGCATGTGGGTGGGGTGCTTGTCAATGCAGGACTAGCTAGTTTTTTTCATTCCGACCCCTTCCCATTGAACTTAATGGTGTGGGGAGGCTTCCTGTGCCAGATCTGATAATAGTGTAAAATTGTGCTACTGATGGTATTTGGCCATGGATTGGAGGAGTACAGGATCCGCCATGTGTGTGCTGCTCTTTCACTATGCCGCCCTGTCCTGTCCATGACTCTTGTCATGTGTTAGCTACTCCACTGGCATAATTTTGCTGGTGGAATGACTCCACCAAAAGTGCGTTAGCATATTGTTTATGTTCCACCAGCCTACTCTCTGTTGTGGAGGTGGTATATCTTGTATTCCATCAATATAGCAGGGCTTACACAAATCCTTATGTCCCTCATCAAGCAGTTGTCAAGCAATAGTATTGTACCCTTCATTTCCAAAACTTATCAAAATAAAAACAAAGTACCGTGATATGGCAGCAACTTGTCTCAGTCTTGGTGCTACATGACTGAACAGAACATGCCCATCTTTTCAATCACCATCACTGACGATTCAGTGCTGGATTGGGCACAAAACCCCCTTTGCTTCCTGCTAGCCAGTATTTTGGTGAATGAATATACTTAAGCACTGCAGAGCATATTTTTTGGTCTGTAAAACATATTTTGTGCACTTCAAATTATTATTGTCATACCATTTTTAAAAATGCTGAATTCAGGCATTCTGCATATTTTATATTGGTCCTTCCAACAACTTTGTGATATGTCTTAAGCCTATTTTATGGATGGCCACAAGGAACTATATAGGGAATTGGTGAGACAAGGAACAGTCTAGACTTTTGTGGCAGGTCCGGTGTTCAGATCTTTCACATATCCAGCTAAAATGATGTCAGTAACAATCCTGAGAAAAACACCCCTGACTTCAAGCGAGCTGTTTCCACTTTGGTCATGGTATTGGGCCAGCTCAGCATACAGCAACTTCATATGTTCCAACATAATAACTGTCTGAACGCACCTAATCAGTCATTGGCAGATAAAAGGGGTACAGGTTCCCCAGCCCCAAGTTTAGTGCTATTTGCTGGATTAGTTCTTGTTTCTAATATTATTTCTGTCCTCACATTTCCTTCCAGTTGGATTCTGATGATGCTGAGGTAGCTTTTGATGAGACAGAGGGCCAGGATGTCTATGATGAAATCCAGATGCCTATTTGAGTGCCTGCGGTGCTGCATCCTTCACACAGATAAGGAACCAAGAGCCCTTCACTAAACTATTGGACCAAAAAACCCCCCAAACCCAAATATAGAAGAATATATTCTGTACACTTCTGAATCAGAGTGTACAGAAGTTGCACATTGGTAAACATTCCACAGGTGAAAATCAACACACAGATTTCATAGCATTGAGATAACTAACATAATCTTACAGTCACCATAGTTCTGCAGTGAATGTTGACAAACATATAGGAATAGACTTACTTTTCCAGAAAGTGAGGGTACAGAATCAAAGCTGTGATTGGATTGCAAGAACATAGGAAATTCATATGTGGACTCTATTTTTAATGCTCTTCCTGTATGCATGCATGTGTGTGTCTGTATTTACATGTGTGTGCCTGCATGCATGTGGATAAAGCTTTATCAGTTGTACACAAAAGGCCCATCTACATTTTGCTCAAGGCAGAAGGTGCTTCTGTCAGTCACCAACACCAGCATACAACAAGAAATGACCATTGACATTTTGGAAAGACTGAACATACAACCCTATTCTCCCTGTTGATGGAACAACTCATCCTGGAATGGACCAAACACATGACTGAACCTGGGGAGAACTCGTAGACTGACATAATCTTTCTTGGACACAGGAGCTGCTAAGTTCGAAAGGGTTTGAAGAGTAAATGAGTCATAGAACAAAAACAGAAGAGTTGCCCTGTAAAGTTCAAGATATTGTCTTAGTAAAGGAAACAAACATCCATTACCTCAGATCAGAAACCTGGTAAGAGATGGCAGAATCACCTAATAGGAGGAAGGATCAAGACTACTACTTGAGTGAGAACACTGTTGGATTGACAAAATAATGAGAAGGTGCACACAAAAAACCTTGCTTCAAAGGGAAGCTGGCTGACCTTTTCTTTGAAATCCCACTAGGGAAACTGTCATGAGACCAAGTTTGAGGGCATCATCAAGAAGAGATATCCTTTCCTGGTGCTGCTCAGCTTTACTTGCTTCTATTTCCTGTTGGCACTTGCAATTAAGTGGCTGTTGCTCCCCTCTTCCTGAAAGCTACTATGCTCTGGCTGGGGTCTAGAGCCATACTCAGGGAAATTGTTCTGTTGGTATAAGTTAGGTATATGAACTACAAATGAACTTGTATCTTAGATTACAAAAACCAGAACTGCATGCTTTAATGTGTAGGTATAGAATCAGTTGTCAAGTTATCAAATCAACATCCTGAGAATTAGCTTTCAATAGAGAAAACTATTTCTAGTTCTTATGGTGGAAGGCAAGTGTGCATAACTTTCCTCCTTTCCTCTCTGCCTCATCTGCCTTGCATGTCAGCACATTCTGAAGTATTTGAAACCTGTGTCAGAGAAGTTGAACAGATGCCTGTAAACAGACTTACTTTATATTATATATTCTATTGTGTCATATACACATAGCTCTAAGAATAACTCCTCTATGCACCAGTGCAAGAAACAAATGTGCTACATGTTCTGCTGTACTTGGCTACTTGGTGGAGGTACCACATCCAGCAACTTTAGTGATACACCCCATGCCTTACTTCACAGGGTTCCAGATCTTTCCCATTTGCAAACCTACTGTACTAGCTGTTGCCAGAAGTTCGAAATCAGGTTCTGGTGTCCTCACAAATCTTTATTTGGTCCCTACGGCTCCAGTTAATCCAGAATTTCAAACACCTGGCCTCCTTCCCCTCTAGCTGATGCATGTAGTATCTGTTGAAAGTCTCCATATCTTTCATGCACTGGACTCTGAAAATCCTAACAGCTCCCCTGATTTCTTTTTAGGAAGACAAAAGCAGTGAATCAGAATGTAAGCACAATATCTTACACTTATTTGATAATGCTAGTCCCCTACTATGTTAGGAGGTTTGAAAACTCCTATGGTGACAAATACGAACCAAATACTGCTTGCAACCATTTCAGCAATAAAATATGTGTGTTACTTTCCTAAAAAATTACTTCCAAACTTTATCTTTCCATAATTTCCTGGAATGTCCACTCTTTAATTTGGTAGTCCCCACTTTCTAATTCCAGTTATGTGTAGGCTGCTAATGTGATTTACTAGGAGTGATAAGCTTTTTATATATAGCCAGGGGTGCTCTCACCTTCATTGTTAATTCACATAATCTGAGTCCTAGGCCAGATTAGGGGCTAAGTACAAATTTGAATAGCAGCAGGCTTAGGAAAAACGGTAATATTTCTTCATGCAATGCATGATCATCTTATGGAACTTGACACAAACTGTGATAATGGACACTAACTTTGGTGGCTTTTTAAAAAGGACAGGATAAATTAAATAAAACATGTATCAATGGATGTTAGCTATGAAAGCTAAATAGAATCTCCATTTCCAGAAGCAGTATACCTCTGTTTACCACATGATTAGAACAGAATATAAGGGAGAGCTGTCTTCATCATTCTCTGTATGCAGGGTTACCAAATGCATGCACCTGGCTGTTAAGAAACAAACAAACAAACAAACAAACAAACAAACAAACAAAAGCACCTAAATTGGTGGACATTTGCTCTTATTCAGCATAGAGATCCTTATATCTTTTTATTAATGGATGAAAAAGTGAGCAGGAAAAAGACCAAGAAACATATTTTGTTCAAACTTTGAACAAAAGTAATTGATTAGTTCATTCAGCAAGGGGAAAATAACAGGACCAGACTTTCACCCTGTCAGAATTTACCACCATGACTCCAGTTTGTGTTGGCTGAGGGTCAATGTATCTAACATTCTAAGGGTTGTTGTAATCTTATCCTGCACTACCCTGCTATAATTAGGGCTGCCATTTAGTGGTGAGGATCGAAGAGGGCTTCTTTAGTTTCAACAGCAGCAGGACAGAAAGTTTGTGAACAGATTTTTTCAAGCATGGTGTTGCAATGATAGGACATGCTTTGCCTGCTGACAATTATCCAGATATTAAATACCCAGGAGCCCTTCTAGGAAAAAGCTGGCATTCCTACTTGTAAGTAATGTGGTATACACTTTAAGTTAGTGATAATGGGCTTTTATAATTTATTTAAATTCATGTTTAATACTTTGCTTCACTTTTTCTGATTTTATCAGATAAGCAAGTGAACAGTGTTTTGCAATAGAGATTATGTGATAGTGTGCAGTATAACCTTTGTGATTTTTCTGCTTGACTTATATTATTGATCATGCCAATAGTATTACAATTGCTTTCTTGATTAGAACAACAATAAACTTTTTTAAAAACCCTACAAATAATTTGTTCACTGAATTTGCAATCCAGAATCAAGCAACATTTGAATCTGTGGGTGGTTGCTGAGGTCAATAAAGGTATTATTATGAAAAACCATGTCATATATTGGAGGAATGGATCAGTGTGATAAAGGCCTAGTGTTCACTTGTAGTGACAAAGTGACAAAATGCAGCTAGAGCCACATGCACACACAAATTTCCCCCCATACAAAAAAACAAAAAAGAGAAACAGAAATGCCGAGAAAAGAGATAGACCCAGTTTGCATATTTCTAAGCAGCAAATGCATGTGCTGCCTTCCTGTACACTTACTATGTCTGCTTTCAACCAACCACCCAGAATGGTGGTTGCGATGTCTGAAGCCAGTACACTCGAACTGCACGGGCATTGGAAAATTCAGAGTTATCCAACCATCACGTTACTTGTTTTTGAGTTAAACTCTGGGTTGCTTTTTCCTTAAAATTCCTTCAAATTCCATGAAGGTCATTAGGGACTTTGGGACAGATGCAAAAGCTTACCTAAAGTTGTTAGGTTTTTGTGAGAATCAAATGGAAAGGGAGAAAGCCATACATACTGATATGAACTCCTTGGAGGAAAGATGGGGAAAATTTAATATTAAAAGTTGAGGCAATGCCAGGAATGGAGCTCCTCTGGAACGCACACGTCGGAAGAAAAATGTGTTTTATTAAAGGATTTTGTAGTGATTGTACCCCTTAATATTTGATGGAATTTCTATCACATAAGCTTTAAATAATAGTAGGGGACAACTTAAGACAAATCCCTTTCTGGATAACTTAGACAGATATAAGAGAAGTACTCCTTTATACTCGTATATCTGCATTTAGAGAGTCCTTTAATTGTGTTCAGAAAAAAATTACGCTTGCAGCCTCGGAATGTGGTTTCTACAGATCTTGTAGTGCGGGAGTGCTGGCAGGGGCACTGTGAGGGCAGAAAGGGTTTGCAGACTCTCATTCAGCCCAGCTTAGATATACTGGGTGGTTTTAACTTTGAATTTGTTGGTCTGCCATGTTCCTTGAGACTCCCACCAGGAGGGGGATGGGAATTATTAAAATAGAACACACATCTGTTGTGCAATAGAAAAAGAAAAGAAAAAGCTGTTTCATGCTGGCAAAATGCCCAGCTGCACTCAGAACTTCAAAATCAAATGGAAGGTGCCCTCCCCTCCAAACCAAGGAAGGACATCTGCATGTACGTGCAGCACATGGAAGGACTGGGTACTGCTCAATCTCTATAAAGAACCACCCCACACCTCAGGCATGCCAGGAAGCTAATTCAGGATTTAATTCAGAAGCACCGAAGCTCTGCTTGCTGTTAGTAGTGAAAGAGAAGCGATACTGCAACTTCAACACCTACAAATGTGCACTGTTTTGACTTGTCGTCTTTTGGGGTTAAGTCTCAGGGGACATAGTTTGGTTTCCTGAATCCCCAAAGGATTCTGCCATCTTGATCCAAATAATAATCTTCTGACAAATAGTGCAACCATCCGTTGAGTTGCCTTCTTTCATCATGGTGAGTTAAGGAATTCAGAGGCCCGGCACTTGTTCTAAGTATCATAACTGAATGGTGCTCACAGTGGTGGGAAGGTGAGGAGCATCACACTGGGGACACAGATCTAAGCACCTTCCCCTGTGTTGAGGGAATTGACTATGGCTTTTTCTTTCTCAGGCAAGGTAGTTAGAATGACATATTGGGGACCTTGGAGATCTGGGTTTTAGTTTCCACTTGGCTATGAAGTTCACTAGATAACTTTGGGCCAGTCACTCACTTTCAGCCTAACCTACTTCACAGGGTTGTTATGTGGGTAAAATGGAGCAGAGGTGACCTATGTAAGCCATCTTACATTCCCTGCAAGAGGAAATAAAGTCGGGATAAAAATGCAATGTAGCAATAATAATAACTATGTGGCAAATATTATACCTCATTTGGCCCTGAAGTGGGTGTGTAGCTGTTGCATACCCCCACATCAATGTGTGGGGACTGGCAAAGGAAGAAGACTCCTGTATTCCACCACATTGAAAACTAGACGTAAGGTTAAGTTTTTCAGTTCACTAATGTTCCATTTTTTGTACATGCAAGGAATGTTTTCATATCTGAGAACATTAATCATATACTGTATGTCCCCACTTGCAGTCTGAAATGGTACAGCTTAGCTGGATGTTTGCAACCTCAGTGATAGTCAAGCTAGTTGCAGGGTGGGATGAAGAACTTTGGTTATTAGGCAATATAGTAATTAAGTAACAATAACAAATAATAATCTCAAGCAGTCAGAGAATCCACTATCTGTGGGAGGTAGGGGGAAAACATACGAAATATATCCAGTAACTGGGCACTGGCAGGAGTGGAAAAGAGGAAGACCGCTGCCAAAAGGATGAAACAAAAGTGGGGTTGCCAGCTGGCCTGGCAACCAGGGCATGAATGCCACACAACTCTCGTCCTTCTATGCAATTTTGCTTTTCCTTTTCCTATACTTGCAGGCCAGTGGAGGAGAGAAAACATAGCATATCATACATTCCGTTTTGGCAGTTCTCATCCTGCTCCTTTCCATGTTCCACTGCAGTGTTCCTCCTGAGAGGAGAAGGGCGGGAGGCAGTGCCTGAGGACAACTGCTGTACCCAGTGGTTAAATGGGCACAGCTACACCTCCTGGCAACGTGAAGCCCAGGTTAGCTTAAAAGGTCAGCATTGCTGGCTAGAAGATTCTGGGAGTTGTAGGCCTTTTATCTAATCTTGCATAGGATTGCAGTTAAATTTTCACTGTTGTTCAGGAAAAATATTAGCATATTTCAATAGGAAACTTGATTTAAATACCCTCTTCAATAGTAGATTGTATGTAATATATTAAAGGCAACTGAAAATTTCCAAATAAAAGGATATTTCAAACTTTAAAACACTGAAATGTAGACTAAAGAACATCTGTGAAATAACTCATGATGTGCAATGCAAACTGTGGTGTTATATGAATGGATACTGAAAGAGTTGCAGATCTCCAGCATTTCAATTTCTGAGATTCATAGGCTTGAACTCTAATGCAGCATGGTTTCCATTAATTTACAACACAGTTTTGTGAATGATCTCTGTAACCATGTTAGATACATTTCAACATTAACTATCAGTTTGTGTTTTTTGCATTTCATTTTATTCATGTCCTTCTCCTTCAGTTCCATGAACACAACAAGGTGTACATATGCTTGCCAATTTAGGACAGAAGTTTATGTATCTGATGAAGTAGGGCCTAGCCTACAGATACTTATGTCCTATCAGAATTGCTGTTCATTAAGGTGCCATAAGACACATGGCAACAAAATATGAGTCAGTTGAATGTTGGGAGTTAAGAGTATTAGACTAGGACACGCTCACCTTCTTGGCAAGACTGCCTCTGTTACTTTCTACAATAGACTGCATAAATTCTTTGTATTTGGAATCAAGTACTGAAAGTCCATCTTAGTACTATGTACCAATTCTGCCTTGCTATAAACAGATACCTAGTCAAAACTGTTCTTGCAAGAAATGAGTAGGCACTCAAAAGTCAGCTTCTTTGCATCTCCATATATGAGCAAGAAGATGGTGTCAACTCTTGTCTGCTAGGCTTTCATTGGACTTGGATATTGCTTTTCCCAGAGGAAATCTGTGTGGTTTCCACAGATGTCAAGTTTTACAACTGAAGAGCTTTAATACTTTCATTGTTACAGCATTGTACTAGAGGTTTCTGCATTGTCTCATTCCTGTGAATATTCACACATTCGTTTGCAATGGGGGTGGTCTGGGTACTATTTGAAAACAATGTGTCTATGTTGGGAAAGATGCTCTACTCATAACATAGTGTCAGCCATTTTGAGGAACATGTTTAAAGGTGCTGTGTTTTGCATGTGCTTGATCAGTTTGGAAGCTGAGTTCATAACATCCTTATGATCTGACCCAATACTAGATGTGGTGGGATTAGGCACAGTATTTTCAGCACTTCCAACAACATTGTGAATCTCCTCAGTTTTATCCTGATCATTGGCAGAGGCAGGGACATTTGAGAGTATTCCTGGCATAGCAGGAGATATTGTATTGGTATTGGCAAGCCATTGAGGTTCATCAGCAGATGCAAACTTAACAGTGAATATGTCAGCATACATGAGGCATGTCAGCTAGCAAAGCCACAGTAGGTGGTGGTGCTGCACTGCTGGAAGGTACAGCTGCATTTTGCAGTGTTTGGTTTTGAACCAGCAACCTTTAATTTACTTTTTTAATTCCAGTACAACCGATTTGCCAAAACAGCATTTTAGTCTGGAAGAATATACAAGGGATTAACGACTGAACATATAGATTTTTAAAAAGCTGAATAGCTGCTTTTTATCTTTGATCTAAATGCATCCCTACAGACACAGTCCTTGTGCTTGTCCTAGCCAGCAAGAAACTCTTTCCAAGGGTTAAAAATGGTTTGATGAAAGCTGGGCTCTATTCTAAGACAGCAACCTGTGTTCCAACTAGTACTGTCTCCAGCAGCTGCAGTTCTCCTCAACAGCCCTTAAACTTTTTTCTTCATTCTCAACCCATCACCAGTATGGAGGCTTTTAGCAGACAGCTCAACACAAGACAGGCCAACTCTTATTCAGCTCTTTGAGAGGGCCTGCTGTTTCTTCCTCCAATTCCTGCTCTTCCATCTTTCCTCAGTGACACCAGAAATTTTGGTAGAGGACACACGTGTTCATTATCTTCTACTTCCCAGAGGCCTTCAGGGCCTTGATGTACCTGTTTGTCAGCTATTAGTCCTTCATGTTTCTGAATAGCTTGACTAGACTTCTAGAAGGTTGAGTTCAGCATAGGCTCTTCAGAAGGCAACTTGTCTAAGAGACCATCAGACTGAGACAAGGCCTCAGCCCAGCTGACAGCCAAGTCTTACAGACTGAGCTTTTGCAGAGATCACAAGACATCTAGACACCATTAAGCCCTGTCTATGTGTATGGTGTTATATCGACATTTGTTTATATAAATCCAGAAAGCTTTGTCAATAAAACACAAGATTCTTGTTAAAAGTGGCAGTGCTGCCTGTTTTCTTCCTCTAGTTAAAGGAATGCCCTTATCCCCTAATTCAGAGTACCCCATCTGACTTCTGAAGGGTTTATCAATTTCCTAATGAATTTATTCCCAAATGTTTTATCATGTAACATTAAAATTAGATCCCTGATCTTCTTGCACCAGTTCCTCCCAAAAGTTCTGCAGCTGCTGGACTGGAAGAAAACTCTGACCTGGACATTCTTAACACCCGAGATTTTGGGAGTATTAGGGAAGTGGGCTGCTTGTCATTTTAACAACTGGCTGCAAGCTGCCTCCTCTCCTTTCCAGGAATCTTCTCTAGCCTTGGGCTGCATGCATCACTATAGGCTGAACTCACAACCCAGCAACTTCTTAGGGCATATAACAAGGTAGGCCACCCTGGCAGGGGTGCCTCTGAAGGTGGCAATAGCGAAGTGAGGAATGTGCCTTAGATTTTTGTCCCTTCAGAATGCCATGGGGTGAAGGTGTCTCTTATTATTTATTCACTTGTCCCTGGATTTGTGCCTGTAAAGTGTGTATATGGTAGTATATCCCTAGGAATGTTCCTGGGAGGGAGAATATGAGGCCAAGTGAGGACACCATGGGAGATCCAACCAATGTAGAAACAAGTAGAGGGAGATACAGCTCCAGGAAGAAGTCTAGACATGTAAAGTGAATGCAGTCCAGTCAACTAATGGCTGCACCGTGTTTCAGTTCACTTGCACCTGCTAGTTTCGTGGTTGGCCTATCAGCTTGCCCTCCAGCCTCTGGAAGCTGCTTTTAAATGCCAGATTGGTGCAGAATAAGACCTTCCTCATCCATGATTTAATAATGGATGAGGCAGCTGATCTGGCATGCGTAACATGTAATGTATTATCCTCAGTATATTATACAGAACCTTCAACATAGTTTGCAGGACAACAATCTTCTTGTGGAAATGACAAACTCTAGTCAGCACAAATATAATCAAAGGACAGGCTTCTTAGCCCTTCAGTTATATGTTTTGAGCAGAGGGAGTCTCAGTTCTCAATTACAGTTTAAGGAGAGAAAATAATCTCACCCGTTCTTTGCAAGGCATCTTCATTTTCTCTTCTCATATTTTCCTAGTTTTGCTTTCTTCTTTTATTCTCAGCCTCTTTTTCTTAATTTCTTTAATCATTCTAATTTACTCTTTCCTTTTTCATATTTTTTTCATTAGGAAAATGCTGGGAGGTACTAATGCTTTGGAGTTGAGGAGCTTATACCTGCTGCTTATGGAGTTGAAAAAAAATGCTTAGAATAAACCCAATGGCAACAACAGGCTTAAACAATGGCATTGAGGCAATTCCTTGAGAGTCATCTTGTTTATAAAGAACAAGAACAGTGTTGAGTTCATTTAAAACACTAAAAAGGATATCCAACATCCTGGATATTGATTTGATTATGCACTGGAAAATTATTTAGGACTATGAAATTAGTGCATTATTGTATTAGCATCCTGCTTAACTTATAACTACTGAATATTTACAATTCGTATAAGCTGATATTGATTCATCCTTCTCTACCTGACCTGCAAGGAAAATTACTTCACTGTCACCTTTATCTCTTTGGCAAGGATTTCTTATGTGACCATCTCTTGCCAGCTTGCCATATACCAAGCAACCTGCTAGTCTGTAAACACACCTAATCTTATGCTGTTGCAACGTATCAATGTTTATGTGGTTGTGCATACACTCTCCAGTAACCTAACATAGACAAGGTCCTCATTTCCACACTTCAGGGAGTGTAGATAGCTCTTATGTGGCTGGGGCTAAAGCATCCATAAGTCTTTTTACACAGGGTTCATCATGTATATGCCCATGGTCAGTGTGTAGATGTTAGTGAGGAGCCTTGGAACCAACATTAGAGGGCCACCAGTGTGGTCCCATTGCCATTTTAATCTGTGGGGATCCTTCCAGTGCATAATGCATGAAGGGAAGTGTGTGCCATTTATATTTTGTGGACTCTGACCCTTGTTGATGAGTTTCCTGCTTTTTTTAGATTACATATGTAAAGAAAAATTATGATTAAACCTATGATACTGACATTTCCTGTCATGAAAGGTATGTTGATCTTTCATTAGAATATAGCAAATGCTAGCCCTGCTTCAATATAAGGCTCTCACAAACATTCCCAGACATTTAATTAGAAGTCTTCTCTTAAACTTAGGGGGTTAGTCAATGACACCCACACATATTGAGAGCTCAGCTGACCACAGAGGTGCCAAGCTTAAAGGAGGGATGAGCTCAGTGACTGGATATTTGTGGAATATACTATTTGCAGTGAATTAGAAAAAGAAAATCAGTAAGTGCACTGATCCTTTTTAAAGAACAGATGAGAGAACATTTTGGTACCAATTATACATGAGAATTTCCATCAATTAGCTTGATAAAATCACAGAATCAATAAAAATCACAGAAAAGCTTTACTTTGGGACAACTTTACTAAGCACTACTAATATCATAAATAAAATAACCCATCAAAGAAAACTAAGTCAATCAGAGAAGGGCAAGGGTACCAAAGGCACTCCCTGCCCAGGGCACAGTTTTTCCTAGGAGAGACCTGTTTAGAACTGTGACCTGGCAGTCAAAATGGATCCCAGGAGTGACCTCTGGTAAGAGCTGGTTCAAATTAAAACTAATATCTATAATAAAACACTAATAACTCCATGTCCATGGGAATGATTAAGGGGATGTGGCCGACTTTGTTGTCTGGTAATTGCCTATTACAGGATATCCAGAAAGTGAATGTGGAACCCAAAAGTCTCCAATGCACTGGAAACATCCATAAAATATACAGGTTCACTTGTATGTTCATTTTCAAAAAACAGGCCACAAGCCAGTGGAGGTAATCTGTGAAGAATAATAGGCATACTATATACACACACAAACACATATATATACACACAGATATACTATATCATGGGTTGAAAAAATGAGTCATGTACTCCTTACAAAGCACCATAGCCTGAGACATCTGCATGGCAACCTGTGTACACATACCTGCAACTGGTTGAGAAGGATGCCAGGAAACAAAAAACAAAACAAGACTGGAAGATTCATGTGCTAGCAGAAGAGAAATTGGACAAATCCTCCGTGCCACACTCTGAAAGTCAATACATGTGTGCATTCAATTAGTGCAATAATGTTAAGAGGAATTTTTAAAATATCAAAACATCAACACCATGCACTAGGAACATTAAGAATGAACAATAATAAACATTTTAAAAATATGAATTGTACTTATGAAAGAGCCTTCTGACAGTACCATAAATAGGCATCTATTGAATGTGGTCAATGCATTAAAAAATCTTGCCTGGAAAAAGTCCAGTTACAATGTTTTTCAAGCTATACACACACACACACACACACACCATTATTATTATATTATATATAAAACATTATATTATTAAAGTTTTACAGTGCATATGGAAGTGTTATTTCGCTCAAAAGCTGGAATTCTATGTATCCTTACTCAGGATAGTTTATTTTACAGAAAATGCATATGGTATTGACAACTCTAAAAGCTGCACAGGTGTTCGAACTGCCATAATGTTCAGTTCCAACAGCTGGGAAGAAGTGGCATAAGCCATGAGGAAAGAAAATCCACAGTATTCTGGACTAATGACTGAGAGTCCAAATGGAAGCAAATCCTTATACAAACTGTTTAAATGAATGGCGGATTGTTTCTTTCGGTTTTTAAATGTACAAACTTGGGCACATTTAAACAAAAAAGTCCATCAACTCTCAGCATTCCCCATCATTCTAAGAAAATGCAGCTTATGATATGAATATACATTTTAATAGCTTCCTTCGGTTCAATCTGTTTTGTGAGTTTTCTTTTTGAACGTAAACATAATTTCAGTATGCCATCTCCAGTGTATAAAGGGCAAGTTGCAAAATCTTTGATTTCTATTTGCAAATAGATAAAAAAAGCACACTTAACTTATTCATGTTCGCCTATTCTTATCGATTTGGGGGTGGGTGAGGAAGAGTCCGTTGCCGATTTCTCTGACTTCCTCCTCCTCATTTCTCCTAATTGCGTTTTGGTATGTCTTGTAAAAGTCGTTTTTACGTATCGGAATCGGCATTAATTTGACGGGCAACTCTAAAAGCAGATGATTGGCTGTAACCGGAGATGACGCCCTTAACAACAAAGGTGGAGCTGGAAAAAAAATTAGATTTTAGGGAGGGAGGGAGAAAGAGAGAGGGGAGGAGAAAGAAGCTTGGCTTTTGAAATCTACACGAATGTCATTTTCACGCAATGGTTTAGACTCCAACCCCGATGAGTGTCAATGACGCTCGACTGGGCGCGGGACCCTCATACCCCTCCCTTTTCTCTTCTGTTGTTTACAAGGCAAGCTGGGACCTTTAAAAAAAAAAACCTACAATCCATTTGTTGCCAAAAATATGTCTGCCTTCAGAAATAATCAGCCCGCTTTGCGGCAGCTAACTCTCCAATCTTTTTTTTTCTGGAAACTCTTCTCTCCCCTCCCTGCTCTTTTGAAGCGATCGTATGAAGGGGGGGGGGAAGGGGAGGTGGGAGGAGGAATTAAAATCGAGTGCGTGTGATTTGTGATCGTTTTACAAACGCCAAACGAAGAGGATTTGTGGCAAATGTAAGCCTCCCCCCCCCCGCGCTTTTTCCCTTTGCTCTCTTCCCTTTCCCCTCCTCCCTCTTCTTCTCGTTTGACTACAGTGTTGCAAAAGCAAAGAGCAATAAAAACATACGCACATACACACGCACACCCAAGCCAGATAGACCCACAACCTGGTAAGATCAAAGAAGAGACCGTGGCCCCGCACAAATGATTCCTTTCTTGAAAACCTGTTTAGGGAGCAGATGGAAAAGTGGGGACTTGTGAAGAAGGTCTGTGAGGTTGCCTAAGGATCCGGGAGCCGAAGAGACCGGCTGATTGGAAGAAAAAAGCAGAGAGATGGAGGCGGGGGAAGTGCGAGCTCTCTGCGGGGACTGGAGCGAGTCCACGCCCGGGGCCAGCGCTGCAGAGCTGGCGTGCATTCAACCAACGCTTCCCAGCTAAAGCAAGCCCAGGAAAGAAGAGGGGGGAAAAGGGGGGAGCTTTTCTCCAAAGCCTCCCGATCTGCAGGTAGGTTGCAGACGTAGAAGGGGGCTAAAAATCTCCCCTCGAATCAGCTCCAGTATGGAGCCCCCCGTTGCAAAGGAGGGTGGGTGGGTACGGACGGATCAGAAGGAGGGGGGGAAAGAAGGCACGATCCGAGGCGACGCTGCCTAGAAGCCGGGGCTGGCTTTGCGGCAGTACGAGCGCATGTGGAGCTCGCCATTAACCCGACGCTGCGCTCCGCCATCTGGGGCTGGAGGGAGGCGCTTTTGTTACCTCCTCGGGCTCCGGCGGTGGAGGAAGACAGGCAGGCTGGTTGGCGGCGGCGGCGGCTGCAGCAGCAAGCGTCCCTGCTTTCTCCTTCTAACGTCTCCAGTTTCCTCGGTAAGGCTGAAAAATGTGGACTTGGTCTCATTTTTCGGGTGCGTGCATCTCACAAAACTGAAATAGCATTTAAAATTTGTAATCAAAAATATTTAGAGCAATTGGTCTATATTTTAATCGAATAATTTTTGACAATGTTTCGAGGGATTGCAAGCGCCTTTTATGGTTGCATTTTTCGAAACACAGCCTAGCGGTACATTGGTAGAGAAAATCGAATCGGGGCCCTTTCCTGTCTTCCACGCGCTTACTACTCAGGCCGCGCCGTTCGCCATGGAAGGGCGAGAGAGAAGCGAGGCGGAGGCGGCTTCTGCTCACGCTGCTTGACCGCGGAGGGGGTAGATGGAAAGATTTGGCCGGTCCAGTCCGTAGGTTGAGCGATCCGATCCCCCTCCCCCAGGTTTGGATAGAACCGAGAGGCCCTGCTGAGGCTAGAAAGGGAGGTGGTAGAAACCACCGAGCCGCCGCCTTGTGCGCCTTTCTCTAGCCGCCTGCAGAGGGAGAGAAGCCAATCTACGGTGGAGCAAATGCTGTATGTCGCCTCCGCTTTTCCTTCCATGGTAGTTGCACACTAGTTTTTATCACACATGCTATATTTCTAGCTAATTTTACGAAATCGAGGGAGAAAGGCGCGGTTAGCTTATGCTTTTAATTGTTCCCCACTTTTCTCCCGCGACGCGAGGCTCTGGCGAGGTCGGTCATCTTGGCTTTTCCGACCGGTTGTGGCCAGCGCACTCCGCCATCCGGAGGGTGGATCCATTCAGGCGAACTCTTCGGCGGCCCTCCCTCTTTTTCTGTCCCCCAACGAAGAGATTTTTCTGGGTTCCCCGCTGTGGATGGGTGTTGAGAATCGGGTTAACGGGGTTTTGCTCGCCCAGCTCCCGTGCGCCTTAGGCGCGCAGGGGGAGGCGCTCCCCGGGGGTCTGGGCGCTGGTGGAGGGAAAGAAGGCGGCGGCAGCCGCAGCAGCAGCCAGAACGTGCTGCCCTCCCTCGGCTCTGCCTGGACGCCCCCAGCCGGGCATTCATTTCTCCCTCCCGCCAGCCAGCCTTCCCCGCCCCCCTTCCACCAGCGGCTCCGATGGGGCTGCTGCTGCAGCGGCGGCGGCGGCTCTCCGGCTCCTGCTCCTCCCCACTCACGACTGCTGCCGCCACAACGAGGCGGGCTTGTCTCATCCTTATTAACCGCCTCAACGAGGTTATACCGACGGAGAGAAAAGAGAGACGAGGGACTCGCCTGGTGCATCCCCTTCTCCGCACACGGCAGGCATCGGTTGGCCCCCGATCCGCTGCTTCGCGCTCTGGTAACAGGGGCATGGGGGTGACCGAACCTTTCCTTTAGTGAGCGGGGAAGGCAGCTTCCGTCCTCCGCGTGATCGAAAGGAAGCGAATCGTGGGGGACTTGCCTTCTCCACCAGGTTGCCCGACCTACTTTAATAGGTGGCTGTTTCTTCAGAACTGGGTGGGAAAAGAATTCAGGAGAGACGAGTCTTATTGTGGGAAAGGAACGATAATTTTGATGGAAGGGATTTTGTTAATAAGAGGGAAATACTGGATCTTTTTGAGAGATGATTTGGGGAACCAAGTCAGTCGCCTTCAGATTATCGGGGAAGGATCCAGTGGGAAAGGAGGATTATCTCGGTCAACAAAGAGGAAAAATCGTATGTAAGTCGAGAGAGCTGGATCTTGAATAAATCCTGCAGCAATCCAGTAGAGCGAGCAAAATTTGGGGGAGAGATGTCCTTGGAAGTGGGGCGAGGGAGGGAAAAGATCGTGGAATCCGGTGGTCCAAAGATTCCCACTTTCCTGGAAGGTCGACCTAAGTCAGTGGACGGGGAGAAACGCTGGATCTGGCGGGAGCTGACACACAGGCGATGTCGTGGTAGAAGACTCTCTCCTTGCCCCCGGGAGCCAAGGCGGGTGGAAGGAAGGAATAGGGCCAGAAGGCTGGAGCCCATCCCGGGCTTTAAAAAAATGGGGGTGGGAGCGGAATCGGGCAGACGAAGTGGCTGGAGGTGGCGGCGGCGGCGGCTAGATTTTTCCTTCGGTGGCGCCCGCAGGGCGTGTGGAGAGGAAGGAGGCGGGGGGAGGAGATGAAGCAGCTGCAGCAACAGCTCCGACGGCTCGGCTCGCTCGGCTCGGCTCGGCTCTCCCGCCTGCCTGGAGACAAGCAGAGAGAGAGAGAGAGGGAGGGAGGCAGCAAGCAGCAGCAGCTGCGCCTCTTCTGCAGCAGGGAGGCGACGGCGGCGGAGATTGGCTGGTGGTGGTGCGGCCTCTGAAGAGCAGATGGAAGGGGAGGGAGAGAAGAGAAGAGAGTCTAGCAGATCCCTCCCACTCGCTGGGCCTGCCTCTCTCCCTCCCAACCGATCTTCTACCCCACCCACTCTGCCAGGGATCGTCGTTCTCTTTCCAAGAAGATCCCTCCCTCTTTTTCTCTGCTTCTAATCCAAGGAAATAGTCGCTTTTTCCCTTACTTCAGCGAGAGATCTCTCGGTTGTTCCTTCCAATCAGGATTTTCCCAGCCTTCTTTTCTTTCTCCTCCCCCATTCATTACCCTTGCAAAACATCCAGCAACTTCCTCCTCCCTCCCTCATGACCAGCTTTTCCACCTTTTTCAGAACCGCTGACTGATTCCCCACCCCCTTCTCAATTGGAAGTTCCCTTCCCCCCTTTGTTGTTTGGGTTTTATCTGTCCTATCTAGTAATGATGGTTGCTGCTATTCATACTTCCTCCGAAGAGCTCCAGGTGGCACACTTGAGTTTCCCCTTTTTATACTCACAACTTTGGGAGGTAGGTTAGGTTGAAAGGTTGTGACTGGCCCAGGATTAAACATTGTGCCTTATGTCTGAGCTGATACTTACACTCAGGCCTCTTCATTCAAGTTCAGCGCTCTGAAGAAGAGCCTGTGCTGTTTTCCCCCCTACTCCATCTCTTGATGTTCCTTGTAATCATGCTCCAGCAATGTATCGGCTCTCCCACACATAATATTTTGGTTTCCCCTTTACCTGTAAAATCTAAGGATTTTCCTGTTAAATGGATTCCACTGAGTACAGCTTCAAAAGAGCTGACCCCACATCTCCCCAACTCTTAGCACTAATGCACTAAGTTATCTTCATGAAAGGGATCATTTTTCAAATCTAACCCCCTCCACTGGTGATCCCTGTTACTCTAGGGAAAGAGATAATTGGTGTTTTTGGGTTCTCTCTTGGCCATTGGACTCCCCTCATGCCATCGGAAACTTTTATGCACCATCTACCAAAAAATGATCCAGTTACTGTTTAAGTGATCATTGTTTTCAGGGTGAAAGAGAAACGTGTTCTCATGTTCGGTCTTTCAGTTCACTACAACTTTGCACATGCGAGAAAGTCACAGGTTCTGTTTGCATGCATTGGCTTCTACAGTATGTTGTCCTGGGATAGCAAGTTCTCTGCTTGCAGCAATGCATAAATTAGTGTCATTACATCATAAGGTGGAGTTTAGTGGTAAGCAGAGACCATAATTCCAGTTTGTTCATTCTTTCAGAGTGAAAATTGATTGACGCCACCGTGAAGGGGGAAGAGAGGGAGCTGGAAGGGGGAGACCCAGCAGGTGTCACCCTAGGGTCTGAGAGGTGGAAGATGAACGGAGAAGCGGATAGTCCAACTGACTTAGAAATGACAGCCCCCAAAAATCAAGGTGAGAGGGGAGATTCCTTGAAGGTTGAACTTGACTACTGGAGAACATTCTGCAAAATTGGATCCTAGGTTATCTCTCTGCCCACCCCCAAACTGTTCTTTAAAAGCCCTGAAAATCAATGTTTGCTTTTCATTTCCCTCCACCATTGCAGCAACACTTATTACCCTTTTTAGCGGATCAGAAACACAAAGAAAATGCTCACACATGCATGTGACAAGCTCTGCTTTGTCACATTTTCCAGCTTGGACTGTTTTCCAGGCACTCAGTATGATTTTCACAGAAGATGTGTGAATTTCTGGTGGGATGCCCATGGCAACTGCTTTTGTGGCAGGATGCATTCTCTCTACTAGTTTCTTTCATTCCTAAGTAACCACACCCAGCTTGTGAGAGAGATTTTCAGAACAAAATCAAAATAGCACGCTCTTGCTTGTGTTAATTTTAAAGAAACCAAGCTGCAATCCTATAGCTACTTAATTTGGAGTAAGACACTAAACCCAGTGGGACTGCATTCTGAATAGATATGTATGGGATTTCACTGTTAACCGTGAAACAAAATAATTGTTTATGACTTCTTTCTGTCCATGCCAAGTCCTTTCTGAAGAATTCCTGTATTTGCCACTTCCTTGATTTTTTATATATTTAGAATATTTGGAGGATTTTTCCCACTTGCAGAACAAGGTTTTTATTAAGCATGGGCTTTTATTAATCATGAACTTAAGGAGTTTGTGCTGTACACTTTGCTACTTGCTGGTAATCTCTTTATGAGCAAAATTAAGAATTGTATGCTAGGATTTGTAGTCCTTAAGTGCTCTTTTCTTGTAATAACTCACTGTTTGTAACCCTGTTGTCTAGTGTGTCACTGCTTCATTGTAAAACCCAAATGAGGTAAATTAATACAAGCACACTTAAATAGTCTTCAGAATTCTATGCTGTTATATTGGATCCTGCCTTATAGTCTTTAGCTCATTCTTGTTTGTGCTTATATTTTCATGTTGCATTTAGGCCTGAGAATATGTTAGACCTGCAAGTTTCTGTCACTTAAATAGGCAAAGGTGCTTGGTTTAAGTTTTACACTCAAGTCTATTGTTTGTTTAATCAGAAGTAGGCCCCACTGAACCGAGTAGGACTTACTCTAGGGTAGTTGGGTATAGTATTGCACCCTAAAGGACTCTACAAGGATCTTTTTTTTTTAAGCCAGTTGAGGATCTTATAGATAGTCGGGGCACTAATTTTCTTTTGTCTGTGTCCAATTTGATTGTTTAAAATCTATCTGAATCTAAACATTATTTTGCTATTGATACTGCTTTCGAACAAGCTTGTTGGAGCTCAACTGAATTTGGTACTGCTATGTCTTTTAAATTCAATGGGTCTTGACAGTTTTAGAAGTTACTAAAATAGAGCAGTGGGTCTTGTGCAATAAAGTATCTTGTATTTGAGAGAAACTGACTGAGTTCATGGAGCGAGACAGGGTACCATGGGTAACTAGCCACAATGAGTTGTCATGTCATCTTAATACGGACTGCTTCCTGCAGGTTGGCTTATTTTTCTGCAACAAGTCCACTTCATAACACTCAGTCTTTAATCCACAACAGGTTGTTGTGGCATCCAAACCAGGGAGAGCAATTTCATTGTAGGTTGTGGGGAATGGCTAACCAGATGCTCAACAAGAGCAGTAACCGCTCCCCCCCCCCCCCCCCGTTCTTTGGAGTCTCACTCTTGCCATTGGCAGTCCCTCTGCTGATCCTCAAGCGGCACTTTGGAGTGAATTTTACTGGTTTGCCACCTTTAAAAAAATAGCTCCAGAAAATTGTGTGGATATATTTTTTTAAAATTAGGGTTATTATTGATTTTTCAATAGCATGTTCTTACCACTATTTGGTATATATTGTGAGTTGAGAAGCCTTAAAAAGGGGTGGAAACACATATGTCAAGAATTTGTGTGAAGGGAGCGGATGCACAGTATCTCCCCCTTAGCAATTTTCTTATCTCAGTTTTAAGCATTGAACTTAAACCTTTTCAACACCTCCCTGAGTCTCCAGCTCTTTCAGAAAGGAGTGATACTAATCTCCCTTCGTGAAGCTCCTTTTTCAAGGACTTAACTGCTGTGGTTACTGGAGCACTCCGGAGGTTCTCAAAAGAAAACCCTGAGAAGGTGAATGAAAGGGGCCTCATGGGGTTGATTCTGCTGCAAAGGACACTGGAATACAGGGGGAGAGAGTGGGAAGGAAGGAGAGAACAAGCCACGGTGAGCCTGATGTGCTTCGGGTTGTTTAACAGACAGTCCTCACTGCCTTGCTTGTCTGCAGTGGCTTAGCATATCATCTGAGCCAGTTTATGAACATGATTGGATTTAGTCCTTAACTGGTTTTTAGCCCTAGTGCAGCCTTCTGGTACCTTGTAGATGCATCAGTGTACATACAGTTCCCATCGTTTGATGGGAATTTTCGTCTAACACATGGACACATTTGGGTTGGAGATGGCTGGGAAGGGTGTGCAAGTGTATGACACTCAATTTCCTTTTGTCCTATTTTTCTGTAGACCGTTGGACCCAGGAAGACATGCTGACCCTCTTGGAGTGCATGAAGAACAACTTGCCATCCAATGATGGTGGCAAGTTTAAAACCACTGAATCCCATCTGGACTGGGACAAGGTTTCTTTCAAGGACTTCTCTGGTGAGATGTGCAAGATGAAATGGATTGAGATTTCTAATGAGGTAATCACTTATTTGGTGTTATTTCTGTCATGAAGTGCCATTTTATGGATGATCGGAAATGACACACTGAAGTAGGCTGGACTTGCAGGTGTGATGCACTGCTGACTGGGTCTGGGTCTGGTCACCCGACTACCATGATGGCCAGTAACACTGCGTCCTTCCCCAGTTCTCACCATCCGCCTTGCTTGCCATGGCCTCCTTGCTTTACTAAATGGCCTGGACCTACTCTTTCAAATTTCTCCCCATCTGCAAGCCATCTTAACCAGATGCCTTTTCCGTATTGTTTCTTTTATTGCATCCTCCCTACGTCCTTCATTTTTGGACTGGTCGATTTCTTGTTACTTTGCAATCCATGTCCCATTTAGGCGGCAATCCATATTCACTTATCCAAGAGGAAGCTTCATTGAACTCAATGGCTCTTGTATTCAAGTGGACACAGAAGATGCAATTAAAGCTTCTAATTGTGCAAATAAATGCTGCTGCTATGGCTGAAGTGTGCAGTGTGGTTTGAATGTTATACTTAGATGAATGCCATACTTAACCGTGGCAAAGCACTATAGGGAGGAGCCCAGTAGGCCTGAGCCAAAGATCCGGCTTCTGCACTTCCCTCTCCTTATTGTCCAGGAGGAAAACTCCTGCTGGGCTTTTTAAAAGGAAGCTGAGTTAGCATTACAGTTGAATGAGGAATCTTAATTTATAGTGAACCTTAGTCTGTTTCTAAAGAACCTCAACTTTAAACTGGAATCAAAAGGTGGTTTGTTTAACAATTGCTTCTTCTAAAAGATTCCTGGTGCAAACAGAATCCTAAGCTGAGATTCTTTGAAAATGAAACTAAACTTAACTGAATTCCTATCAGGGTGGGAGGAATGGGGAACAGAGTGGATGCAGTGCTTTGGTCTGGCTTAGGGAGACTTGTTCATGAAGCACTTAGCTATGGTTCAGCCATTGCATACAAACATTGCCATTTTATTTCTGATGTTAACCATGTTTTAGAAAAGAAATGTTTTGAAGAGAAACTTCAACATGAAGCAACTGCATCTAACTTAACCACCAGTAGCCACTGGTTAGAAAGAGTCACACCCACTGGATCTTGGATCCTGTCTGCTGTATATTCTGTTTTTGGCAGCACTGTGTAAAACATTTTTTTCTTCTGTATACATATTTTTCCTCTCATTTTCTCTCATCTCTGCTAACATATATTTACACATTGTAGGTGATGTTATACATTAAGCTCTTAAAAGTTTATGCTGTTCTAAGTGTGGTAACATGTCCTCAACACTCTTTCTTTCTTTCTTTCCCTTTAACACGCTCATATGACCTTCACAATTTGCTCTCTAGAATTTGCTATTATTTAATGCATGGTCAGTGGTGACTATGTGCTAGGTGATGCACAGAACATAGAAACAACGTGGCACTCCCCTAGAGACAGTGTAAACTCAATTAGTGCCCAAGACTCATAGGTAATTGTTAGGGCTATCTGCTGTTTAATCACATGCTTAATAATTGTTCAGAGTAAATTTATTTGGATTTTATTGAGAATGAAAGTAAGTGGAAAGACTTTAAATGTAATACAATGGTCATGCATTGTTAGAAGTAAGTCTGTCTGTATTATTTGTTTCTTACTGAACTAGAATCAAAATAGATTTAGAAAATGAACAAATGCCCTCAACCCTGTCAATTGAATCGTACAGTTTTACTTGATTTAAGGTGCAATCTTATGTATGTATAGACAGAAAAATGGCATACTATTTGCAGCATGCTGGGCATGGTAAGCTTTTTTTCCGTCTAAGTATGCATGAGATTGCATCCTTAAGGTATCAGTTGAAATTAGCAGCCCTGGAAATTGTTTTGCCATGCAGCTCTTCCATTCCTCCCACAACTATTGATTTGCCCCTGCAGGTGAGGAAGTTTCGAACTCTGACAGAATTAATTATGGATGCTGAGGAACATGTGAAAAACCCATACAAAGGCAAAAAGCTGAAGGTAAGTATTGACTCAGTGGAGGGACTGGTCCGTGATGGAACTTAATCCATCTGAATCAAGCTGGCTGCATTGTTAGCTGTTCCATTCATGTGGTGCAGTGATTTGGCCTATGTTTCCTTTGCATCTTAGGCATACTTTCCCTTCCCCCTTTGGGGTGCATGCTAACTATTTCGTACTTAAGGGGTTGCTGTTCACAGTGAAAAGGCATTTTAAAAACCCAATAAAGCATCCCCCCACCCTGTGACACTTCACATTCCTTGTATTCACACTCGGTAAAGGAGATGGCTGTTCTGTGGTGTTTAAGCCATTCCTGCCCCATTGTGTGCATGTATGTGCTTGTAATATGTAAAGGTTTTGCTGGGAAGGTAAAGGGGGCACTTTGTGGCTGCATTTGAAAGTGATTACTTTTAGGGTGAGGAAGATTGAGAATGGGTTGTTCCCAAGCTTTCAGCCAGGAAAAAACCTTAATGGTGCAAGAAGCAATGCATTCATTACTAAAAGTTGCTGAGAACCCAAAGCAGTCTTCTGAGAGACTGTTGATCTCCCATAGCCCTGATCATATGTATAAATTGTGCAAGCAATCATCACAAGAGAGCAAGGCTTGGGTCTAATGGGATGTCCTTTGACATGGACCAACAGGGATGTAAGAATGGGGCCCAAGAGCATGACTTACACTCCATGTGATGTATTTCTGTGTGTTTTGCATGCCTGAACAGGGCGTGATCCATTGCTGCAGCCTTCCTTCCTGGCATTTGGCATCTGATAAAGCATAGGTATTTTAGCCATGTCTCTGGTTTGAGCACAGCTGAGTCTCTGAATGCGTTCCCAGTGAAGAAATGCAGTGGAAATAGCTCTCCTTCCCCCATCTATCTGCTCATTTAGAAAGCATGCTCAGAAAATTGTTAGCTGCAGACAAATGTGGGTTGGACAGGTAGGTATGCAATGGATTTGGTAACTGCCCCTCCTCTCGCTTAGCTGTGCTGCTTCTCTGAGTTTTGCAGCAAGCCATACAGTTGTTCTTAAACCCATTCTAAAACAACTGAGATAATGAAATCAGAGAAATCTATTTGGGAATTTGCCTTCATTAAATAAGAGAAGGCAGAAAACTTAAAAGAGAAAATAGAAGAATTGGAATCCAATGTTCAGCTGCTTTGGGTGGAAGTGGATTATTAATAGAATCATTAATTGATAAAGGTGAAAAAATGGAACAAGTCTGTTGTGCAGCAGCTCGATTTTGGGTAGAAACCAGCAAGTGATGCTTTCTGCAGCATGGAGATGAACGTGACTCGCTAGCTCATGTCTGCCACTCAGGCCATGTTTAAAGGCATTGCAACAGTGAGCAATAAAAAAACCTAGCAGTCCAGCCTATTGCTACACAATCATTGCTCTGTGGGGGTAACTTAAACTTGCACATATCTAAAAGAATTATTCTTCAGAGGCAGTTGCATAGGCTGTTTGACGTGCTCCTCTTTGTTGCCTTTTTCCAAGTCATTCTGAACTTTAGCAGTTATAGTTGCACTGAGCTGATACTTGGGCAAATCTCTTTCCAAGTCTGTGCCCTCTTTGCAAGTCTGTGATGCCTCCTTTTCAGCAAGGATTGAGGAATGTGTGGCAGCCAGTTAACCTGACCGTTGGTTTCAGCAACATCTGAAAGACAACAGGTTCCCCCCCCCTTAGTGCTTTGCAAGAGTCCATATAAGTCTAATGGATCCAGTCCCCCTTATGTAAAGGTGTGCTTCTCAAGCAGAGACAATGACAGTACAACTTTGAGCTTGTGTTTGAACCTTAAGCATGCAATGCAAACCCATGAACTGTGAAACCTGTTTGCAGCCAATCCCACATGTTTTGAAAATCATGACCCTATCAGCAAACATTAAAAAGTATGAAAATCTAATTAAACAACATCAGTGGGGATGAATTAATTCAGTAACATGGCAAGAGCACTTTTCCCTGCTAGAGATGGCATTCTTTCAGGCATAACTTGTTGAGGCATGGCCTGCTTTTCTTTCCCCTTGTTTCAGTCATCCCCTCCTCTCTCCCCCTTTTTTCCTTTGGCCCCCTCTTTTCTCGCCCACATAGCTGAGGGACAAATTGTTCTTGTTAGGGGACTGAACTGATTGCCTGTGGGAATTTCCTGGAATTTGGTGAAGGGTTACATATGGCACTCAAGTTGCCCAACTGTGTTCTAAAATATGCTGCTTATTTATTTACTGATTAGGGGCATAGGTGGATGTTCAGGTGAAAAAGAGGTGGCAAGTTGCTTCCCCAATGGTGGCTCACTTGCTCAAGCTTGAGCCTCTGTTGGATATCTGCATTGTTTTAACAACCAAACCAACCAACCATCCTGCTCTGAATTGAGATGTTGACAGCCAGTGTAGTGCAGTGGTTAAGAATGCGGGACTGGGACTCAGGAGATCTGGATTCTAAGTCCAACCTACTTCACAGTTGACGTGTGTATAAGATTGAAAGGAGGAGTAAGCTGCCTTAACTTCCTTGAAAAGAAAGAAGGCAGGAGATAAATATAGTAATCATAAATAAATGTTTTTATGATAGGGGTGCAGCTGGATTCCAGTCTTTCTTGGAGTTTATAGGCTTATATTGTAGACATCAGAAACTGCCCAATACAAGTTCAGACACTTTGTCTAAGCTCTTGACTGGCAGTAGGTTTTCAGGGTCTTGGGCAGACGGGGGAAGGCTTGATCCCTTGAACAGGATTGGTTCAGGATTAAAGCTGATACCTTCTGTATGCAAAGCAAAATTGCTACCACTGAGTGGTTGGCCCTACCCTTGGACTTTTTGATGAACAGTCTGCAAAATATAGAAATACTCCAGAGCAGTGTATTGTAGGGATGAGAGTGTTGGACTAGTACTTGGGAAATCCAAAGTTCTAGTCCCCAGTCAACCATGTAGTTCCCTAGGTGGCTTTACACCACCTAGGGAACTACATGGTGACTCAGCCTTACCTACCTCACAGGGTTGTGAGGATAAATTGGAGAAGAGGAGGATTAGGTAAATTGCCTTGGGTTCCTTGCAGGAAAAAAGAATATAATGAATAAAAATAGGCAACAGCTATCAAGTGTTCAAGATTTCACCCAGTTTCATGTAGAAAATAACTCTGGTAACAGAGAGTTTTAGGTTTGTCAGTTTGCCTTGCAAAAAGGGAATTAATCTGCCTTAGGCTGGGAACAGCCAGTTTAAAATGAAAAAAAAGCCAATAGTGTGGAGAAATGGGTGACTAACAAGGCTAAACTAGATAATCACTGGAATGTTATGGTTTGTTCAGCTTCCCTCCCCACCCCTGACCACCACTGGTTATTCAGAATACATAATCCAACTTAATACAAAGGTTTATTTTGGCTAACTTTCATTTAAAACTAGTATTGATAAACAGAATTCAGTAAAATACTATTTTGTAAAAGATAATAAGAACTTCAATTATCTAAGGAGGCTCAAAATAATATTTTATCTTCTTCAGAAACATCCTGATTTTCCCAAGAAACCTTTAACCCCCTACTTCCGATTCTTCATGGAGAAGCGAGCCAAGTATGCTAAGCTGCATCCAGAAATGAGCAACCTGGATCTTACCAAGATACTCTCCAAAAAGTATAAGGAGCTCCCTGAAAAGAAAAAGGTGAGCAACATGTTTTATTGTTGTGGAAAGTGCCATGTACAGATCTCCAGGACTGCAGAGGCTGCTTGCCTATATCCCAAAAGAAGGAACCTCTGTTTCAGGAAAAGCTACGAGCATGAGGGAGAAAGATCTTGCCCCTCCATTTCTACCCTGGTGTGCATTTTCTCACTTTTCTCTGGGTGTTTGCAGATAATAAAAAGCCCCATGCAAGGGAAAATACCGTTCCCCTTTCTTGAGCGTTCTGCACATTGCAGTGCTAATAAGCCAAGTTAGAGCTTATGAACCCTTGATTATCTGAGATTTTTGGACAAATAAGAGTGGCTGGCCTTTTTTTGACTCATCAGACATGTAAATAGCAGCAGCAGGCTGCTTGTTCCTGGAGTTTGGGGATCACAAAGCAGAAAACAAATAAAAAACCCAGAATGGGACTGAACAGCATTGCAGCTGAAATGACAGAGAAATTCTTGTGAGAAAGAAGTGCCGTTATCCCAGGATAACAACTGAAAAGATTTAAAAGGCATGTCTTTGTGAAAATGAGCCCCATTTATCTGGAATCTGTACTTCTTAAGTATGAGAGAAGTCAATGGAGTATGTGTGTACACATTTGTGCATGTACATGCATAAAGTTATTTCTGATAGGGTGCCGAAATTCCTGACTAATTAAGAACTTAAGTTCTTTCATAGTATTGAAGACTCTGAACCAGGAGAAGACCCAGTATATTATGCCTGGAAAATTATTCAGTGTGTTTAGCAGCCACTTCAGGGCAAACTTGTGAAGTGACTGGATTCTGGGTACCAACATGCTGTCGTTACTTCCAGTTTTCCAGCCTTGAATGGTATAGGTACCTTGCCCATTATGAACCCAGAAACGGTGTATAAAGGAGCATGGGGGCTGGTAATGCACTGCTCACCTGCTCCATTCCAACAGCCCTCATTGTTGATACAGCTATTTAAGTAACTGGTTGGCTGGGGCAAGTAGAGGTTCCCTTTGATTCTCCCCATGAAATTTCATCTATCTACATAAGCCTAGCCATTGGCTGAGACTTCTGCTGTGTTTCCTTGGTTATTCTATGTGTACACTTCTAGGAATGAGAGGAAGTTCTGGCTGAATGCAAAAAGACTGGGGGCTTTTCTTTCACACACACACACACATGTGTACACACACAGAGAGGGAGAGGGAGAGAGAGAGAGAGAGAGAGAGAATATACAGCATGTAAGTGATATTTAGTACTTGCACTTAGTGTTTAGCTCGAAGCATTTGACAAGTCTGTCCTCTGCTGGTTTAGGATGTGGGATTCACATTGTGACAATTCTGGAGATCAGTAGTTCAACTTAGCATTTGTTCTTCCCTTTTGTCTGTCTTTAGATGAAGTATATCCAAGACTTTCAACGAGAGAAACAAGACTTTGAACGAAATTTGGCAAGATTTAGGTAAGAGTCCATTAAGTAGCAGGGGTATGTGTGTTGGCAGCTATGGAGCTAGTTGACCATGATGATGGGCTTCAGTTGCAGATACACAGCAATCACAGTATGAATTTGGATGCTGCAAAAAAAGCTGCTTGCTTTTCAGTGATGCTAGAGAGAGTGAGGGAAGAGCAGAAACAGCCAGTAAGCACCTTAGCTAGAGTGCTGCCTGGCCAACCACAAAAGAAGTGAGGGATTGTCTTCAAATTTGGAGGGCATCATGGAATGGCAAGGTTCATGAATAAATATTATTTTCAGTTCATTCAGCCATTTGCATGCCGATATTTGAAAGCATACGCTTGGATTAGGAGTCCAGATCAGACCAGGGATCCCTTTGGACTTGTCTTCCCCAAATTTAGATCTCATATGTTGGACTGCAGTTCACACCACCTCAGCCTGTTGGATGGTGAGAGTTGTAGGCCAACAACATGCGGGGATCCAGGGTTGGGAAAGTCCAGTCCAGTTGTAGTTGTAGAAATTTGAGGATTTAATTGAGTTTAACAGGGGAAGAGGAGTGTGGGATTTTTGAAGGGTCAGTCTGTATGTTTCTTTATGTCCATATAATTCCAGTATTGCTGATGCCCTATGATTCCTACTCCCTTCTGTCATGTTCTGTAAAGGGAAGACCATCCTGACCTCATTCAGAATGCCAAGAAATCTGATGTCCCAGAGAAACCTAAGACCCCCCAACAGCTTTGGTACACTCACGAGAAGAAGATCTACTTGAAAGTACGCCCTGATGTAAGTAGTTCTGCCTGGGTTTGTACACTGGAGGCCTGAGTAAGCGAAGGGGATACAGAAACACACAAAAAGGGAAGAAACAGTGGTGGAAACATTCTGGGTAGAGGCAGGGGTTGTGTTCCTGAAAATGAGGACAATCTAAGGAAAGCTGTGCCTTCTCTTTATAATTTTATTTTGTCAGAAATTATTTTCATGTGTGGTTTCCTCATTATCTAAGAGGGCAGTTCACATTTGAGCAGAACCAAATGGTAAAAGCTTTTGGCTGCTAGTGAGAAATCACACATTTCAATGTTTCCTCCCATCCAAAAAAACATCCTTTTTCCGCTTGCATAGTTAGCATGCTGAAGAAGCAATGTTTTGCCTAATCTGCTTTTTGTCAAAAGCAGTTTCCTGTGTCCCAGGGTTATTTATCATGGAGGAAGCATTCACATGTATACAGTCCCACATCTTTAATTTGAAAGGCATGACAAGAATTGCATTTACAAGAGAGCAGAGGAACATATTCCTGTTGAAAGGACATAGAAAACCGGGGCTTTATCATCTTTGAGACAACTGAGAGGAAACAATTAAAGGATGATGAACTAGAGGGAGGGAACCAGAAAAAATGATTTACTTGTTTCCCTCAAGTCAGTTAAATTCAGGATCAGCCAGTGGAAATGATGAACAGAAGGTGAGGTGGAGGAGTAATTTTCATGTAGTAGAAAATTTCTTATGGAACTCAGTGCCACAAAATGTTGGTGATGGACACACACATAAAAAGCTTGAAGACATATTTGTAGGGGATGTTATTAGCCACAACAGTGAAGTGGAACTAGAGACAAAACACCACCAGTGTACATTTAGTTGGGACGAATGAACAGAAGGTGCTGAACCGCTTCTTGTGCTGCCTGTCAGCTTCTCTGGAGGCATCTGTGCTGAAGGTCAAGGAGTTAGGTTAGGTAGGCAGTTCATATGGATCCAGTGAATGGTGATGCTTAATGTTCGTGTATAATGCTTACATGCAGCTTGTTTTAGTTTGGTATTTTCTGCTCCCATAATTCTTATTACCTGCATAGTCTCATCCTTTTTGTTAGAAAGAGGTGAATAAAATGAGGACAAAGATATGAGACCCTGACACACATGGCCACAAGGACTAAGAGCATTCTTTATATTTTAAAAATAAGCAAGAGCTTACCCAGGATACCAGAGTCAGTGCAAGAGATGAGATTCCCTGTCATACAGCAGATCAGCAAACTTACAGGCCAAGCATATGCATGGACATACAGATTTCCCATGTATTTAGCTGCTTTGTTCCCCTTGAAGGAACTAAAGAAGAACCTTTTTTTATGGAACCTTTTCAAAGATTTAGCTTAGCTCACTGCCATACCACTAGGGTGGGCAGTGTCCCCCCTTTCCCATATTTTTCCTTTTTACCTGATTTTTTATTTCCCCCTCCCCACCTGGGTTTTTCAGGCCACCACGAAGGAGGTGAAGGATGCGTTGGGCAAGCAATGGTCTCAGCTCTCGGACAAAAAAAGGCTGAAATGGATTCATAAGGCTCTGGAGCAGCGGAAGGAGTATGAGGTAGGGAACATTCAACAGTTCCCCTCCATATTCTCCCCCCTGTGCTCAGCCCGGCCTTGTCGCGGCTGTTGAAACCCAGCCGCGCTCCGAGAGCCGACTTGTGGGTGTCACTCCCTCTTATTGAGCCTGAAGGGAGTTGCAGTGCAACACCTTCGCTGCTGCTTCTGCCAAGCCTTAGAATTGGTCAGGGCCATGCAAGTGTGTTCACTCCTGTCCACCCTACAACCCCAGAGCCTAGGGAGGGCTTCTCCCCACAGTTTTTCTCTGAGTCCGCTGTGTTAACCGCTCCATGCGTTTGTCGTCTACAGGAAATGATGCGAGATTATATACAGAAGCACCCAGAGATGAACATTGAGGAAGGGGCTCCCCCCCGTTCCACCCTGACTAAAGCAGAGAGGCAGTTGAAAGACAAGTTTGATGGGCGGCCCACCAAGCCCCCTCCGTAAGTTGCTGGGCCTTTGTGATGGGGTTGGAACAATGCTCATTTTCCTTTTGTGCAATTCACATGGGTCAAAAGTACCGGCCAAGATCAGTATCTCCAGCTAAGAGGATGTCATCTGCTGCTGCCACCTACCCATCGTTGGCTCTGTATGGCAAGATAGCTGGGGTGTGCACAGCTAGTGTGGACTAGGAAAGACCTGCATTCTACTTCCTGTCCAGGCATGAGGCTCACTGGACAGCCTTGTAGCTCAGCATTACCAAACCAGTCTGCCTCACAGGCCTGTTACACATGTGAAAGTGGGTGGGGCACACTGTGTATTGCTATCCTGCTCTCAAGTGAAGAGCAGAGCAGAAGATGACTTTATGTCAGTGAATGAATGAATTACAGTTTTCTACTGCTCAATAGCTAAAGCTCTTTAAAAGAACATAAAATAAAATAAATAGAAATGGATCTTCCCAAGGTAGGACAGTAGTAACTTCTCTTAATGTCCATGGTTGGCCCATGAAGTCATGCCTATTGGCAACTGCTGACGGGCTGAGATGAATGCAGGGTAGAAGTGCAGCACTTCGTCCCATCACTGATGGGAGCTGCTTTTCATCCTGAACTGGTTGCCCAAGGTATCAGAAGGTGGCTGATGAGCACCTATAGTCCTCACCTGCCCACCTGCTATGAGAGCACCTCAGGAGATGCTTTGCTTGAAAGGAAACGTGCTTCACGTGCACGAGCAACTCCAGCAGGAATTTGCAGTGTGTTTTCTTTGTGGACAAGACAGAGCAGCAGTTCCCCTCTCCTGTTACAGCCACTTTTCACTCCTTTTGATGTAATATTTGCCTGTCTCTTCAGTAAAAAATAATCATCTTGGGGCAACTTAACACTCAAATAAGAAAATATAACGCGACACCATAAATTCTCCATTAGAACGTGAAAACTGAAGGAAAATAAAACAGCATTGGGAGCAAGCTAAAAACTGTGGTTAAAAGGCCTGGAAAGACTAGAAAGGATCTTCAGCTGGTGCTGAAATAGCACCAGAAGGGCATTGCAGAGCCCAGTCATCTCAGCCCTCCCACCAGTTGCCATGCTCAGGGGCACCTAGAGGGGGTGCCTGCAGATTATACGAATGCACAGACTGATGCACATTTTGCTGAAGTTTGTCTGGCCTTGCCCTTCTACTTTCTGTCTTCCCTGGCTGCTTCCAGTCTTAGAGGCCTTCTGTGCTATTCCATTCACTGTTCTCCCCCGCTCCATCCATCAAATCTTGGGGCTTATAAATTCTTACTTCATTGTTACCTATCCTAACTGAAGTACAATGTGATAAAGGCAAGAAACAGGAGGTTTTCCCATCCCTTTTCTTCTCTAGGCTGTTCTACCTCCCACCCAAATCTTCCTGCAGATGCAGAGGTGGGTTTTTGTGCTTGGTAGAGATCTTGAATGGAAGACAGCTATTTTGCTCTTGCATATAGATTGGACTGTGGGGTCCTGTTGCAGCTGCTTGCCTTTTTCAAAGTGCAGTACAAAACAACAGGTTAACAGGTTTCTGGGGGTACACTACTCTGGCATGTATAGCTGCAAATGTCTAGTCCAGCTGTAAAAAGCCCCTCTGCAAGACCTGTGCTTCTGCAAAAGCTCTTGCTGAATTCCCTGCCTTTATTTGGCTGCAGCAGTAGACATTATTGAGGTAGCAGGCACACCAGTTAAAGTAAACGCCTGTCACTTTACAAACTCAGGCATGCCATATTTGCAATCACTTCCATTTTAGCTTGTCTTTTCATGGATTAAATGGAGGATCCAAAGTTAATCGCAACTGTCCCCTCTCTTTCCCCCCATCACACTGAGGGCAGGCGTCCATGTGAGTAAATCTACATCCGTTCTGCAAGCTAATTCCAAGCTCTTCTGTGTTTTCCTCTGTAGCCCCCCTTCATCCCTGGGATGAGTTTTGAGCTTAACATCCATTTAAACTTTGTAGAGAGAGAGCACTATGCTACAAGAAAGAACAGCACTCCCACATCTGTAATTAAAGAAGCCCTTAGGCTTGGTTTAAAAATGGCCACTTGCCTGGCCAAGCAAGGAAGGCCCATTCCACTTTTCTTGCAGGGTATACATGTTTAAGAAGGCTGGTAAAAATTTCTCTGGCTAGTGACTTCTGTGGACTTACTTGCAAGACATTGTTTTCTGTGGATGCTCGGGATTGCAGATAATCCAGTTGAAAGGGGAGAGACAAATTTTGGTGAGCTTTTGAATGTCTGGATTTTGTGTGCTTGACTGAAACTTGGGGTGGGGGGTACTCTCAGGTGATCAGTTGACCTCCTACAGTTTTGGCTCAAATTGATATGGCCTTTGAAGCTCAAAAATTTGAATAGGATGGAAAAGAGATGCAAGTAGCTTTTGCATGCTTAAGATCCCATCTATCTTGTTACCATGAATCCCCAGCCCGAATATTTGTGGCAGGAGTTAGTGATTATGGGTGAGGGAACCAAAGAATGATAAGGGGTTCAAGCACCAGCAGTGTTGTGTGCATTGATTTATGTAGAGTATCCCAAGTACTGACTTAATAGGTGGTGCCATATAAAGCCAATTATTATTCTAGGAACAGTTACTCACTTTACTGTGCTGAGCTGATGGCAAACATGAAAGATGTCCCAAGCACAGAACGGATGGTGCTCTGCAGTCAGCAGTGGAAGCTTCTTTCCCAGAAGGAAAAGGATGCCTACCACAAGAAGTGTGATCAGGTGGGCACAGCTTTGTGTGTGTGCGTGTGTGTGTGTGTGTGAAAGATTAGAGGATCTTTCAAGGATTAGAAACCTTGCCTTGAGGCATACAATGGGGTTATTTCCTTACACTAGATATGTACAAGGCAGGTTCCATGGTACTTTGGTGCTCTGCTGTTGAAATGGCTTTCTCCTCCAACTTAAAATGTGCAAGAAAAGTGCCATCACTTTCAGCGTCTGACCAAGGTGTAAATTAACTTCAGTAGCCCTGTGTGCTGCTGTGCACAAGCACAGTGTGGACAAGAGAACAGTGTTACCCTTAAATTAATCAGTGACACCTGTATTTCTGATAGCCAAGCTGGAATTGCTAAAGCCGTAAGTAGAAACCAGATAAAAAGATAAGACCAGATATAGTAAAAGTCATAATACTGCCAGTAAATGTATTATTGATTTCAGGTTCTAATGCTACTGGATATGGAAAAGTCAGAGTAGGAGGGGAAGGGAAGGGGTGAATACTCCTGCAAGGCGCCATGATGCCTATCCTCAGGAAGCAGTTGGAAAAGGCAGAGCTGTTTTATTTCTTTACTGCCTAATAGCTGAAGCTCTCTGAAGAGCAAACAGCAGTTAATAAATACAATACAATGCCAATATAAAATGTAACTGTATGTTGTTTTTAGTGTTCTAGTAAAATTTAAAAGAACATTTCGACAACAAAATAAACTATATCAGACCATACCACTAAACTTGCTGAAAAAAGAAAAACAGCTGGCAGTTCCTCCACCTACCCATCCCCAGGGTTTAGAGTTAAGTAAATACTTCTGCAGAAAGGGCAGCCTTAACTGAAAAGATGAAAAAGGCATTGAAAAAAAGATGGTGCCAAGCAGGTCTTAGCAGGGAGATCATGCCATAATTTGGGGGCTACCACAGAGAAGGCCCTTGTTTCCTTCTAGTTTAAAGGTTTCAAATTGCAATATTGTTCTGTTTTTCTCCCACCTCATACACACCCAGTACTCCAAACTTCTTAAAAGATGGCAAAGGTGATAACAGTATGTTCCGTGTTTTGCCGGAAGGCCAGTCCTGACAAAGAAGTGTGCTCTCCTTCCTTCTTCCTCCAGTGCCCTGTTGCCCTGAAGTTGCTGATCTGCAGCCATCTTTGGGGCTGGAAAATTAGATGCCTCTTAGTAGGCTGAGCTTTACTTGGGACTGTAAATTGTTGACCCTTGAAGCAGAGTAGTGTTTCTCTGAAAGTTAATTCAGACAGGCATCTTAGGAGATACTTGTTAAATTTGGAATCCAAATATCTGTTAGGATGTCTAGACTTGCTTTTGGCAATCCTTCGGGAATTGAATGGTTTGAGAACACAATTTTGGAGGGGTGCTAGAGCAGGAAAAGGCAAAAATCTTGGCATACCCCAAGAACTGACTATCTTGTGCTGCTTTGCCTTTACAGAAAAAGAAAGATTATGAAATTGAGCTGTTGCGTTTCCTTGAGGTGAGTGTGACCAAAACATTCTACTAGCTGATGTGCATGCAAAGTTAATTGGTCTTAAAATATTGGACTTAGACTAGTCCATGTCTGTTATATTGCACTAATTATTGGTTTTTTCCAGGTAGTGAGTGTAACCTATATACTCTTGTTGCTTTAAAATTGCAAAACTGTAAGATGAAACTATTCAGTGATTCTTAGCAATCCAAAAGTCCTGGTCCATCCATAACAGAACTTGTCTCTTGTATTGAGGAGACTCTGAACAGGGCTTCCTTATATAAGGTTGGGTTGTATATGAAGAAACCAGGCTCAATTCAGACATCTTGCCAACCACCATGGTTTGTGCTAACCACCCTTTAGAACCCAAAGTATGGTTTGAGCTTCCAAGCCTATAGGTAAGCTATAGTTGAGAACAGCTTGTCTGTCTATACTTGCCAGTTGAAAGATCAGACCAAAACATAGTTAAATTTCCAAAACTGTAGTTTTACATGAAGTCTAAATTTATTGACTGCCTCAGATGCACATCGCTTAGGGCTTTCCACTTGATAGCTGATTGGTAGCCTACACAATTGTTTTAGAATAGTTAGCATGTCTATTTTTTCTCTCTACCCCCTTCCCTCAGCTTCCCATCACAGCACATCCTGTGAGAACTGAAGTTTCCAGATGGTCTTCAGCAATAGTTTACTTCTTTGGAGGTGGGGGTTGGGGGGCAGGAGAAGAAACTAGTGCAGATGCTGGACTGCTGACATAGTACTCTTCTTGAAGACAAAATCTTCTGAAGAGGAAGTGGGTAGCCATGCTCTTCACCCCCTGAAGCTTCCTGTGTTGCAGGTGCTGCCAAATTAGGTATACATTTGCTAGATGGGAGTAAGACAGCAAAAATAAAAATTAGCCAGTGTTCAGGAAGCCATCACCCGTTTCTGGCTTTTGTTGTTGTTGTTTTAGAGCCTACCTGAAGAAGAACAGCAGAGGGTTCTGGGGGAGGAGAAAATGCTGGGAGTAAACAAAAAAGGTGCCACCAGCCCTGCCTCTAAGAAATCCTCACCAGATGCTAGTAAGGTAAGTACTACATACCCTATCCAGGGGTGAGGGCAAAAGCAGATGCATTGTGGGTATGTGTGCATTTTTGCATTTAAATAATTGGATGAATCTGACTTTTAAACAGGCCTCAAGACTTCACTTAAAATGGCTGCTGGCTATGTTTTAAAATATGACCAAAAAACTCGTTATCCACATTTAAATTTTCTTTATAGGAACAGATAGTTGGGTTGTCAGCAGGTTTGAACAATGTTTGCTTGATTTAATCATCTGCCTTGTAATTAAATAACTGACTAATCAATTAAAATAAATTTGCATATGCCCCAAAGTCCTGTATTAGTGCCTTTCTGAGATATTACAGGAAGTGTAATAAGTTACCACTTTCATTGTTATATATAAATACCCAGCTTTTAATTTGTTTTTCATTTCCTTTTCATTACAATAATGCACTGAACCAAAATAGCCTCAAAATTTGCCTTTAACTTGCAGCCCACCTATTAAAATTTGAACTTGTTGGCAAGAATTGCTCCCCCCTTTGATTAATCAACTAAAGTATTAGTTGATTAACCCACTGGGTAAGTTTTGTGATCCTACAACTAAGTCTCCCCTTTTTTTCTCCTTTTCTTATTTGTTTTTTTTTTCCATAACGCTTAAAAACTAAAAACAAAGTTATAACCTCAGAGTTCCACAACCACGAGTCCCTTTGTGCTCTTTAACAGGGAGGTTCTGAGAAACCCAAACGGCCCGTTTCTGCTATGTTTATCTTCTCGGAGGAGAAACGCAAGCAGCTGCAGGAGGAGCGACCCGAACTGTCGGAGAGTGAACTGACCCGGCTGCTGGCGCGGATGTGGAATGATCTTTCAGAGAAAAAAAAGGTTGTTTAATCAATAATGCACATTCTGCTTTCCATAATTTTTGTGGGGAGGAACAAGGGAACATGTATTCCTGGGCATCTCAAAGTCAGCTGGATTTTTTTTTCTGTTGACTTGGATGAAACCAGGATCTTGATCCTTTCCTTCACCCTTAAAAAAAGAAAGAAAAAAACCTGCTAGAAACCTACAGAAGGTTCTGGAACATTCCAGAGCCATCGGTTCTCTGTAAAAGGCACCAAGCAGCTCCGTCACAGTCTGGGCGCTCCTACCATTCCATCTTGCGTTACCTCTGCCCGTTTTTTTTCTCCAGTTTGAGGGGTGGGGGCAACCAGGCTTCAGCAATCTCGTCATTTGTGTGAAAGTGGGCAACATGTCAGCCCTGTGCTCCCTTTTCTGTACAAGCCACCTCCCAGTGCATCTATGAGTATTGCATGGAGCCGGAAGGGAGACGTCTTGAGGCTTGGTTTAGAAGCCTAAGAAAGGAAGGTGTGGGTCCTTGAGGAAGTTAACTAGATGCCATGATTGGATTGATCAGAAGGCAGGGGATTCCATATGAGTGGGGCTGGAACTGGTGTGGTTTGACTGTGCATGTTGGAGGGTGACTTCAGGTGAAAACAGATGGCTATATATCAAACAGTTCTTTACTCTGGTGGGCATACTATCAAGTGGAACAGTTGTGGTTTGCAGCATCCACTCACAAGCTGAAGGGAATTTTGCTGCACATTTGCAACTGGTCAGAAATCCAAGAACAGTGGGAGGATTCCTCTTCCTTCATGGGAGCATATATTCCTTCTAGATCATATATCAAGTGCCCGCTCTTAATTTTTGTTAGCTCCTTTAAATTTTCTGTATTGGCTGAAGCTCATTGGTCACTCAGGCTAAGTTGCCATGTGGAAAATGGCTGTGTACGTTCACCCTCTGCTTGCAAAATTCAAAATTTTGGAGGGGAGGAAGAGAAATGGAGCACGGGGGCCAAGTGGGAGTATTAGGAAGTTATACTAGGGAAATGTCCCTTCCCCATAGGTGTAATTTGTCTCTGTAACTGTGGACCTGGAGGTGAGCTTTTGACGAGAGAGAGGTGTGTGGAGCAGGGGCAGATGGAGAGGTGAGGAGAAAGGTATTGTGGAGGGGAAAGATGCACAGGCAGAAGGGGGGAGTGGGGGGGGAGAAGGTGGCCGGACTGGAGGAAGAGGGGGCAGAGGAGGGAGGAGAGGAAGGCAGAGAATGAGAGTGATGGAGAAGGAGAGAGGGAGGTGAGAAATGGGCAAGAGGGAGGAAGGAGGGCAATATGAGGGGGAGGCAGAAGCAGGGAGGCAAGGAGAGGCAGAGAGCAGGGGTGGTGTAGACACAGGGAGAGAGAGGTGGGCTGGGTGGGCATACTTGGAGGGAGCCTAAGAGCTGTGCTGGATCAGGTTGAGGACTCTCTCTCCTGCACTCTCGGCATGTTTCAAGATTCTTCTAGTTCCAGAATCTGTTCAGACAGTGGATGACCAGCCACCCACAGGAAACTTGTCCAGTGGCGCTTGAGTCCAACAGCACCTCCTGTCCATGTTCCCCAGCAACTGGTGTACACACACACTCCCTCTGCTACAGGAGGTAGCATATAGTGATCAGGCCCAGGGGACATTTATAGCTGTATTATCCTTGAATTTGTCCAGTTCTTCTTAAAAACCATCCGTAGTGATGGCCATCGCAATACCTTGCGGAAGTGAATTTCATAGTTTAACTACATGTCATGTGAAAAAATTCTTGCTTTTACACCTAGAGAGAGAGGCACAAGGAGAAAGAGGTGTCTGGAGGTAGAGGCAAACAAGAAGAGGAAAAGACAGGGAAGAGAAGGATAAAGCTACTGTAATAAGCCATGGGTTGCTTGTTTTGTGAGATACCCGCAATGAGCCCACCACCAGACAGTCAGGCTTGTTGTGGGTACTTTGCTTCCTCCCAAACCCTCCTTTCCCCTTGCTCCTCCAGAGAGTATCTGAAGGGACATAGATAGCAAAGCGGAACAAGTCTCCATTCTCTGATAGCAACATCTGTGAGCTGGCCTTGGCTTGCCAGAGTTCTCTGCAGCTCCCCTTGCGGTGGGCAAGTTTGCCATAGTCAAGGCTTCAGGGTGACTCCATTGCACTTTTTGCGCAATGGGAACAAAGAAGCATATTAAAGACATCTCTGTTCTCAGAGCACAAACAGGGCTTGTACTCTGAAAAGCACAGGAGAGCTGATTAACTACAGAGGAGACTTCTGGAACCGCTCTTGGGGCAGTTCCACAGAGTGGGCCACTGCCCCGCATCCACTGCTGAAGAGGCAAGTTCTTGAGGAACCAGCAGGTGTGGCCAGTCTGTCCCACAGTGCAGAGCCACCTCCTGCCTGAGAGGCCCACTTTTGGAAAGGAAGCAGGGTGCCATATCTGCTTAGCCCCATGACCCCAAGTATGGGGCAGCCTTCCAAGCTGCCAGCAAGGGCTTCCACCTCTTGCCTAGATGACATATGCCCCCTCAGTATAGAGTGGATCCTGGCCGTGCTTGCCAGTGGCTTCAGAGGTCTGACAAGGATAGTGCTGTGTGAGTGCAGCACAACTTAACGACGTTTCTCCCACGTGTCGCTTCTGAAACACTGCAAGGAATTTTTGTTGCTCTCATCCAGCAGCTCACTGGCCCTTGGGGCTCAGGCTGGGTCATTTGGTAACCAAGAACACCCACAATAACAAAAGCATAATAGGGTTTCATGTTATTTGGACCAGGTCAGAGTAAGAGAGAAAGAAAAGGAATTAAGTGAAAATTGGGGTGTATAGGAAAGTAGATACTGATTGGTCCAGCTATAATCCCCTTATTTGTACAACCCACAGCAATCTTGTTTGGGCATGTTTTGATTTGTAATCTGCCAATCTACTCTGACAAAATACATGCATGAGAAGTTTCTGATCAATGTATTTGATCATTTCATGCCTCACTTAAGCACTTTTCAATCACAGTATGTCCTGGAAGGGAGAGCCCAAAAGCTACAACACAGAGGTGCATGAACTGCCAGCCATGTGCAGTCCCTGCATGACTCCCCCTCCCCCTCCATTGAGCCTATAGAAAGAATTGCACCACCTCTGCCACAGCTGCAGCCTCTCACCAATGGCTCTCTCCATTTTGAACTCCCCCATATGGCCAGTAGCTCCCTTTCCCCCTTCCTCCGCTGCTTCCTCCGTTCCTGCTAGATCCTTGGATTCCTTGACTAGCCCTTCCCATTTCCAAGAGGTCTTTCTAGGATCTGTGTTGGGAAAGAAGAGTCATACACCTCTCTGTGACCAGCTGAGAAGTACCTTTCAGATCGGGCAGCTGCCTCTTGAGCACTCTGTGGCTCTTGTGCTCTGATGCTGGCACTGCATGCTGGAGCTGCAGCACCTGCTGTGGGTAATGGGAGTAAACACAATTAAGAAGAGGAGGTAAATGCATGCATTAATGTAAAGGAAATACATTTAAGGAAGCTGTTCATGGGGGTAGGGAGTTGGAAGGAATGTGAAACTTGAAACATATGAAAAGCATTAAAGAAACAAGATAAATTAGAGGGGAAGATAAAGAAATGGGATAAACGAACGGGAACATAAGGAAAAATAAAGCAAATGGATGGAGTCTTTTCACTGCCTGACCAGTGGATGTGACTGTGGGTGTGTACATTGCATGTGTGGTCCTCAGACAACACCAGATGCAGCCTCGGGGTTGATAAGGTTGTCTGCAGAGTGAACAGAGCTTCCAGACTTGAAGCTTTGGTAGCGCCTATCTTTTAAGGCCATGGAAGGATTTGCTCAGCACAGTGAGGCACACTGCATGGAAAGCTACCCAGTGTGGCTTATAAGTCACCGTGCTCCCAGTGTGGCTTATAAGTCACCGTGCTCCCAGTGTGGTTGACACACTGTCAGTGACAGGTGTCCCTAGGAACACCAAGGTTTCCCCCTATCTCCACCTCTGTGGACCAGCTTGTGAGCCAGGGTGAGTGCTGTTGGCGCTGTTACTTCTTGGTGCTGTGTGTGTGCAATGTCAAGGAGTTATGAGTATCTCTCACCCTGGCTAGTGAGAACACCACCTTTGGGAGCTGGGGTGAGGGCTGACTCTCCCCATCTTTGCCCCGTGCTGCTGGTACCTTCTGCCAAAGGGACTAGCAGCAATGGGGGTGGCCAGGACTGAATGTTTCAGCTTTCCCCACCCCATGCTGCAGCTGCCCCGAGCGGTGGCAGCAGGAAATGCAGTGGAAATTTCTGACAGGCACACCCCAAGTGTAGCTTGGGCATGTTGTGCATGGCTGTCAGTGGTGTTTGCCTGGCAGATGGGGGTGATTTCTTGCCACAGGCCTCTGTTTGGGGTAACCCAGAGGTGGTCATGTCATCCAGGTTCAGACAACACAACAGTCCCTGAAGTGGCTAATAAGCTACTTTGAGTAACCCATGGGGGCAGGGATGGAACAGCACCAGTCCCCTGTGGTGTGTTAGCTTGCGAGGGAGACTTGTTGCACTAAATGAACGTACAACATATCTGCAAGATTACTTTGAAAGTAGCTCTTGTAAAAAGTTAGTTCTTGTGTTGCCTTACCATGTTCCCAAGAATGAGAATATTCTCAAGAGAGGGAAAACAAAAACATTCAAGAGGGTTTCATTAAGTCAAATTTTCAAACAAAAAGAAGCAAGGGTTAATATATTGCCCGACAAAAGGCAGTTTCTTCCTTTACCTTATGAACAAATACAATAATGGAAAATAAATTTGGATGTATATGTTACTGAAGCTACAAAATCCATTTTCAACTGCTTTTTAAATTCCTGCCTTTTCAGCAAATTAGCCAAGCCTCCAGAATTTTTACTGACATATTTGGAGATTTCTATTCTCTGTTTCTGTGCCCAAGCAGCCAACAACTTGAAACTAATTCACAAAGCAGTGAATCTTTTAAAAAAAAACATAGAAACATAAAAAAAAATTTAACATAGAAATATACTTACCAGTTATCCCTTGATACATACTTGAAATATTTTACACATGTACTCTTGAAAATGTGCAGAGTGCTACTTGTGAGTGAACCTATATCAAGGCATATTGTCTTCTGCAGCTAGCTTTATTTCTTGACAGAGAAGATTTTAAGCATAGACCCTTTCAATTGTCTTGGTAGGCATGTTCTGGGAAGAGGTATTACGGGTGATACAGACAGTCCAGGCTACAAAGTGGTTGTTTTAAAACAAGCTTGACTTGTGTTCAGAGACTGACTGAACGATATCTCTTCTTTCTGTCCTCAAAAAAGAAGCAAGCCACTTACATTAGATGAAGTTGGAAGATCTGGAAAGAATTAGGAACTAGATCTTCATTTCAGTTTAGATTTGTGGCCCAATTTTGGTATAAACATTTTGTATATGTAAAAATTAGGCTGGCTTCCTGTTTGCAAACTGTTGCTTTGATTATGGAATTGTATTTCCCTTGTTAGAAAAATGTGGAAGTATTGAAAAAGAAGAAACAAAGAGAACCATAGCCTGGGTTGCATATATATATTACAAGAGCTTGATGTCTCTTCACCCTGCATCTTTTCTTCTCAAAAAAATCTGTGGCACCAGGTTAAGGGAGAGTCAATGCAACATCAAGCCATTTCTTCTGAATCCTGATTGGCTCTTCAGTGGAGGAGTTAGATTTTGGAGATAGGTTTGTTCCCAGCTCCATTTTCAACTCTGAAGATGCTAAACATTTTCTGCATCCATAAAAAAAGTTTTCAAACTTTCTGCTTGGAAGTACTCCTCATATTTATTTGTCTGCTATGGAATCCTGTTCGTTGCAGTAGATTCTGGGGCATATTATAGGAGCTCCCATGGAAAACTTAGGGCCCCATAGTTTTCTGTTGCAAACTCTGTGCATGCCTTGAAGTATGTCTAGTATTTGCTGATGGTTGTGCATTTGCAAGAGATGACATCATTTGCCGGTGGTAATTTTCTCATTGAGGAACTTTGATACCATTCTGTTAAAAGTCCAGAGTTCTCCAAAACACAGGTTTAGGGCTTAGCTACCTTGACATTCAACCAGTCAGTTTTTTTCTTTCTTACTGTGGAGTCCTGCTTACCTCCAAGGTTTTGACCATCTATGGTGCTTTCTCATCTAGGCCAAATACAAAGCTCGTGAGGCTGCAATGAAAGCTCAGACAGAGAAAAAGCATGGCTCTGACAAGGAGGATCGTGGCAAACTTCCTGAGTCACCCAAGACCGCTGAGGAGATCTGGCAGCAGAGTGTCATTGGAGATTATCTTGCCCGCTTTAAGGTAAAGTGGAATAGTGGACAGGTCAGGAATTGCTATTCCTGAAGCAGAATTATTTCCTTAAGTGGTACTTGAGAAAGTCCATAGATGAATTATCACTGTCCTGGCGATGCAGGCACACCTCCGGGTAGCTTGAATCACAAGCATGTAAAAAATAATGAGGGTGTTTTTATGTTTCCTGGATTGATCTTGGCGTTGGTCCTGTTTAAGAGCAGGAAGCATCAGGAAGAATGAAAGGGCTGCTACTCGAGGGACACAATTGATGGTAATTAAATGAAACCCATCTTGCAACTTACATATTAGAAATTCTGTTTTGTTTAACTAGTTTCATGTGTATATATATTTCCAAGGCTCTTAACATGGTTTTCATAAAGGTTTAAAAAAGATACAACGTGAACAAAATAAATAATAAAAATACTACTGTGCATTCATCAGATAGAAATCAGTACATTACAGCAGCTGCCCATCAAGTCAGCCTCCAAAAGTCAATGGAGCAACAGCTATAAGGAACACCATGAGGAAGAGCTGGGGCTTGATCTTTAGAGGGAGTTCATCGCAGAGCCTTCTCGCTTATTTTTGTTTCATTCATGCTCCATGGCACTTAAGTGATTATGGCACGCTGTTTGCCAATCAGAACTACACTGTGAATCCTATTTAAGTTTTCCTGTGTTGTACCATTGCTGAGCTGCCTTCACCTAGAACCAGAGAAACAGTCATGCCATTTGATGGATTGATTGCCTTTCCTGGTGATTCCAGAGATTTACCCCAAGACCTTCCCCATGGTAAAGTGCATGCTTTACCACATTTTCAAGTCCAAGGGCCACCCCCATGAGGAGACACTGGACTCAGGAATGTCATTCTTGAGCTTCAGGCTGTTTTCTTGCTGAGATTATTCTGACCATACTTTATGACACATTGTCCTGTGGCCACAAAATCCTGTACATTCAAAAAAAGAGAAGAAGCCTAACCTTCACACAATTTGGCATTGATACATCCAGCAAGGGATTTTTCTTCTTTGTGGTCTCTATGCATCCCACATACAGGCTTTGTTGCTGTATAGAGCCTATCATCAGCAAGCTTCTATAGTTAAGCATTTGTGTTTCATCTTGATTTTGCTGAAATCTGACTCTGGGTTTCTACCAATGAGACAAAACTGACCTAGGTTAAATTCCTACTGCCGAGCAACATTTGAAAAAGTACATTTGTTTGCTGGGTATATATGATTTCTTGCTGGAAGGCTTAGAGTTGAAAGTGGTTGGGGTGTCCCTGTGAAAGCTAGATCTTTGAAGCAGTTAGTTTTAGTATATGAGCATTGCAGTGAAGGATTAGCTCACTGTAGTGGGGCAAAAGTTCCTGTGTGCTTGGAAGGTGCAAGAAGAATTTTGTGCAAGGCTCAGGGAACAAGAGGAACTGGGTGGAAAGCATGCATATGTGGTCACTTAAAGGTGTTATTTAAATAGTCTCAGATCTGTGCCTTAGAAGTTTGTATTGATGAAGGTTGCGAAGACATTGATCTGTGGACATATCCAACGTCAAAAGAATGAGATTAAGGATTATATACAGTGCATTTCCTGGCCTTGTTCAGCATGCTTGTTGTTGAGCCCAGTAGATAAAATGTTGTACAGAGAACACTAAATGATACATCCGGTCCTAGAATTTCATAAGACCCGGGAGCTGAGACTTCCTCACCCTTGTTTACTGATCTAGAGTCGGGTAGCCACATGGTTGGTGGCTATCAGTGCCATCACTTTGTCCTCAAGAAAGTGGAGAAATTAAACCAAAGTTCTGGGACACAGGGAACACTTCTGGGCAATAAATGTGTATTAATCACTGGTGGAGTCTCTCTGACCCTGTACTCCAACCTTCCTCAGCAGATGTTTTGGACTTCCAACTCTCAGTAGTTCCAACAAGTATGACCAATAGTCAGGAGTTCAACACATATGAATGGCACGAGGCTGGGAAAGGCCGAGGTACTGCTCATCCTTATTGGGAAACAAAGGGTATGTTAGGGATGGTGTAAGTCATGGATTGATAGTTCTGAAGGGAACTGAGCATATCTAAAAGAGTCACAACTCCAACAGGTGCATGCAAATATGGGCAAAGTGGATCATGAACATAGTGCAACAAGACCAACTAGGCTTCAGCTTTTAGCTATTTGAAGGGTTGCCAAAGATAGTTGTGGAGCCGAAGGCCATTAGATGATGGCTCGGTGCTGTAGGAGAGAGGCACTGCAGGTGTGTGTGAATTGAGAATTTCTCCCATGTAATAGATTTGGTGTGTTAGTGTACGATGAGGACTGTATTACTTTATTTCTTAAATGTATACCCTGCCTCTTCTTTCAAGAAACTCAAGGTGGCTTACACAATTCTTCTCTTCTCAGTCCTCACAACAGCACCAGCAGCCCTGTGAGGTAGGTTGGGCTGAGAATCTGATTGGCCCAAGGGAGACCCGGTTGGTTTCATGGCTGAGTGGGCGCTAGAACCCAGATTGCCCGAGACCCAGTCCTGACTAAGCAGAGTGGTTAAACTCACATAGATCACAATGATCACAAATCACTACCAGCCAAGCATCTCTGTAAATGATAACTTAAATCCCCTTCTGTAATCAACAGCTGTCATGCTTCTTGTGAAGAAACTTTGTGCTGTGGACAGGCCAGGGAGAATTACTTAGTACTGGCTGGTTCTGACAATGAGCTTAAGGAACCTTAATGGAAATGTGGAAGCATGCATCCTTAAACCCATGAAAGCAGATCAGGCAACAGCAGGAAGTCTGAGACTAGGACGATCATACACAATTCCAGGGGAATGATGAAAACCTTTTCTACCCCTTGTAAATCCAGCATGGATCGGAGGCCTTCATCTTTTATGAGGGGATAGGTGAATGTTAGCAATGCCAGATTTTGGAAGTTTCTTTATGCAGGAGAGCACTGGCCTTTTGAAGTAGGAGAAACGTTGGATTAGGGAAGCAAAAGATGTCTGAGGTGAAAGACAGCAAGACCTATTCTACAATTTGAAGATTTCTCGATGGCCTGAAGAAATCACACCCACCTGTCTCTAGGCTGTTGTGGAGTCTCTCTATAGTATTGACTGCTTTGATGTCCAAGCAACTTGACAAGCTTGCCATGTCTGTCTGTGATCTGCTTGCCTTTAAAGTACAGTTTCTTGTCACCATCTAGGCATCAGTCTTAGGTCCAACCCCCAGTTACTGTCCTTTATAATGACAAAATGGTACTCAGACTAGACCTAGCCTTTCTGCCCAAAGTTGTTTCATAGTTTCATTCGAATCAAAATTTTACCCTTCCTGTTTTGGGATCCTGCTTCCATCCTTCAGATGTACAGAGGGCTCTGGCTACCTGGCTTCACTGAATGTCCTCATTTTGGAAGACTCAGAAAGCTGTTGTTGTAAGACCCAATATAAAGGATCTGATGTCTCCACACAGCACCATTCCGTTTGGTTTTAGGCAGCGTTCAACTCTGCTATGTGCTGGCTTGACTCCCACTACCATAGTCACTATGGACATATTCCACCAGAGCTGTAATTTCCTCTGTTGTCAGGGAGTATTCTTCTTCAGGAATTGTGTATGGCTGCTACCTGATTGCAACCTGCAGGTTTCCTCAGACATCAGTGCCTTGAAGTTTGTGAATGAAAAAGTACCTCCTTTTGATAGGCAGCACTGGTTTCTATACTGAATCGACCACCTGTTTCCACCCCCTTTGGGAAGTCAGCTTATTTGCTCATATGCGTGATATACAAAAACCACAAAGAAAAGGTCATACAACTCATTTTCGTACCCTGCTGTGGGTGTTTTCACCATTCTTCTTGATTGGGGCTGTCACTGCAACATTCTCAGAGAAATCTTCTTGACGAGTACAGGAGATGTGGGGAGGACAATCTCCTTGCCTAAAACTCTTGACCCTGAAAATTTCTGACAGAGCTCTGTGCAAGCACAGAATCCATATGTGTGAATGCACAGCTGACTACATTGCAGGTACAACACTTGTGCTTCAACCGGTGGTAAATATCTGCTATATCTTTTTACCAAGTGTGTGGTTTGCTCCATGCGGAGAAAGAGATTTTCAGACTCTTGCTCTTGACTTGGTCTGTGGAGAAGCATTGTTTGGATGCAGAATCCAGCTTGAAATCTACTTCTAGAAAGCCAAGGAGGAAATTGGGGGAGGGGTTCTGTATTTTAGGAATGGGGAGAGGAAGGTTGTCAACCCACTGGAGCACTAGAAGGAACAGTAGCAGAGAGAAGAGGGGTAATAAATGGAACTGCAGCTCCCATAGTCCTCAGGTTTGATATATTGGTATTGTGGATGCGCTGGACAGCTACAATTTGGATAATGATAGTAGGGGCCAGAGGCATACATACAAATTAGAAAGTCCTTGGGTAGACAGGGTCATGAATGCCAGGGCATGGTTAGTGCTTCAGGGCAGTTCTGCAGCTCAGCAGATCCAAATGCGTGGTTGTAAACATCAACTATATGTAAGCAGCCTATCTTTCTGAAATTGTAGTAGGCCTGAAAACAGGATATATTTAAAGGATGCCCAGAATGGAGAGTTTTGAGTTCTGCATAAGATGGAGTCTACAAGCTGTGCAGTACCACTCTTTCTTCTGCCTTAGAATGACCGTGGGAAAGCACTAAAAGCCATGGAAGCCACCTGGAATAACATGGAAAAAAAGGAAAAATTGATGTGGATCAAAAAAGCAGCAGAAGACCAGAAACGATACGAGGTTGGTTATGTGCATGGGATTTATTTGTATCAAAATGGCAGCAGTGTGACAAATAGGAACATGTCCTGCATTTCACCAGGAACATGGCTGCTGAATAGTGCATCTCAGTTGCATGGAGAGCTCAGCTTTTAAAAAGAAAATTGGCAACAGCAGCAAGTTTCTAGTGTGGGAATATATGCTTCCAAATGTGTAAGCACTCCCAGTGGACATTTCAAATGCCAATGAGGTGGCTGAATAAAATTAGGTGCCACTTTAGGGATTATAGTCCAGTATACTGTTTTTTTCCAAGCTTGGCACAGAATTTGGACAGCCTGAGAAATAAATTGTGTTCTTTTTCTATTTCATTCTGTGTTCATACTGCTGCTCTGTTGTACAGCTTAGGAGTATAATCTCTATTTGTTATGGTAAATTGGTATATATAGAACATTCCAGTTTTAAATTTTGAAACGGGTTACTAGTTTTCATGTTTGCTAATAAAAGCTAATGAAAGCCAATGTTTCTTGATGCTCAGGCATCTTGGGTAGGATAGAAGAGGCAAGAGAGACAGCCTTTTAAACTTACTGACCTTTCCCCCTTGAGTTGTGCCAAGTTGTGCCTATTGTTAAATTTTTTCTCTCTATTTTTTTTTTCCAGAGAGAACTGAGTGAAATGAGGGCATCACCATGCTCAACTAATGCTTCCAAGAAGATGAAATTCCAGGGTGAGCCGAAGAAACCCCCTATGTAAGTATTCATGTCTGGGAGTGGGACAGTCCTGGATGGTTGAATGTTTGTGCTCATGGGTATATTTTTGGCCCAACACATGCGAATAAATCAACTTGGGGGTCAGGAGCTGATTGCTTATGGAAGAGGGAAGCTTATTTCACTTCTGTTCTTCTTTGTGGTCTCTGTGCATTATGCATATGGGCCCTGCACATGCATAGAGCCTGTCCTGGGAAGATTCTGTAGCTAAGATTTATTTGACCGAAACCCCTTCTCCTGTCCTGCCTCTGTGCAGGGGAGGAGCTCCTGCCCAATCCTCAGTTCTTAATTCAACTGCCAGCATGGTTGCATCAGGAAGTTTCTTCTCCACTCCTTGTTGCTATTTTTCCCTCATCCTTTTCCCCACATGCTTCCCTTTCCTTTCTCTAGCTCTTACCCTGAAAAACCTGGCACATTCCTCCATTCCACCTTTCTACGCTCCAAAAAAAATCTACAAAAAAAAGCCCCAACCTGCTTTCTATCTTCCTTCTCTCACCTGAAGATCCTCTCCTCCTCTGTATACCTTCTGCCTTTTGATCACCCACACTTAATGGCACTCAAGGACCCTTTTAGAAAGTGCATGAACTGCAGCAGCAGACTGCCACCAGTGGATGGGGCAGTCGCTGTGTCTCCTCAGCCTAGGAGAGAGATACATGGTGGAAACCTGCTTGCATTGCCAGGACTTCACCAAGCAGGCCAAGAAACATCAGGCTGAAGATCTCGGTTACACTCTAGAGCAAGGTCCTTTGCGAAATTGAGCCGCCTTTGCTGACAGACTGTCCATCCACCTGCCCCTCTGACATCATCTGTGACCATTGCAACCATCATGGATATTCTGCTGACCTGAGGATAATCAAAATCACCAAGTTGAAGAAGATTCCCAAGATGGCCTGGGCAATAAAGATGGTAGACCAGAGGAAACTTAAAGAACACAAGAATGCATAAGGGTCCAACATGCTGAGGCCATGCATCAGGCTCCCTGAATCCAACCCATCGATACAGCTAAGTTTCAGCTGGCCACATCCATCTTGGCAGGTGAGATCCAAGATCTATCGCTTTTGCAACCTGAGTGTGCTCCATCCCTGGCCTTGGAACCAAGGTGCACCCCTACACCATTGCAGCCTCAGCAAGACCTGCTTATGGAAATCTGGCCATTGGAGGTACTAGCTGTGCTCCCCTCTTCCTGACTGGGAGCAACAATTAGGCTGGTCTTCTCCCCGCCCTCATAGAAGGTCTTGTGGCCTCTAGGAGTACAACTGTAGCCACCAGTTGCCATACAGCTACAGTGACCACAGGGAACATTGCCCTATCCCACCTCATCCATCCCAAGAAAGGGCATGTGGGGAGATGCCCTTGGTCCTACACACACCAAGAGACCACAACACCAGTCCTGCAGACACAACTCGGGACCATGAGCCATCCATCCACTGCAATCCTCTTCTCCAGCCCCAGAACTTTCAGTGTCTAGGCCATGTTCTCAGTCCTTGGATTCCTGAGGATTACAAGTTGGACCCTGAATCTAGCTCAGCAGAGCAACCCTCAGAACTCCTATGGCTGGACACTGCCATGACACCACTGGATGCTGCATCACTGTTGGAGGACATGGACCACTTCTTCAGCCAGGTTCTCTGGGCACTCAGTCTTGACCTGCAACAAGATACAGGCAGAGCAAAGCACCCCATATTTGAGGTGGTATGCACCAGTACCATCGCTCCCATTGTTATCATGTTTCTAGCCATGCTCATGGACATGATGAAGTGGAAGTCCCCTGCCTTGGTTGTACTCACCCCTGAAAGACATGAGGGAATATACAAGGTCCAGGAACACAATGTCCCTTTCCTGTTCCAAGGCCCTCACTCAAACTCCGTCATTGTGAAGTTGGCCCAGGATGGAACACTTTGCACCAGAGCACAAAGAGGGAAGGTGCCTAGATATCATAGGCTGGCAATTCTACTCCTCAGCTGTGCTCTCTTTCAAGATGATAAACTACAGGGCCACCATGGCCCAGTACCAACTCCTCTTGTTGCCCTTTTGTGAACTGCCCAGTGAGGTTCAGCTATCAGCGGCATAGAAGTGTAATAATAATAAGATAGGGCCCCTAAGCAGTGACCTCCCCCAAGAGTGCAGAGTTGGCAAGGGTCAGCCAAACGGAAGCTCCACATCTTGCTTAGCAAGAGATTCACATGGCAAGGCAGCAGACAGAGTGCAGGGCAAGAAACATGGCGGGAGCAATTGGTCTCCACCAGTGTGCGTGACTTTGCTCCTCTGGGCTCTTCCACGAGGTGAGAGCCAACATCAAAGACCAGCCATTCAATGGCGAGAGCCTGTTCAGTGCCTACACTGATGAACCAGTGCTCTCTGTCCAAAAAGCCTGAGCAAATGCGAACAAGATGGGGTTGAATCAACTATCTTCGAGACCTAACACAGAATCACATAAGTGGCACTGTCCTTCCCACCACCTGGAACTTCAAGCCTCCATGGCACAGGCCCCTCCCAGCAGCCAAAACAAGGAGAAAACACCCCACACCCCCACCAGAATGCCAGTGCCCAGACTATGTGGGGTGCCATCTGTGCCATCTCAAATCCCCTGGTGTGTGACTCCACCCCCACTGTCACCTTCGACCTTTCCTCCACTCCTGCAGTGAATAACATGCGAGTGTGGCTATTGGATAGAGTTTGAGCACCACTGAGGACTCATACAAGTGCTTCCTTCACTTCAGAACCTTCCAATTCACTTCCCTCCCCTTTGGCCTTTTCACAGCTCAAAGGGGCTGTTCACAAAATGCATGGCCATCGTCATCGCACACCTTCTCTTCCAGGGAGTCCAAGTCTGTCCATACTTGTATGACTGGCTGATCATCACCCTGCTCACATGAGCCTCAATGCAGGCCATAGCAACAACATGCAAACTGCTTTCCTGCCTGGCATAAACCAAGAAAATGATTCTCTCCCTCCCAGTCGGTACTTTTCATTGGAGCTCACCTAGAGCCCATACAGGCAAAGGCATACCTTCCAGACTCCAGAATATCCATGCTGATAGAGGAGACCTCCAGACTACTCAGCCGCTCAGACACCACCACCCAGATCAAGAGAGTCCTTGGCCTCATGGCAAGATGTCCCCCTAGCCAGACTCCACATGTGCCCTTTCCAACTCTGGTGCATCAATGCCTTCAGCCCCTTTGCCAACACCCAGAGAACCATTTTGAGCAGGGGTCCGCAAACTTTTTCAACAGAGGGCCAGTTGAAAGGTGCCGGCAGTGGGTGCAGGCAGGGGTTGGATGCGGCGAGGCAGCTCACGCGGAGATCGTTTTCTCCGAGTGAGTCCAAAACGATCTCGATGTGAGCAAGCCACTGCCTTGCCACGCACGTGCAGTGAGTCCAAAACCTCTGTGATGGGCTGCATAAATGGGCGTGGCAGGCCAGATCCAGCCCGCAGGCTATAGTTTGAGGACCCATGATTTTGAGCATCCCCGGGCACATTTGTTGGAGCCTCCGTTAATGGGCTGACCACAGCAACCTCACCAAGGGGACCACCGTTGCCCCCGCCCCTCGCAGCTGAGCTTAACAGCCATTAAAGGCATCTCCCTCTCCAGTTGGGGAGCCCATTGCTGCCAGTCAGTGATCCAAAGAAAATGAGGCTCTCTCATGGCTACCTAGCACATTAATCACCTAGAAGTGATTGAGGTGAAAAAGGCCCTCAGCATGTCAACCTAGCCCCAGGCAACCATATACAAATTGCATCTGACAACATAACAACCATGTTCTACAAAAACAAACAGGAGGACGCAGGATCCATCCCCCTTAGCATGGCTAGTGGTCAGCATCTGGACTTGATGCACCAACAGGCAGGTGGCCCTAACAACAATCCACACCACCAACTCCAGCAACAGCCTAGCCAGTGCACTCAGTCACACTTCTGTGGATTGCCATGAGTGGGAGCTCAACAACCACATTGATGAAGAGCTCTGGGCAAGATGGGGCTGCCCTCAGATCTCTTCACAGCCTGCTACAACACCATATGTGGACACTTCTGCTCCTGAAGGTGTAAACCTGGACTTCATAGGGAATGCCTTCATGCAGACCTTGTTGGGGACTCTGCAGTACCTCTTTCCCCTGCTCCCTCTGATCACGAGGCTCCTAGCAAAGATAAACCAAGACCAGACCGACTGCATTGTCATAACACCCTGGTGGTCCAGACAGCCCTGGATCCCCTACCTCCTAGAACGGTCCAATCACCCATTCCTTCACTTGCCTCCTGATCTTGAAGTCATCTCTCAGGCCCAGGCTCATCCTCTATCCTGTTGTCCGTATATTCCACATCATGGCCTGGAGAATCCAGCCCCTACCACAAACACAGACAACCTGCCTGAGGACTTCCAACCCATAATGGAGACAACCCTGGAACCAGCCACGAGATGCCAGGTGGAAGGCCTTCACCAATGGCTTTGCACAGTACAGGCTCAAGCGGTCAATTGCTTGATCCAGCAAGTACTCCTGTTTCTGAACTCTTTCTTCCAATGTGGCCTCAAGAAAATCTCCATCCATATCTACACGGCCACAACGTCATCCTTCCATGCACTGATTCCAGGATTCTCACGTTCTCTCACTCCCTCACTCATCAGTTTCTCCAGGGCCTTAAAACTTTTCCCTACCGATCTGACTCGCAACACCAGCTTGGAGCCTTTTAGCTGTCTTCCAGGTCCTCAGAAAGAAACCTTTTGAACCCATGGCAGACCTACACATGCTCTCATGGAAGTCCAGCTTCTTAGTGGCGATCACTTTGGCTTGCCACTCCAGTGACCTGGCTGCCCTGCCCTGCCTGCTGTACTTCATGTTTCACAGGGACAAAGTGCTGCTCCACCTAGACCTCTCCTTTCTCCCCAAAGTGGTCTTCCACCTCAATGAGGATATCATTCTGCCAAGCTTCTTCACATCCCCTTCAAACCTGATCAAGACAGCACTACGCTCCCTTGATGTCTGAAGAGCCCAGGCCTTCTCCAAATCATGGACCAAGCTCTGCTGCAGAGGCTGTTTGCATGCTGTGACAGCAGGAGTAAGGAACTCTCTGTCTCCTCACAGTGGCTGTCAGGATGGGTTATGCAGACTTTCTCTTTAACCTATGAGCTGTCTGGCCTTCGACTGTCAGGACCAATACAGGCCTATTTCACACTAGCAACAGCGACCTCCATGGCACTCAACACTGGCATGTCCCTGCCTGATCTCTACAAGTGAGCCACCTGGTTGAACCCATTAACACCCATTGACATGGCCTTGGTGTCTGTACCAGAGCCAGCTGTGATTCAACTGTGCCTTTGGCAGAGCAATCCTGTCGTCATTCCTTCAATAGCGACACGACCCGCTTCCATGAGGTAAGCTCGCCAGTGACCCATATGTGTGATACACAGAGACCACAAAGAAGAAAGTCGGGTTTCTTACCTGTAACTGTCTTTCTTCAAGTGGTCATCTGTGCATTCACACGGTGTTGCCTTCTGATGGCATGCCAGTCATACTGCAATGTAGGTGGGGCCATAAGCTCCCCCCCCCCCCCGGCTTGTGCTCTCAACATGGGACCATGTCATTGGACCTGAGAATTGGGTGAGAATTCCTTCCTTGTGTGGGGATGGGGAGGGGAGGTTCCCACCAAATAAATCTATATATTAAATTTATTTGGGGTTCCCACCAAATAAATCTTAGCTATGGAATCTTCCCAAAACAGGCTCCACACATGTGCAGAGTCTACAAATGCACGAATGACCACTCAAAGAACGACAGTTGCAGGTAAGTAACCTGACTTTTCTCCTTCAGGTGCAAGAGGCCAATGTGCTTCAGCCTTACAACCAGTGCTGTCACAGAGTTTTTCAAAAACACTATTTTAAAACAAGACTTTAGAAACCTAAGACCAGAATGAACGTATCACACAGGACAACCTTACAAAGGACTAAATTCTCCAAAAGCTTTGTGAAGCTGAAAAACAACCTGTTTTCTTTCTGAAGAAGGTGACCAGTGGCCTGTTCATACTCTGCTCACATTGCAAATGCCCCTTGCAGGTTTCCTGTCACTGAAGGCTACACCACTCCATGACAGGGATGGGGGCAGATTAGTTAGTGGTGGTGACTAAACCTGCCACCTAACGCTACAGCGAGCCCACTGAACTTCCTCTTATGTAGGCCCACTTTTCCATGTTAATAGACTTACTGCAGGCCAGCTTCTTGATCATGTTATGACACATTACAATAGCAGAGATTTAAATCAACTAACAGGACGGTCAGAAACATCTGGTAGCTAAATCCTATTCCTACAATTCCTGGAAGTTGCTGAGAATGAGTTACCAGGACATTTTGTTGTCTAGTGGTGGAAAGTCTGGAACCTGCAAAGGGACATAAGGGATGCCAGTATTAAGCAGGCCCTGGCATTTTTTTTTTCTCTCCCTCACTGGTTCACTCAGATTTTCTCCTTGCCTTGTGTGTCTTCACCAGGAACGGGTATCAGAAGTTTTCTCAGGAGCTGCTTTCAAATGGTGAACTCAACCACCTTCCTCTGAAGGAACGGATGGTAGAGATTGGGAGCCGTTGGCAGCGCATCTCTCAGAGCCAAAAGGAACAGTACAAGAAGTTAGCTGAAGAGCAGCAAAAACAGTACAAAGTGCACCTGGATATGTGGCTGAAGGTGAGCTGTTGGTGGGGCAGAGGAAGGAGAGCAGGTTATACCTCCTTGAGGAACCCAGGGTATCATTAGGGTAAAGGCTGGCCAAGGGCAAGGCATATTATCCTTTGTCTACTTTCTGCAACTACAGCCCTCTTTTTTAGTGTTCATCTGCATTCAGTCCTGATCTGCCTCAGTCCTTAGAAACAACACACACTCAGACTGATTGAGCTTTTGAGCCAGATCTGCTGCCTTTCTTCAAGTCCTCTGTGCTTCCTCACTGACGATCCTGCATTACAAAACTCCTTGCTTGTCTGTATACTTCATCTGAGGTCCTTGCTTTGTTATGTCGCATTTTTCCCCAGCCCAAACTTCTACTATCTTGACAGCATTTGCACAGCTTTTCAGCATTCGCTATTCCTTACCTGAAAAATAGGAACAGTAGTGCATAAGGCAGATTGAACTGAATGCTTTTGCAAGAACATTCTGGTGGTTTTAGGTAACTGACCATCAGTCCTTGCTCAATCCCTATTCTTTAAATCATTTTGTAAAGCCTTTAATATTGTTTTCTCCCCCTTCTGTCTTCTCTGCAGAGTTTATCACCGCAAGAGAGAGCTGCATACAAAGAACATACCTCCAGTGTTAGTGTCCTGCAAGTATTTGTGGGGGGGTGGGGGGGAAGGATGTGCATACGCGGGATTGACAATAGTATTTCCTGAACCTTACCCTGGCATGCAGCACAGCTTGGAAGAAGCTGTGGCCCAGCGAAAAGCAGGTAGTACTTGCATGTCAGAGGTCTGGGGGTCCAGTTAGGGTCTCAGTTTAATGGGCCTTGGGAAGAGACATGTTTTCAGGGACCCTAAAGGCTATTAGTGGCTGCTAGTCATTATGGCTGTTGCACTCATCTAGACTTTCCACTGGCAGCTGGTTGGCCACTATGTAAACTGAATGCTGCGCTAGGTACATCTTCTGGTCTGATTCAGCATGACCATTTTAGACTTCTTATCAGTCAGGGATGGCAGTACTAAATGCTGACATAGAATTCTCCAGATCTTTCTGTCAAGCAGGAAAGACACACATATGGGAGGGTAGGTGCCTTCCCTATTTCCCTACCACCCATTTTTAATAACATGCTTGCTGAAGAAATCTGGAAATCTCAAACGCTTGCACATTTTTGGTGACCTTTTGGCAACTCTTCAGTCCCTAAAGGTACTACACCGCTATGGTGTTTAGTATTTTTCTTATGGCCAACATGTGTCCTTTTAATTCTAAATCCTAATCCTTAAAAATTAATCTCTTTCAGTTCAGTGGGACTTAGAGACAAAATTAGGATTGCATTCAGTGTGCCATCTCTTCAAAATATTTACCTGGTTTCATTCAACAGTCTAAGAGCTACAAGGAAAGCTGCAAGCGGTCTGAGGACCCTTGTAGATCAAAAGTCTGCAGAATGGTGTCCACCAACATATTTCTCTCCCTTCAGTGAATGAAAGAAGGAATTCCCTTACTTACATCCTTACCCAGGGAGGGTGGGAGAATCCTCCTTGCCAGACAAAGGCTAAAGCCCATCCTTTGCCCAAAGGCATTAGGGCCCATATTAGGGGTAATCTTAATTCCCAAATGATTTTTGGCAGGGGTGTTTTTCCCATCCCTATTAAAATCCAGTGCAGTGATTCATTCCCTAACTTAAATAGGGAGGGCAAAGTTCCATCCTGATTTTTAAAAAAGATGAAGGGTGAAGTCTGCTCCTCACACACACTAAGGGTTCTTGGGAAAACAGAGAATTTGTTGCATTCACTTGGATGGAGATGGGGAGAGAGAAAGAACAAGAGAAGGAGAGACAGGAAGGATGGAAGGGGAACCAGAAAGAGAGTCAAATTGAGTAGGGCACTCACACGCAGGGGAGGGGGCACTCCCAGCATTTTATAATTGACCTGGTGTCCCCTATAGCAGCACAGTTTTAGTTTCTAGGCCATTTTTTCAGAATGCCAGCTTTGTGTGCAGAGTGCAACCCTGTTCTAGAAACTTCTGGTCTTCGGGTGCCTAATGCAAAACAGCAGATCTCTCTCATCTGTTGAAAATGATCTATCTTGGCCAAGTGTTAGTGGGGGAAAGATCTGGGCTGGAAGAGTTACATTGAGCAGAATATTTGAGTTGCTTGTGTACTCCAAATAATTTTTCAGAATCTGCAACTAAAAACCTGGTTGTTTATACAAGACTGTATTTGAGAGCACATTTTTGTTCCAAGGATGGAAGTTCGGAGGAAGGTAGTACCTACCATAGCCACTAGCTTGCTGATAATGATCTGAGTGTTTTTCGTGCTGACTTCTCAGCTCTTTCCACTACCAACCCCAACTTATATCTTAACAGAAACGTAAGAGCATGGGGAAGATGCGTGGCCCAAACCCTAAGATGAAACCCTCAGTACAGTCCAAGTCGGTAAGTACCTTAGCTGTTGCTCCTTCTCCTCTTCTTTTTCATGTTTTCAGACAGCTGAGGGCCAGAATATCCCAGGAAGAAAACTTTTCCAGCATGATGTAGCCATTTTGAAGCTGTAGTTTTTTTCTGGAATTCTGTAGTGAAGAAAGCCAACTGTGTACACAAGAATGTATTTATATCTAGAAAAGGAGAACCAGACTTTTCTACAACAGTTGGGTCTTTTAGGGTTGTTGATGATGGAGTTACTGATGGAGATCCAGTTCATCTTCTGTAGGCCTTCACCTAAGATGAAGGAATGTGGTTTCCCTCACCTGTACCTTCCTTTCTCTTACCAGGGGTGGGGCACAGGCCAAATAATATCTATTAATGTGATGGGTTGTAGGATAAAGTGATGAAGGTGCCTTGTGAACATGTGGGCAAAATGTTATATTGCCTGTTGCATTTCAGGTGTTGTTACTAGAGCACTTCTTCCTCGCCCCCCCCCCCCCCAAATTGGGAACACTCAAGTTTTCTTCGAATGGGCTGACTTGCAGGCAGCAAATGTCTGAGTTTGCAGGACTTTGGAACATTTCATGGTCATTTCGATAAAAACAAGGCAGAACTTCAGTTCACTTTGTCTACTGCAAATGTAAGCATCTTTTCCCCCTGCCTGCTTCTCATCAGGGGTGAAGAATCTGTGGCCATCCAAATATTGGATTCTGACAGTCCCAGCCAGCATGGCCAGTGTTCTGGAACAATGGGCATTGCAGTCCAACACCATCTGAAGGACCCCACATACCCTAGTCCTGTTTCACAGGAGGAATATCCTTTGTCCTGCCTAAAATCTTTCTCACATTGATGGATATACACCCAGTCCCCAAGTTAAGTCCCCACGTTCCATTCCTGAGATTGTCTTTAAGGTGAATTTATATGTTAAGTCAGATCATTTAATTTAATTTAATTACTATATTTATATTCTGCCCTTTACACAAACATCCCAGGATAGCTTACAAACCATTAATAATCAAACAATAAATAATTATAGCAAAACTATAAGATCATGTATATGAAAAGCATGTAAAATGCTTAAGAAACACTTCCATGTACACTCATAAACACAATACAGCATTTTGATAATGATAATAATAGAGTAGTAATAAAGTAACTACAGGTACTGAAGAGAGAGGGAGAGAATCCTGTTGTTTTCCAATGACCAACGGTGTCTCACCTTTTCTCTGATTGCTTTATTATTTCCTGATTGTGATTGTTTTTCTTCAATGCATCACCTGTACATGCCTCAGATTTACATTTTGGAGGCATGGTTATAAACCAAATACAAAGTTATAGAAGGCAAAACTTAACTCCACATGATCCAAAACACTCTCGATACGCTAGGCTTTTATGAGCATGAGGAACTACTGTAGTTCCACTGCTCACCTTCCTTCTTTCCCTTTCTCCTTTTCCATTCTTCTCTTCCTTCCTCTTTCCTTCCTCTCCTTGCTGCCCAGCACTAATAGGCATCCACTTGCCACTCAAGGATGAGGCAGGACTTCCTGGCTTGCTTGTTCATAAGTGGGGGTTGTTCATACCTGGAGGACTGAGTGTATTTCATGTCAGTTCATTACCATGCCCTGAACTGTGCTTGTGCTTCCCAGTGAACCCTTTAACATATAATGAGGGAGTTTTCTTGAAACGGGAATACAGTTGGCTATTTGGTTCCTCTGTGATGTTGAATGCAGAGAGGTAAATCCCATCTGTCCAGTTGTGGGCCTGTTTGTGCTTTTTCACTGACTCTCCATCACCATTCAATACTTTGTATGGTCCCTAGGAATCAGAAGAGGATGATGACGACGACGACGACGATGATGATGATGAAGAGGAAGATGAAGATGAAGATGACAACGGTGACTCCTCTGAGGAGGGAGGGGATTCTTCAGATTCAAGCAGTGAAGAGGAAAGTGAAGATGGGGATGAGGTGAGACTCTGGTGTGTGGGTGTACACACCCTATTCTTTGTACAGGACTGCTTGCATTACAACCTGTGGTCAGCCAAACTACTCCCTGGTGATCTTTTCACTCACAAACAGGCTTCTAATTCCCATCCACTCATGCAACCATTTCCTGCAAAACATCTCAGAAACAGAACCTCAATGATGGAGTTGCCATTTTTTGCTGGAACTTCTCAGAAAACAACGGCTCCACCTGATTGGTTGGCTTATATATGATCCTGGCTAATCCTTGAGAGAACCTTTCCAAATAACAGTAACAAGCTTATTTTGTTTGTCTTAAGCCATTTTGTGCCTATTTACAGTGTTAATTTACAGTTTAAGTAAATAGTTTAGGTGTGCTCATTCAGCACTTGGCTCTGTCCTAAATAGTTGTCAAAAAATAGTCACAGAATGGTGTCAAGAAGAATCTAATTTTGCTATCAGAGTGCGAGAGATAGTAGTAAAGAAGAGTGCCTTTGAGAATAGATAGAAAGCTTTTCTGCAGTACTAACCAGCCATAGCCTGCTGCTGTGGGAGGCAGGTAGGGCAGACTGAGGCCCATAACATCTAGACTGACCAGTTTAGGCCTGGTCTAGGGAGCCACTATTGTACTGTGTGTACTGTATTATAAAAAGAAATACTGTTTCACTGTGGTCTGATTTCTGGAACAAGAACAGCTGGATTCAACTGTATGTAGAAACTGAATAGAATCATAGAATAGTAGAGTTGGAAGGCACCAGTGAGGCCATTGGTTCCATGCCCCTGTACCACACAGGACTCCCAAGTTAAAGCATCTTTGACTGATGGCTATTCAACTGCATCTTGAACGCCTCCAGTGTGGAAGAGCCCACAACCTTCCCAGGTCATTGGTTCCATTGTCGTACTGCTCTAGTAGACAGGAAGTTTTTCCTGATGTCTAGCCAGAATCTGGCTAGACATCAGGAACCTATAACTTGAGCCTATTATTTTGTGTCCTGAACTCTTGAATGAATGATTGAGAAGAGAACCTGGCCCTTCTCTGTGTGACAGCTTTTCAAATACTGAAAGAGTGCTGACATATCAGTCTCCTTAAGGCTAAATATGCCCAATTCCTTGAGCCATTACTCACAGGGCTTTGTTTCCAGTCCACTGACCATTTTCATTGCCCTCCTCTCAAACTTTTCCATCTTTCTTAAACTGAGTTGCCCAGAACAGGGCTCAGAACTGAAGATAAGGCTTAACCAGTGCTGAATAGAGTTAGGCCACTAGTGCTCCATGTGATTTGGAAGTGGTACCTCTGTTACTGCAGCTCAAAATAGCATTTTGCAGCCTCATCTTGTTCGTTCGTTCGTTTGTTATATTTCTACACTGCCCATTAGCCAAAAGACTCCCTGAACAGCTCACAGAAATACTAATATAAAACAATCATTATAAAATCACATTAATATTGTTAGTATAACATACAATAATTCAATAAAACAATGATTCACCCACCACAACCACAGCTAAATTGATCTGGAGGTAGATCAATTTCATACAGTAAAAATGAAATATTAAAATATTAGGGGGGAGGGTTTTATCTGGTGCTGGCATGAACAAAGAGTGGGTACTAGGCACACCTCTTTGGGGATCTGATGCCACGGGTGGAGTGCCACAACCAAGAAGGCCCTTCTCCTGGTAGCCACCCTCCTTGCTTTCTTTGAAGTGGGCTCTCTGTGATGAACCTCCAGTGATGATCTCAGGGTTTGGGGATGCACATACAGAAGGAGACCTCTCCTAGTGGCTTCATGTAGTTAAAGTGGTTAAAGAGTATGGGGGATAAAATACAGTCTCGTAGTACTCCATGGCGTAAGTGCCATGGCACAGACCAGTCATACTCCAGCACCACCTTCTGGAATCAGCCACTCAGGTAGGAGAGGAACCTTTATAAAGCGGTACCTCCAACTCCCAGCCCTGCCAGCCTATCCAGAAGGATACAATGGTTGATGATACTGAAAGCTGCCGAGAGGTCCAGGAGTACAGAATTGCACTACGTTCCTGTATTAAGAGTTCAAGTTCATGGTCTTCGTTTCCAGGTATTAGTTACATAGGCATCAAAGACCATGTGCTTTATAGTTTAATTTTCTTCCTACATATTTTGGAAGAATATTATTGGGTGATAGTAGAGGCATTCTCTCCATTGTGGTGCATAACCCTTTGTCCATTGTTATGCCCAGGTATACCTCTCCCTACCCTGTAGTTTTCAGTTGAGAACCTTCCTTGCGAATTCCTTCATGCTGTGGTCAACCACATTCTTCCTATTCCTTATGAAAGGCAATCCATTTCTTGCCTGTAGTCCATTTTCCAGGAAGTGTAGCCCATGGTCCCAGAATCCAAATCTCTTGCGTCAACACCACCTTCATAGCCAGGCATTCACTAAATGGTATTTTATCTTTCTATTCCTCTTCCAAATACTGGAAGAATGGATGAAAAAATTATGCAAGTCCCAAAGTTCTTGAGTTTACTTCTCACAACTTCAAAGTCTGGTGTGATTTCTTGAAAGCTCTGCTTGGTGATATCATTTGTTTCTATGTGCATGGGAAGGAAGTGAAACATGTGGGTGGACTCTTTGGGCAGTGGCAACCCTCAGTCACATTCCTAATCTGTCCTGCCGGGAGACAATATACCTGGAGCGTTCATGGGTCTTCACAACCTACATGAGTTTCTATCCCATGCAGCAGAGATGGAAATTGAATAAATCTATTTTTCCTATTGCATGATGCTGGCCTTTTGTTGGTCATATAGAGGAGCAGGTATACAGGCACTAAAGATCTTGCCACTGGAAATTGTACTCTTTGGCTTCTATGTTTAAGGTGCACTTAACACATTCTCAAGAATAATCTTTTGGCGATAAGAGCTAGAATCTTTCTTCAGTCAGTGTAAACAAATGCTGAGATTCTTAGCAAGCTGAATGCTAAGTCTACAGCCCACTTCTGGACTCCAAAAGTCACAGCATGCCCCAAGATCTTAGAATCATCAGCCTTTTCTCCATGCATCACATGCACCAGACTTGACTTCTTGCTATGTTCTTCTCAGAATGAAGAAGAGGACGATGAAGAAGATGACGACGACGATGATGATGACAATGAATCAGAAGGCAGTAGCAGTTCCTCATCCTCCTCAGGAGACTCTTCAGATTCGGACTCCAATTGAACCATCCTCTTCCTCTGGCCGCCTTTCTTGCTGTACTTTTATTCGGTTTTTCTTTTTCCGGATAATAGTAACATCCACAGCTGGAGAGCTAGGATGGGGAGAAAAGGGGAGGGGAAAAATCACTGTGGTTTAATTATCTTCCTCTCCTCACAGGCCTCACATTGTATTTAACTGTGTGAGGGGAGTGGGGTAGAAAATGGCTGACAACCAGCAGAAGCTGTTTTTTTATTTTATTTTATTTTTTGTGATGTAGGGAGAGAATTTTATTCTGTGCAACTCTCTCCTCCCCTCCCCTTCAAATTCTCTTTGAGGTTTTCCCCTTTTCTGAGCAGGGGTCATTTAAAATCTAGACCCCTTTTATTTTTCCCTTCATATTTACCCACCCCCCCATTCTAGCCACCAGCTTGGGACTTTGTACAAATTCTTTTTTAAAAAAACAACATGGCAGTGAGATACTTCCCGCCCGCCCCTTCCCCCGCCACCAGGCAAACAGCCCAGGAGAGATGGGTTCCCGAAAGCATGAGCCATCGAAGGTTCTGGACTTTGCCAGTGACACCCACCTCTCCTCAAAGCGGACAATCTTGTACAGTGTTGAAATTTCACACCTTGACAAAAGAGTGAGAGAGAACAAAATGGCTGCAGCTGCACTTAGCTATTTCCTGTGACGAACTGGATATCCAGCATTTCCTGCTGAGGGAAATGGGGGTGGGTGGGAATATTTCATGTGAGTGTGTCAGGGGATAGAAGAGGAACTGAAGACCAGGATTTTTCTTTGCAAAGGGAGAGTGACTGGCATGCTGTTGGGGGAGGAGAGGATTTCAAGGTGACTGACTTTATTTTGCAGGAGGTGGACTTTTTCTGTCATTTTTCTGACCAGCATTTGGGCAAAGACAGTAGTGGCCAGACCCCTTTGGGTTGTTGTTGTTGTTAATATATATATTTTTTTTTACAATGAAGTGACCAATAATTGTACCAAAATGGGGCATTTTGTTGACTGTCTTTGGAAGGGGTGGTTGGTTGCGGGGGATCATCTGTGTCATTAGCATTTTTTTTAAAGATTTTATAAACCAAGTAAGACAACCATCTTTTTAAAAAACAAGCTCTCTTATCTTTTACATCAAGTACTTCATATGTCTCTTAACCCTTATGCAGAATTCAGTAATCCACAACCTCGGGGTGGGCAAATGGGACGTGCATTTTGGAGGCACACAGATAGTTTCTTTCCACCATGCCTTAGGTGGTACTTGTTCATTGGTGCTTGTTCATTCAGCTTTAGGTAAAAGTTTGCTGCCAAGAAAGGGCAGATTCCAGAGAGGATTCACTGTCAAGGCTGCCATCAAAGGCAGCGGTCTCTGTATCTTCGCCTTTCTCCCCTTGTAATGTCTAGTCATACAAAATGCCACTACACTGCACATTTCGCAACTGGAAGGAGCAAACAATGATTCAGAGCAGGAAAGGGCAGTTTGCAGTGCAATCTCATGTCCATGTTTATGATAGGATACTGCTGGAAAAGAGGAGGGCCAAATGTGGAGCTGCTGTTTTCAGTGGCAGAGAGAGCTCTTCTGTAACATTTCACTCTGGCCTGAAAAACAAGCCTTAGAACAATGATCTTGCCCCTTGTATGGCTGGAGTTGATGGCCATTGTAGTTCAACACATCTGGGGCACTAGGTTGAGGGTGGCCGATTTGGCGCTGCATGAACAATCCTCAGACTGTGAGGAGAAGATTGGAAGCACGTGCTTCCATTTTTAACCAGCTTGTTATAACTGAATACAGATAAAGTGGGATCCAGGAAAAAAAAGCTAGGATCATAATTCACAGTTTAGAATCTTGGTTTGTTTCCCTAAACCATATTTAAGGCATGCCACAGTTTCCAGTTCAAATATAATCATGGTTAAATGGAAGTGAAAACGTCAGTTTTCTTGCAGCTGCATCAGTAGAAGGGAAAGGAGTTTGGGAGAACACAATCCCAGGGTTTGTTATCCTGCTAAGGTATATTTGAACCAAGTTATTACAGATAAAAATGGCACTGGTAAAACACTCCATAAACAGGGACTAGTATCTCCATCTATCTGTATCTTAATGGAACAGATACATATTGCTGATATTTTTTTTCTGCTCACCACTGCTTTAACTTCTTACTCCTTTTTCCTTTCTCGTTTTTCTTTAAATAATTTCTGTGCAAAATGGTTACTTAATTGTTTGTATAACAGTGTATATCTGACTGGCTTTTGTATTTGCATTCATTGGAAGATTTGTTGCTGCAGTTAGCATTCCCAGTATTGTAAGGTCATGCTCAGCAGCCAGTGACTTGTTGACCAGATCTGGTTTCCAGTCACCTGCGAGCTGGCCTGCCCCACCTTTCTTACTCGTTTTTGACCCCTTGGTCCTTCCCTCTTCTCCTTTAGGAGTGGGCAAGGTGGAAGTAATACAGCTTGTACTTCACCTGGGCTAATGTGGAAAGCACATGGCAGTATGGTGCATTTATTTTCTTTGCTGCTGCTTTCTCTGAATGCTCTTGCAGACTCAAGGGAAACTTTAATTTTTTAAAATACATGTCAGGGCATAACTCCTTGAAAGCCACAGCCTCACATGTGTCAGCCTTCGTGCCGAATATCAGGTGTGCAATTGGGCTCTGGTTGCTAGATGACAGGAGCAAAGTATTCCGCAGATGGTAAAGGCCCCATGAACAAGCCTTAAGGCCTGTGGGACGGACAGACAGATGAGGAACTTGGGTAAGCAGAGAAAGCTGGGAAGAGCTCAGGAGATTACACTGGAAGATGGACACAGACACAGCCCCAAGAGGGACTATCCCACATCTGTTCCTTCAGCACCCTCTGGCCACACGAGCCGTAATCCTGGTACTGGGGCAGTGTGGTGTCCTGAAGCTGAGCAGCAGTGTGGAACCGTAAAACCTGTTTCTGGCCCTCAAGGTTGTGAAGACAAGAAAATGAACAAGGAGTAGGAAGTGGGGGCTGAGCAAAATCTCCAGTGGTTGAAGGCAGGACTTGTCCTCAAGACTCAACCTTCCTTCATGTAAAGCTGCTCTACTTTTCCTGGAGCAAAACTTCATTTAGCATAGGATGCACTTGGTCCTGTCAGCATCTCCAGCTAGGAACTTTGACTGAAACTGAAGGAAAATCAAGTGATGGGAAAGTGCAATTTCAATAATGCAAATAAGCAATTCTGACTTTTAAAAATGATTTCCTTCTGTGCTCCATTACTTTTCCAATTTTGCAAGGCATCTGCTTTTGAGAGTAAAAATGGCTATACCTAAGGGATCTGTCAGTAAGAGTAGAAAGCTGGGAACAGTTTGTATCATATAGGATTTCTGTTACCAACATAAATTATGTAGATATATTTGCATAGATTATTTTGGAAATTCTACTTTGGCTTGCAATCTAAAGAGTTACGAAGGACATGAACTCAAAAATTTTCATCATTGCTCACATTCAAGACATTTTCTAGCTTTCTAGACTTTAAGGGATAAAATACATTTTATAAATACTGCAATATTCTCCTGTTAGTGTTCTCTTCACTATCAGTCCTGTTTGTCTTTTGCAGCTTCTTGCTGTGCCAACATTTCTTTATTCCTCTTGAGCATCTTGACTGCATAATTGCCCTTTAGAAGTGTGCTAAACCTCCAGGAAAGCTAATGTATACAAAATTGGTAGAACATCAAATCAACAGCTTCAATAAATATGGAAGTCCCCTGCGTTTAACAAAATGCTTCAGTTGGAGCTCTCCTCCAATCCTACTCCACCCAAGTAGTCACATTATGTCAAAAAAGACTACAGTGTTAAAGCTTTGTGGCTTTCTAGTTTCACCTGGATTTAAAAAAAGCAAACTAGCTGAATCCATATAACCTGATTTCAGGGAAATGTATACCAAAGTCCTAGAAGGATTCTGGAACCTGTGAAATCCAGAGCCTTGAAACCTAAGTGGTTTTTGGTGACTACCTTAGTAGACTTTGGATCCAGACTGCAAGGTTCACTTGTGCATCAAATCGCTCAATCCTGCCTCTCTTGGCCAAGCCAGAGATCTGTTGTCTTGATGCTGTACTCATTGAGCTGGAGCCAATCGGGCAAATCCAGTTACTCGATTGAAAGCCTATAGAGTGGTTGACCTTAGGCTGTTGTGCAGAGAGCATGAGAATTATGTAAGCTCTACTTTCAGGCCCATCCCTAAATGTTTTGCTTAATAAATCAGAAGTCAGTGTTTTCCCAACAATTGGATCGACAGGTGGCACTGGCCTTTTTCAGACGGGACCAATTCCATGTGTTAATGTAAGAAGTACTTTGTCCAGTGGGAATGGCAGCCTTGATCAGTTTTGCTCTGATGACATGTATTGAGAAGTGAAGGTGGGGATTGCTTTCCCACTGTCTGTTAATAGGAATGAAAATCGTTGGCATTAGAAAAACTTAATGGTTTTGTTGGTGAAGAGGACCCCAACATCACATGTGGAAAAATGTATGTATGGGGATGTAATGGGCAGTTTGGGAGTTAGCTTATCTGTAAGTACCTGTTCTCTGGACAACTTTTGTTTTGGATTGCTTTAGGTTGCTCTGGAGGGCCTCTGTGTATGTGTGTGCATATATGTACTTTAGACAAGGCATCCATTGCTTTTTGGCCTTTTCAGCTAAGCAGTTCATAAAATGTCAATAATGCATGCAAGCAAGAATTTATTAAATAGCTCAGAACTTACTTGGAAACTTGAAAGCATTTGAAAACTTATGGGAAAAGACATTTAGTTTAAGGACAATTGGATTTAGCATATAGTATATATGAAAATGGATACTTAGGTGCACTTGCATAATATTTCAAAGGTGGTTAGTTCTGGTGAACTTAATTAATACACAAAGTTTCCAATGAAAAATCTTGCAAAATATTGTGCATTAAATTAGAAACAGTAAATTAATAGGCATGTCATTCAACAAGAATAATGAAACAATTACAGGTAAATACAGATGATTTATGCATGCTAAACAATCATTTATGAGTGGGCTAAATAGTAAAATCAGTAGCAAACCTAGAAAATAGGTAAAATAGAAAGTAATTACCTAAGTAGGTATGATTAACATAGTTTCCCAAAGCTGGGTTGTTCATTAAATTCTTGCTTGCAGCTTTTGATTGAAATTGGACTGATGTAGACAAGCTACCCAAAAAGCACCTTTTTTGTGTAGGATTCTACATGGCCCAGGTTTTCTTTTAAAGAATCCTTCACCTACCTGCTGACCCCTTGTCAGACAGCATTCGTGTCCGTGTACTCGTAGGTTGCACACCCTTTAAACAAGACTGCAGAGAGCCCTACATTCTTTGATCTTTAAAGACTGGGTTTTCTGTGATAGAGGCAGCTCCTTCGGAAACTGAAAGTTGCCATCACCTCACATCACTCGGGGAAAACCGATTCTCTTCCCACATCTTTGAAGAAATGTGCTTCTGCTGATGCGTGCGACTTTCAGCAAACTCCACATTGCCTTCTCCCTAGCCCTGCTTTACTCATTACATGAATAGCATGGAAGCTATCAAATGCTTTTGTACAGTGTGTGGGCCCTATGAAACCATGTGAGGGGCATACTTCAATGGATCCTCAAACCCGTGGAGTCCTCTCTGCCATTGCCATACATTCAGAATTGAATGTTATCATCCAGCTCAGAGAATCCTTTGGTAAGTATCTGTTACATTAATTTGTCTTGCATAGACTTGTTTTCTAGCAAAATTCATATGCCTGGAATAATGTGTCATCTGGGGAGGAGCTCTTCAGAGTAGGTGGGTGTGAAATTCTATACTGTTGGGATTTCTTTTTATATAATTTTGTAGTATTTCCAATCTTGTATCTGTTGGAGAAAAAGCCTTGTTGCCTCTTAAGATAACTGTCAGAACTTTGTCCAGATGTGGAATGACACCATGACATGTGGGTACTTCAAGGAATGGCATATTCTGTTCTCATAGAATTCCCAGGTTTCTAGACGCTGATGGTCAAACATGGAATGATGGAGTCCATCTCTCTGATCCAGCCAACACAGCGTCATGTAGAAAGGGTTTGCAAAAAACACTGGCACGGTTACAAGAAGAGGATTATGTAAACCAACTGGGTAAGGCATACAGCAGTTTTTGCTGTACAGCCTCTGCATAGATTTATTCCCTAAAACAATGTCTAGCCATAGGGTAATGTATACACTGCCTTCAGTTTCTCTATGCAGGAAAAGGTAACATGTGGTCACGCAGGTGTTTTGGCCTAGCACCCCAGTTGGCCCTCATTGGCTAACCTGGCTAAGTCTGATAGGAGCTGCAGGGCAAAACTTCTGGAGGGCTGCAAATTCCCTACCCTTGACCTAATGGATCATACCTGTTTGAAATCTGATGAACACCTTAGCCATAACAACATCTATCTGGATCTCCCCCGTATGCCATTAACTTTCATTGCCATGTATGAACTCTGGTATCTTGCCCCGTATACATCTAATGACCCATCTCTGGTCCCTCAGTTGATCTCCCTTCTCACCCCAAAATGAGACACCTGGTTTGATTTTTTGCTGAATGTACCAGCTGTTGTATTTTAGTAGGTGTGTTTTTTAAGTAAAAATAAAATAAGAAAAATCTTGCTCTTTAAAATTCTTACAGTACTGATGTCTTTTTTAAAAGAAAAGTGTTAAGGGGGGGAGAGAACAGTTTGTACTGTAAGAAGATGGAACTAAGTGCATTTTTGCACTGTTGACAAAATGTGATATTCCAGATAGAAGTTCTTGTGAAACAGGAAACATTTTTTCTAATATTTAAAGTGTTTTTGTAGATTAAAAAACTTTAAAATGCCAAAAAAATTAAACATGTACCCGATTTTCAGTTTCTATTGCTAAATGGGACATGAAAAGCTAAGGATCCCTTGGTTTCCTTAGATGTCTTTCCTATTTGCAACTAAGCTAGGGCTTCTGTCTCAAGTCTGAATAGACTTAAAACTGTGGATCTTCCCCTCACCCCCTTTTTCTTTTGTATAATAAAGTGCAAAAACAAAGCTGCTGTTCTCGTGTCGTTACTTCAAACAATTAAAAGTTGCAGGAGAAAGAGTATGTTCAGGCTGTTTTCTTACCTTGCTCTGACTTCTTGTGAATAGAGTTACTAAAAATAACCTACTTTTGACAGTAATTTTGGGCTCTGTGGACCAATAGAGCTGCAGAGCTGTCCTTTACCAAAATGGATCAGCTTCCCGGATAACCCAAAAGCCTATTAAACACTTGCATTTGTTGTCTTCTAAGCAGCCCAAGATGGCCTAAGTGCTTGACCGGCCTTTGCAACAACTCACTGAAGTAGGTTGGGCTGAGAGACTGTGACATGTAGGGTGTGTGTGTCTGCGAGATTTGAACCTAGACTGCAATGTTACATTTAAGTGTAAGTTCTGTGTAACGTACTTTGTAAACGTGCCTGAGATTACACTACAAGTCTGCAGAAGCAAATTCTGCCACCACTAGTATTTACTATCATTGAACAGGAAGGATGGGCTGGCTTGGGAGGCCAAGTTCGGGCTGCAGGTTCTTCATGCCTGTCACAGGGACTCCAGAGAAAAATGGCCATGAAGTTTAAGTTTTACACAAAAGAGCCTGCTTTGCAACTCCTGACTTCCCCGAATGGCTGCTAAATTTTGGCAGCTACAAAAGAAGTTAAAATTTCCTGATGTTTCAGGAGTACAATTTTGCATGAAAGGAAAACGTGTGTTGCCCAAACACCTTGAAGCAAAATGTGGGTTTCCTGTTTTGTTTTTTATTTAACTTTTAAACAGTTGATCGCAAATAACTAAGTGCAAGAGAATAGAAAGTGGCTTATTCTAATTTTTCTCCTATAGAGTTCAGTAATAAAACCATTGAGACAGCTAAATCGCAGCAGTGCTTGTAGTAGTATGGATGACAGGTGGTATACAGCTGTTCGTCGTGGTCTCCATGCATCACACATTATGGGTGCTGTGCCTGTTGCTGGGATGATTTAAGAGCTTTAATGGTTTTTGGTGAGAACTCCGTGCCTCCCCCACCACCCCATAGTATAAATGGTTGGGGTGCCTGCCCTTTCCCCAGTCTGCTTGTGACCACTGTTCTCTGTGCCTCAGGCCTTTTCTTCGCTTGTCTCCTTGTCTTTTTACAGTTGTTAATTCTATACATCTTAAACCCTTTTTTCTTCTGCTTTCTACCTCCTCTATCTAAATTCCAATCTATTGTTTGCCCTTACAGAACCCCTCCTTTATTCCTTATTTTTTCCCTCCCCCTCCCCTTCCAAATAAATATTTTTTAAACCCCTTCTATCATCCTTGCTTCTCACAATCTATCTCCATTCGCTGTATCTCCTCTTTTTTTTCTTCTTGATGACACAGCAGGTGGCCTTCTGTAAGTGCATGCAGTGCTGAGCCAAAACGTCTCCCACTGACCCTCACGCTCTGTGTCTTCTCTGCCTTGGAGACAGGCACAGGACTGATAAGTGCAACCACTGCCAATCGTTTATGAGGCAGACTCGCAAAAACCACAAGAACTGGCTGTGTAAAATGCTATGGGACCAAGCTCTGGTCACCATGAAGCAGATCTCGGCTGAGACCGGCTCTTTCACAGCTCTGGGACTGTCGAAAAACATCCCACCTCACCCATCCAAAGGGGATTCTGCTGGCACGGATGGAAAACATTCCTCCCATTCTCCTCCTCGCAAACATAAGGAGAAGATGAAACATGTCGGGTCCGAGGAACCCTCGAAACCAACATGTCCTTAAAAGGACAAACCTGAGAAATCTAAGCATTGGCACAAGAAGCACAACAAGGTGCCCTGCTTTGAACTGAGTGCCGTGCCTATCTCAGTACTGACTGAACCACCAAGCTGCCAGTCAGTTATGCAGGTGACACCTGCACTATCACCTCCACGGATTGCCACCTTGGTACACTCCAGTCCCAACCACTCCGATCCCTTGGCACAAGCTTCAATTTCTGACAGATCCATGAATCTCCTCCCCAGTTGGACCAGATCGTCCACCTGCGAGATTGCCAACTCCTACGCCTGCTGGACAGTCATCTCCAGAGGGCTCTCCAAGGCCACCTCAACATCCGTCATCCCTCTTACCACCCCAACACTTCACACCGCAACCATTGTGTTACTGGGTTCCATTACCCTACTGAGAATTCGACTCCTAGCACATGGAGCGACCTTATCCGTGGAATTACTACCCCTCATACAAATATTATCCACCACCACCAGTGCATCCACATTCCACCCCTCAGTATCAAGGGACACTCCATCAATATCTGCTGTGGCGCTCACCTGTCCACCAATGTTTCCCAGCAGGTCCTCATCCAGTCCACTGTATGAATCCTACTCGGATTTGGAGGACTCTCAACAAATCTCTTAACTCTCCAGACGCTGTTGTCTCCACCCAAGGTTCTGTGTCTCCGGGCAACTCCCAAGGTCGTTTCTCTGAACTACTCACGTGGATGACCAAAACATTGGAGACTGACATCCAACAGCACATAGACACTAACCAGGACAATATTTACAACGTTCGTAAAGAGGATTCATCACCCATTGCCTCGCCATTCATCACCACCCTTTGGCAGGCAATGACCAACACTTGGCAGCTCCTGAACCACCCACATCCCACCTCCAGACGTCTAGAGGTGATGTACAAGGTTTGAGAACATGACATCCCATTCCTGCTGAAAAATCTACAGCCGACCTTGATCATCATTGAGTCTTCACAGGGCAAACTAAAGAACATTCTACTCCGGTGATAAGGAGGGTGGTAAGATTGACATGATGTCTCACCAGAGCTACACCATGATGGGACTCAGTCTTCAGATCTCCAACTACGAGGCCACAATGGTCCATTATCAATATTTTCTATGACAAGATCGAGTCCCTCGCTGCATTCCTCCCGGACCATAAAGGGAGCTGGCCTGCTTATTCATCAAGGAGTCAATGCAGCTTTCGAAACAACTGAACACAGCGAGACATCATGTCGATTGTGACTCTAGGGCTCTCATCAGCACTGTTGCCCTTCACTGTCATGCCTGGCTGAGAATGGGTAACCTGCCGCAAGAAACCAAACAAAGAGTAGAGAACATGCCATTTGACAGCTCCGGCTTGTTCAACACAAAGACAGATGACAAACTCGAACACATCCAAAAAGCTTGATGGATTGAATACCCATCTCAGCCAAGACGCAAAGGGCCATGGAGCAGATCCCAGTATTGGTACCAGCCTTATCACCAACCATACCCCAGAGGATGTCAACAGTTTGGCCAGAGACAACAGAGAAGCCGAAGCCAAAATGTTCCTTGTTACCAGCAACCTAGGCACCAAGCGGATGCAGACAAGTGCCAACAATGATGGGATGCATGAACATTTCCTCCGTCCCTTAACCCATCTTCCCCTCTCCCTTTTGGGGACCGGCTACAAAGCCGACTCCCCATCTGGGAGTCCATCACATCTAATAGGTGGGTGCTTACCATCATAGTGCATGGATATAAAATCAAGTTCGAAACTGTGCTGCCTTCAGGTCCAATCCAATATACAGCAGCCTCTCCAGCCCTCCTGGATGAAGTCACCAAGCTGTTTCATAAGGGAATGATTTGTAAACGTAATCGCTTCGAAGGACTGCACAGTTTCTACTCCAGGTACTTTACAGTATTGAAGAGAGATGGGAGTCTATGCCCCATTCTGGACTTAGGTGGGATCAATAAATATATTAAAAAAAAATAAAAATGAGCATGCTCCAGAATATACTTCCGTTGCTCAGGAAAGAGGATTGGTTCGCATCCCTGGACTTGAAAGACACTTACTTTCATATCAGCATCCATCCTACTCACAGGCGCCTCCCTCAATTCAATGTCTGTACCAGCACCTATGAATATAATGTGCTCCCCTTCGGGCTCACTACCGCGCCGAGAGTCTTTAGCAAGTGCATGGCTCTGGTTTGTGCCCATCTCAGATGACTTCAGGATATCCATATCTACCCATACCTGGATGATTGGCTTATTGTTTCCTTGTCCAGAGATGACCTTTTGTCTTCAATCAATGTTACCAGTTCTCTGCTAGATTGATTAGGACTTTGTATAAATACTGAAAAATCATGCCTCGCCCCTTCTCAGGTCATCAGTTTCATCAGAGCATGCCTGGACTCTCTGTGCACATGAGTCTGTCTTCCTTGAGACCAACAGAAAAGACTGATACCTTCTATCCAACGGATCACTGCCCAACGGACTGTCTCTGCACACTCCATTCAACAGGTGCTTGGTCTTATGGCATCCACGGTATCGGTGGTGCCCAATGCAGGACTGCAAATGAGACCTTTGCAGCTCTGATTCAATCGCAATTTTCATCTGGACCACGAGCGACCGAACCAGCTATCGCCTTTCCAAACTGGACTTTCCTCTTATTTCAAAAGGACATTCCACAGGAGCTGTCGCTGCTTCCTCTGTTCTCTGTGGCAGCATCCAGCTACAGGATATCTGCAAAGCAGCCACATGGTCTACTCTGTGCACATTCATGAAGCACTACCGCTTAGACATCAAGGCCAGACAGGACTGCTCCTTTGGCCGCACCATCCTCTCCACAGTTCTGCAGTGATGACATCGTCCGCCTCCGGGTGTGGTAAGCTTGTTAATCACTCATAATGTGTGATGCACGGAGACCACAATGAAGAAAGGCAGGTTGCTTACCTGTAACTGTCATTCTTCGAGTGGTCATCCATGCATTCACACAACCCCCCCACCAGCCCCACTTGGTGTTGGTAACTAGGTATACTATATATGTTTTCTTCTTACAGAGCAGGGTTCAGTAACAGCCAGCTCTGCCTGGGGGCAAATGGACAGTCTTCAGCTGACTGGGGAAAGGGCAGGCACTCCGACCGGTGGGGGGCGGAGTTCCCACCAAAAACAGTTAAAGCTCTTAAATCTTCCCGTCAACAGGCACTGCACAAGCGCAGCACCCATAATATATGAATGCACGGATGACCACTCAAAGAATGACAGTTAAAGGTAAGCAACCTGC